TGGAAGTGGGATGAATTTGATGATGTCAGTGTTGATTAATCGACTACACAAGTGAAACGTGGAATTTGTCCTTTTGTCCCACGGCACATCCTCATGAAGTGGCCTGAGAAATGACATTGGAGGCGGTTCTCGCTGCTGGAGACTCTCCGTGACATCATCCAGAAATCTCCATCCGGAGCATCTTCAGGAATCATCCCACCAATGCTGGGTGGGAGAAAAGTGTCAATGTCATTTCATTGTTTTTCATTTATCATTCGCGGCAGTTTATCGCCCAGCGAGGGGAGGACGAAGCTCAACAGCGGCACAGAATGGATCTGTGATTAATCACCCCAAATTTCTCGGGCTTTTTGTATCCACTGTGTATACTTTTATTCTATCCACCCTCCACTTTCTTTGCTTGTTTTTATATTCTATTTATTTCCCTCGCCGAGGGGGTGAGCGCGACCATGTCCGGAGGGAGAATTCCTTTCCCAAGGGTGGTGTCTTCTTGGCCCTTCCCGCTGCTCGCGTCTTGTCTTTTTGTCCTCTCCGCGTGGTGCTTTTTTATCCCTTCAAGGCATCTTCCCTGGCCACGGCGAACGGCCAAGCCAGGGTGGATGGCTGGGAGGGACAGAAAAAGTGCCATTTCTCAGGGATGTTAACTTTATTTCAACCACTTAGGGCAAGATTAAATTGTGTTATGATGAACTTGTTTTGGGGGTCTGTTGAAATTTTATTCGCACAACATTAAATGCCAAGAAAGAGATATTGTGGGAACATTCGTCCAGCATGGAATTCAAAGAAGTCCAATTTTATGATTATTTTCTTTCACAAATTCATAATAATTAGTAATTATGAAAATTCCTTATACGAAAAACCTCAAATTGCAAGTCAGATGGTCACTCCGTATTTGTGATTGCGAAATGAGAATAAGAAGTTTTGCCTCAGTGACATATTTAAAATAGTTTCGCGAGTCAATCGACTGACTGAGAAGTTCACTTTAATTGGTTTTGGGGGGCAGACTTCATTTGAAAGTCAATAGAGTGTCTTTCTCTGTCTCAATTCAGCTGCATTTGGAATTGAGTTGCAAAGACTTTTCCGTCCTCTCTGCCTTCTTGTCTGGCCGAGCAAATGGTATAAATTGAATCAAATGTTGGGTGCTAGAGTGAAATTTATTTTCATAGAATACAATTATTTGCCAGCATTTTCTTTTTTCCCCCTTTTATTTTCTGCGGTGCAATAAATATTGCACTATCGATGGTGTTTCATATTTGAGTGTTGTTGCTGATTTGCTGTGTGGCGAGGAGATGAGGAAACCATTCTAATCCACACAATCTGCACAGCATCCGGTTATTAATGTATGCGGAATACAATCAGTGAATCATTTCAAGAGTGTCAATATCCTCTTCCGTCGCATGAATCGTCATCTTCAGAAATATTGAGCACAACGGAGTCATTTTACTGTGTCTTTTCCGCTCATAATTCTCTTGGCATTTTTCCACTTTTAGCCACGGTAAACATTCCTTCGTCTCTTTTTTTTCCACCGGCAAAATGCCCCCAAATCACTCAAAACTCGCTAATGTGAAGTCTAATTACGGCATTGATATCTCCCATATTGTATCATATATTCATTTTTCACTGACTTTTCCAACCAATTTCTCCGAAGAATTTCCATTGTTGCACACAATGAAAGGTAGACTAGTAAAAATAATAAACGACTCTTCTGTCTAATTATCTGCTGAATGGGGAGAAAAATTTCATGAACTGCGACTGAGTTTATGGGAAGATGCGCGATCGCGTTGGAGCTTCTAATTTGTTCTCTCATTAGATTAAATGAAAATAAAACGGTTAATACTCTTTCATATCTCATTCACACCTTTTTCCGCACGGCCCACCTCGTCACTGGCGAGGTGCAATATGAAAAGTTCCTCCAGAGCTCAAAGAGATATCACAATTGACACAGTGAGTGACAATTTAACGATGCTAATCTCATTCTCTAAGCGCTTCCTTCGGCACAAAAAGTGCCTCTCAGTTTTTCACAAAGCCATCAAACTTGGTGGGACGAGAAAAAAGAATCTGTGTCTGAGCATGAGAAAAACTAGCCTGGAAAAGAGTTGTCGCTCGTCGACATGGTGTATTCTCGTCATTAGTCATAATTTGTCGCATGAGCATAGGCAAAAAGCGACTTCTCAATACCTTCCCTCTACCTTCCGATTGATCGATATTCAAAGAAGAGAAAAGCTCCGGATGACTTCATTAATTGATTATCCGTCTCATCTGGGAAATGTGACAGAATCCAGAGCGATGATTCTGTCATTTTCACAGGGAGAGCTTCGAACAGTGCAAAAGTCACGAACTCCTCTCATGTGAAGACAAGCGTTTGCTGCGATTTTCATGCGAAATTGTGACTTGAATTTGTGTTTATTTCTCACTTGGATGCACTTCATTGCACTGTGTTATAACTCTATTTAATTGGCAGAAAAAAGTTCCATAGAAAAGCCAAATATCAGCGTGCAATTATATAAAAGCGACATGTTCATCCAACGATCATGAGCGTTCCCAGCTGCGCCACGAAAGCCACAATGTGCAACAAATTTATTGAACAACATGTTAAACCGAAAAGGGCAAATTTGTAACTCAAATTACTATTTAAAAATATATTGAACTGTTTGGAAAATTGAAGTAATTTGCGAAATTTTTTTTTTCAATCTGCATTGCTCAAAAAAAGAGTGAATTTAAATAGAGAAAAAACAGTGCCTATTAAAATGTTCAGTGTAATCTATTTAATTTCCTTGCGAACGTTGTGGAACCATATTCAGATCATTCATCTTGCGTTTCCCCCTTTTTCACAACATCTTTTCAAAACAAGAGTGTTTGTTTTCCAAGAATTATAATTTAGTGTTTTCACGACCTGTCAAGTTTACCTGAAAGTAACAGATGTATTGTATGCCTCCAACAATTCCCATTGATCATTTATGCCTGTTTAATCGGGTAAAATCACATATAAATCAATTAAGACTTAATCCCATAAATCACGTAATGGGAAACAATTAAAAGTACGAGGCAAATCTCTCGGTGAATTTTACGATCAATTAACAGGTTGGCCGACGGGGAAAAAATGTCTAATTGATAGTTTAAAAGAAGTCTTTTCACCAATAACTCCACGGCCGCCTCTGGTTTGGAGTCCGAGGGGACGCCGGAGAGGCACAGAACGTGACAAGCGAGCTTCTGGTCGATGATGATGATAATGGACGCCGGAGGCCAGCAATCGCAGCCGTTCAGAAGTCGCAAATGTTCATTGAGAAGATGTGTCTGGAGAAGAGCACAAATCGTGACGGAATCGATATAGTGTAAACAATTTTTGAGGTGCTCGCCCTTAAATTGGCCAAGCAAAAACTGGCCGGAATTTTCCGTGTGGCACATTTTGGGGCGTGGCCACGGGGATCCGCCTCATGCACCCTTTGGCACTTTTCACCTTCGCTGTGCGCTCGCCCCAAAATGTGGCGCACAAATTCATCCCCTGGAAAGACGGTGTGGCTGCTGTGGAACGCTTCGTGTGGAACGTGGAATAGTCTTGTTCCCATGGCGAGCGATGGACAAATTTGGAAATTGACATGCAACAGAGAGGCAAAATGCGTGCATTGGGGGGGAGGAAGGGGAAAAAACTGAAATTTAATTAAATAAAGTATTCGCAAGTTGTGGGTAAAAACGCGTTTCCATGGATTTTCTATGAAATATTTAAAATTATTTAAACTAATACCGGGAAAACATGCAATTACCGGCTGGTGCATGTTGTAGGCTATTTTTCACAAAATTCCCCACTCCTCATGCCCGCCAATGGCATCGTCGATGCCTCACGGGGGAACATTTTCCCATCGGCACACAAGAAAATATGCTTCGTTGATTAATTGTTGCATGTTCAACAGCTCTTTTTTCCTCCCGCCACTCCATCGAATATCCATTGTAATGAAATACTGAATTGTATATGAAGTGGATACTATTTTTATTACTTCTCCTATTTTTTCGCCGTGCGCCTATCTTCGTCTGGAGATGCAACTCTGGATGGAGCTGTTTGACTTGCGAGGAAGGTATATGTTGCACTTCAAGTTCAACCACCACGATCTGTGAAAATGCCTCTCTTTCCACCTATATTGCAACAATTGTTCGCCGAGATGGAAGACACACATCAATTAACAAATTCCACGTCACTGTACATATTTATTGTGATGCTTCTTCATATTATATGACTTGATATTGTGCAATATTTCGCTTCCATCGACAACAGTTGATTCGAATTTTATGGCTCAGAGCATTTTTGCGCGCGCCTGTCTAGCTGTCGCATAGCGGCGCTGCTTTGTCCCGGAAACTGTGTCTCGACTAAACACATATTTTGGAAGGGAAATATTTCCAGTCACCCGGCGCCTCCATCTTGTACCCTATACACCACAATACATATTCACATGCGTCTCTTTCACAATTTCTGAATATCCTTGGGTAAAAAATGGATTCAGGAAATGTCGACAAAATTTCCTACATATTATCGCACCTCAGGGCATTCGGAGCACAAATCAAAATACAATAGTTTTTGCGAGCGTCCAACAAAGAAATTGTGAGAATGGGGGCAAGAAGTGCAAAAAAACTGTCATATAATCCGATGAAGAACACTCTATGTACGTACAAAATGTTGTTTTTGGGCGATGGAAGAAGTTTAGAGCTCGACTGGCGCCTTGTCAAGCAAACCACCCCCCTCAAGAGCTCTCCCACACATCCTCGCGTATGTGAAGCATCGTTGAGTGCAGTGAAACTGTATGGAAGTGGATTTATTCCTTCAGACTCACTCCAGAGCAGCACATTTACCCTCCCTGTCTATGTGGAAATTCTTAAGTTTCTCTCTCTTACTTCTCATTGTCCTTTTGTGCGTCTCCAACCCATTCCATCAACCCTAAGACGCGGGGATTCCTCTCGAGGAATTTCTCTGCATAGACATAATATTAGATGAATTCTGAGCTCTTTTTGTTTTCTCTGTATTTTGTCATTTCCCGGGAATATGCATTTTTCAAGGTGGCTGCAAAGAACACTGAAATAGAGAGCCGCTTGCTGAATGTGTATTCAGTTACATTTCAAAATACACTTCACAACAAGGATGTTGAATCAAGAATGGAGAAACTTCCTCTATTTCTCCCTGATGTGGAGTTAATTGAAACAAATTTCCACTCTGGAGCTCAACAAGTTCCTCATAAAACTCATGCTGGGAGATTCATGCCAAATGATTCTTTAATAATCTCCCAAATTGAGGATACAGTCATCCGATATTTTGCGACTTCTGGGCGCTCTCTAGTATCCCCGGACGAAGGTGGCGTAATTTGAGACTCTCGTGGAAACGATCACACCAGAGCAGTGACGTCCAGAGGCGCTTCCGCTGCTCACGCTGCTGAAAGTCACGACGCCCCTGAGGAAGAACGTCTCCGTTCCGTTTAGGACCTTCGCGTCCACAAGACCGCTTCCTGACCGCCTGTCATTATCCTCGGTGCACGCCGCTGTGTCCTTCTGGACAGGGCGCACACAGAACTTGTCCCTAGAAATGTCTCCTGGCAGAATCTGGCCGCACTCCTCCTGAGGCACGTTCAGCACATTGAGGGCGGTGAAGCTGAGAATCTGCTGCGGATGCTCTTCGCGGACGTCCACCACGAATCCCGTCCAGTTTGCTGGTCGATGATCAGAGGCGTTGAAATCTAAGCAAATGGGCTCTACGTTGTTTTCTTCGAATCGAACTGGATCTCGCAATTCCAGCAGAGCGACGCTTTTCGAGTAATCGCCAGAAGGTTCATACCTGTTTCGGAAGTAGAAAAAAAGTGAGTCGGCGGTGATTTTAGGAAAGGTCAAATTTTTCATGTTTCAATGAACCAATAATGGTAATAATTCTATAAATCTTAAGAACCAGAAAATATCGGATAAAGGCAGAAAGTTTTTGGTGATAATATACAAAAAAACAGATTGTTTTCTGCTTGATTAATCAATTAAAACTAGTTTGAGAAATCTTACTTTTCTTTTACATCTTTTTTAAAAGCTCCCTCATTTCAGTGTAAGATTCACATTTATATATTGTATACAAAAATATAGGAATGAATTTGAAATGAAATGCGAAAGTTCAATTTTCACCAAATAAATTTTACAGGTTTTAAAAGTTCATAAACAATTTCTCTCCCGTCTATTTGCTGATTCTAAGTACGTTGTTCGCAGAAGTCACTCTTCGATTTTTTTTTATTTGCTGAACCACTTATAACTCTCACATTCTCATTGTTATTCATATTCACAGAAATTGCAAAAAGCTCTTGTTTGTTTTCGTTCACCACTTATAACGACTCACTGTTTCATGAAAGCTGAAAGTTCTGGCTATTTGCAAAAGTGTGCTCACCCTCTGAGAACGTGGATTCGGCGAATGGCCAAAAGGTCCTGCTTCCTTCCGATGCCCACGAAGAAGTCGAAGGCATTGCCAATGTGTCCGTATTTGTCGCTCCACAGACATCTCGCATTGGTGATGATTGTTGTCTCGTTGATAATAGTTCCGCCGCACTTAATGACAGTCACGGGTTCGTGGGTCACACCCGTGCTTTCGGTGGCATTGGTGAAGATTCCAACATGCCAAGGAACGTGGAAAGACGAGAGGGAAGAGGAGGAATTGGTCACTCTCTGGAGCACTCCGCAGTTCACAGTAGCACTGTTTACTTCCAAATTGAAGATCATTAGCACGAGGACGAGGAAGGTCACGGATTTCTTGAGCCACATGGTTCTAGGAAGTGTCACTGGTGATGCTCTCAAGCGAAGTAACTCCGGCGGAATGATGCCGCTCGGCTTTTATAGACATTTGCCGCTCAAGTGTGTTTATTAACTTGAGCGCTAGTGATTCAGTGAGGTGATTTGCTAATGAAACCTGTTTGCCAATCCACTGGCTCGCAGCATTGGGAAGATATGAATATTAATTATCACCTCATTTGTGTCGGGGAAGAATCAATAAGTCTGTGGCGAGCTACTGGCTCCTCTGACAAAATGTTATGACTTTGGATGGTATCCATGACCTGAAGCTGGCCGAGAGGACTTCGGCCAAAAAGCATCGGCGGAGCGGATGCTTTCCCCGCAAATGTGCGGGTGGATGCAAAAAGAATTGCACTCGGCATCCGGTTCGCTTGAGATGGGACGGCGAGATGGGAGTTGTAGTGCTGCGGCGTTTATAAAAATCCACATAAAATGTGTGGGAGTGTGAGAAACTTGGCGTCAGCCGGTCCATCAATATTTTTGCCCCACATTTGAGCCAATCCTCCCCCTTGTGCGCCACCAACCCAGCCCACTGGATGCACCCGACGCAAACCAAAACACACCAGCACCCACACACACGCGAGCATGTGCGCCGGGGAGCGAGCATGGGCCCCAAAACCCCTGCGCCCCGTGAAAGGCTGAGAACATTTCGCGCCCGCGAAGTCCCATGTGCACACGCGGAAGATGAAGAAAATCCCGGGGGTGGCTCCACCACCCCACACTCCACTGTTTGTTGGAGCAACTGAGGAAAATATTTTCCATTTTCTTTGCTCCGCAATACATAACTTAAATATTTCAGATTATATTTTCCATTTCGCTGCTAGTCGGCGCGCCTCTGGGTTTGGGTGAAGGATACCCCAACATATTACCCACCCCGGAGCACCCCCGAATATTCACCCACATCCCCAGGGAGTTGGCGGATGGAATCCTACATGCTTCACCCTGCAATATTCCACGATGAAACTGCATGCAGCCATACAACACGTGAAATATAGGAGATGCTAGAAACCTCAGAAGGAGTCGCTGTTGAAGAAAGTACAAGAAATTTTAGTCATTCCCATTTGGGATTTCTGCGAGAAATCTAGGGAAAATGTTAGTTTGATTCCCAATGTTTCGTATTTCTAGGAAGAATCTTTAGACGAATGGAAAAAAATGAAGAGAGCTTAGGAGATATTGTCACTTTGTAGTATTTTCAATTATTCTTAGATTTGTGCTTTTCAGAAATATAGCATACCGAATATATGCTCCTAAGCTCAGGAGTTGAAAAGTTCAGATGAAACATTTTATATTCACATAATGTATTTACGTGGAAAACTCCCATATGAAATGGTGAGACTCGAGAGCTGCGCCATAATTCCACAAAATGCATTTTACTTCGCCAAATAGAGTTTTTCCCTCACCTCTGTGCTGGGTGTTGAAAAGAGGAATTGTGGTTTTTATGGTGAGTCCCTGCCACTTGCCAGCCTCTGGGCCAATTTATCAAATTGACCGAAAAAATGATTATAATTTCGTCGAATTACTTGCGCGCCGCGTGCACGGGCGCTGAGCATGAATTTAGAAGGGGGACTGCAATAAACATCCTCCGCTGCCACCCCGCGAGCCCAGTGGCAGCACAAATAAAATGCAATATATGTTCAGTGGTAAAACGCCACCCAGTTGGAGGATGATGGGGCAAAAAGAGGCATTCGCCACCCCCTCTTTCCCAACATTAATATTTAGATGTTCCGGCTTCCACGGTTCCCACCCCCTCATCTCTTCTCTTTTCATTTTATATTTTTCCATTTTCTTGCTATGCTGTTTTCGTGTTCTACTTTTTATCATCGCCCTTTTTACTCCTCTTTTTCCCATATGTGAGTCTCTTTCTTATTTACTGCTGCTCCTTATGTACCCGGCTCATGGTGGGAACTCTTTCTCGAGCTCCCGCACCCACCCAACGCCACCCCGCTCGCACACAGACAGTAGCGGGAAAATCTTGCACACACACAGCCGAGACAGCATCTGGAGGGAAAGCGTCATTTTCTCGATGCACACCCCCTCACGGAGCATCGTCAACACACGAGCGAGCCCAGCAGCGACACTATCGCCTGATCTCTGAGCTCTCGCGAACGCCCTTCGCGCCTGTGTGGGTGATCTGATGCCTGAGAAAGCACTCTTCCCACGACTCTCTTCGGGTGGAAAAACACAATTTCTCCACGAGAGATGCATCACATTTGCAGGCACACTCACACAGCCCCTCTTGGCCTCCCCACAAGCTCGCTTCACCCTCGCGTGGGTGGGCGATGTGTAAGTTTTCTTTCACCGCTTTTCTTTGCCAGAGAATTTTCCATCGGAGTCTGTGTGAGTGTTGTTTTATATTCGGCACACTCACTTTTTATGTTATCCAATGCATTTTCCACCAAATACCCACAGGGTGAGTCATAAAAGGAATGCTAGGGATATTAAAATGAGCCGAATGAATTTAGAAATACAAACCTCAATAACCTCATGCACTCGAATGCACGAGGGAAGTAAACTTTTTCTATTATTGCATTAATATATAATCACTCTGGAAGCAAGCGCATTTAAAAGCTTTCTTTATTCTCTGGAGAGTTCAGTCAAAAATACGCTCAAGAAAATGCTTTTCTTCTTAACTGTGAGGAGTCACCCTGTCGCAGAGAATACGGGGATAGTGTAGAAATATATAGAACTCTCTTTTCACTATATACCCTCGTGGAGAGCTTCTATGTACATGTGAATGCATGTAGCCAAGTATGTAGAAGTAATATCATTGCATTCGACTGAGAAAAGCAGAAGTAGTTTCGCGGACGTCAAGACGATAACGTCGCGGCGGTTATTTCTTTCTTCAGTCTCAACTGAATGGAGAATATTTGTTTGAGATAATTATACTTGCTAAATTTTTCACCCAAATCCACCGTTCTTCGCCAAAAAATATAATGAGGATTACCTGAGGGAAGTGGAAGGAAGGAAGTTCTGAAAGAATAAAAAAGCATCAACAGAGTTTTGTGGAAGTTTTGTGAGTGAAGAAGAAAAAAATGCTAAAGAATCCTGCAATCGATGGGAAAAGAGTTGGTGAAGGAGGAAATTCCGCGAAAGTAGTGAAAAATGTGAATTAGCGAGAGTGGGAAAAAGAATTCACCGCAAATTTGAGAGAGAGAAGAATGTAAAAAAAAAGTTTAACAGCTTTCGGCACCAGAAGCAACAGAAAAGTTCCTTTTTACATCATACAACAAAAAAATTATATTAATATATATACAAACACTCGATGAAACCAAAGTTCCTATTTAAAAGTTTTGAAGAGTTATTAGAATTCTATACAAGATAAATATTTAACACGAAAGAAAAAAGAGGTATAACGTAGTAGACACAAAAAGCGAGGAGAATTTTTGGAAGAAAAGTATTTCAGCGAGTAAATTTTTAAGCAAGAGAAGCGGAAGGCTGATCCACTGGGTGGAGAGGACGAGGGGTGTGGAAAGCTCGTTTTGTGTTAAAGAGTGGACAGCCCTGTGTGTGTCATTCACAACCACTGTGGCAGCACAACTACACTAATAGCTCGGGTTTTAAAGGCTGGCATTGGGAAAGGAGCACAGAGTACATAGTGAAAGTTGTTGAAAGTTCTAATTGACTAATTTGCATCATCTGTTTTCTGTGTTGCTCGTTGCTCGAAGAGAGTGAAAGAGCCACGTGGCTTCGCGCTATTTCTGAGGACCTGCAACCGGTAATTAATGTCCACCGTGGCGAGGAGTGGCAACAGCATCGGCAGCTCCAGCTCTCTCGTGGACGTTGACAGTGCAGACAGCAATGACGCCTCCTCGAGGGACGATCTCGAGGAGGACTTCAAGCACCGCAAGATCAGACAGAGCGTCATCTCTCCACCGGCTCCAGCGTCTGCCACCAATTCGCAGTTTTCCCCCGCCAGTGTCGTTACGTCCTTCGGCAGCGTTGCCGGGATATCTCTGACCCATCCGGCCGATCTCTCGGCGGCCTTTCATGGGTACCATCATCACCACGGCGGAGGTCCTGTGGCGGCGCCAGCTTCTGGCGTCGCCTGCGGCTCTAGCCTGGATGCCAGCAACAACAACAAGCCACCATTCTTGCTCCCCGCTCAGCTGTACAAGAGCCTCTTCGCCAGTGCGGTGCTCCAGAAGGCGCCCAACTCCACGGACGCCTTCAACGGACAACCCTTTCCACGCAACCTCCTCTTCTCCTGCTCTGAGAAGTCCCCGGGCAGTGACAGAGACACCGACGACAAGGCGTCCGAAGAGAACGATGAGGTGCTTTGAGAGAAATTTGCGAAAATCCCTCCGAGGAAGACGTCTTTGTGTCTCCCTCGTAGAGGAGTTCATTAAAATTTAACAGTATTATCCTGTTCATAAATCCACTGATACACTCCATCGTCGGACCCTTTGGCGAAACCCCCCGCACCCGCACTTAAATTTGGGGTGGAGGAAGCACAAAAATTGTCTAATCTGCATATGAAAGCCCAAAAGCTGAAAAATCTGTTTATAGATTTTTCCAGTTCTCAGAATATGCCTTTCAAGAAAATCCAACCCGCTTTTCCCGGTGCTGCGAGAGCGCCTGGGAAATTCAATAGAATCCCCCGTGCATCTGGGCTGAGGGCCATGGCAAACAAGGGGTTAGGAACAAAGAGTTTGACGGAACAAAGAAGAATATACTTTCTACCTCGTCTTGTGCTCTCACACTTCCCCATTTTTCTCCACAGAAAGCCGCAGCTGCATTCGTGTGGGGAGGCGAATCTGGCGTGCCCAGTGTGAATTCAGCATCAAACAATAACAACAACAACCCATCTGGCGTGAGCGGAGGCGCCGGCGGAGGAGTCACACCAGCAGCCGGCAACTCACCGGCCAGTTGCTCGCCGGCCACAGGGATAGGATCGATGCCGGTCGGAGGTGTTCAGGGCCAAAACCCGACTCAGGGTCTGGTGCACTGGATGAGCGCCGTGATGGCGGAGCACATGACATCCAACTCGCATCACGATCCCACCGTTGGAATGCACTACATGTGGAACGGTGGAGTTGATGTGAGTATAATCTATTTAACACAGGATGTGTTTTGCAATGATACAGAGGGGAAGTCTTGATTTCAAGTTCGAATGGGTGGGAGTTGCAAAAGTTCCCGGCGAAGTGTGTTTGGGGGGCAAATTGGGGGAAAACTTGGTCAATGGGCTACAGCCAATTGTGCATTCCGAATCACAAAGAAAGTTGCACGCAGGGAAGTGTGGTTGCTTGAAAAGTTCTAGCGACTCACGGTCAAGATTTCAGCTAATCATTCTGTTTGAACGTAGGAAATAAGTCTATTTGTCTGATAAAAACTAAACCTTTCTCATTGCTCATCTGGAAGATAAACTTGAAGTCGCTCTATCTTCTTTTCTTTCCCTGAATCTTTCCATGGACTGAGCATACCATATTCATAATGCCGGTTATGTATTTATAGTAGCCCTAAAAAGTTATTCTGAATGAAACCCTCTTCGGGAACTACACCCAGTGTCGTGCGAAATCCCGAGAGAGCGCAGGTGATTTTAATCACGATCGACCGCAACCCTTTTCAAGTCTCTACCTCCAACCGTTTTCACCCGAGAGTTTCCCAACATCTTACGATTTGGACCTTCCCTCGCTAACCATGGCTCCAAGGGTGAGAGCTTCCGTTGTTTGTCCATCATGTGTGCGCCGGGGTGTGTGTCTATGCAACCCTCCACGATTTACGACTGTCTCACAGGCTCAACCGGCTGGCTAGTGCGCTGGGTCAGGGTTTGCTCCCCACATCTATCCGTCTTTGCTTCCCACATTCCTCGCGCGCGCACACACACACGCAGCCAACCTATGCGCTTCCCCATCGGCCACCCACCCTGTCGTGCTCTTCCTGTTCCACCCTGGCATCCCTTGGATCAGAAAAACTCTCGCACACATGCACCGCCGGAGCTTTTTCTCTCCAGCTTCAATTGCTTTTTTCGCCCGCCGCCCGCCGACCGCCCGCCCAGCAATGGGTGGGCCGCGTCAGTGTTGGTGCGCCCCCTGCCGCGTACATGGGCGAACGCCACAAAAGGAAGCACACGAGCGCCGGCAAAAAAGGTGCTTCGGTTCTGGTGAACGAAAATAGCGTTCACATGTAGCAGAGCGCCTGAGTGGAGTGTGTGCACATTCCGGCGGGGGGCTGGTGTTGGTGAGGGGGTGGCGAATGAAAAATACAGGCGAGGAAAAAAGTGCTCGCGGCTGTGGAAAAAATCCAGAGGGGGTGCTCGCTCTCTGTGTTTCTCCATATTCCGAGCTGCAACCCTCTCTTTCATGCCAATCCTATACCCTTTTAGTCAGTGAGCGAGAGAAAACTGATTGAAAAATCAATAGAGGCAGACGGAGAAATGGTGGGAGAGCGAAATATTTTCTTATCCGCAAGTTAGAAAAATATATTCACGATCCCACATTGGAAAATATTGCTAACCATATTTTCCACATTATGTACATCATCCATATCCATGCAGACTCCCATCCTCTCGGTCGCGACTTGCCGAATGTGCTTCACCGCATTTCATGCCCGCTCCGCCCTGCCCACTCCCAGTGTATTAAAATATGGGATAAAACAAATATGAGGACATCCTATGAGAAAAATTCCACTCGCCACTCCCTCGAAATCATTTTTTAATTAAATTCACTAAATGAAGCGGGTCCGTGCGAGCCTTCCGCTTCACCACCCGGAAGAGCGGTATTAGGAAATTGCCTCAACATATCTACACCCATCTCATCGTCCCTGCTTAAAGAATTGCCTCGAATTAGGAATTTTTCATTGAGAATCGTGACTTGGAAAGTCACCTTTAACTTCACTGGGGCGAGAAAGTTCTCCAACTCCCAGCCCTAAACTTAACTCTTCCTCAAACACTTTTCAGAGCACAATTCTTCTCACCATCCCATGAATTGTTTGCCATTCTTTTTCACACACTCAGCAAAAAATCAATTAATGCGTTCTGGCTGAAATTAAAAGTTTCCGAATACAAATTTTTTGAAATGAAATATGCACTTGAGTGATTTTCGGAAACCTTTTTGCTCAGCATTATGCGAAACTTTTACGTAGGAAAAAATTAGAATAACATTTATTGAAAGTATCTATCTGAATATCTTAAAAGTAATCATAAATGATTGTGGTTGTATTTTCTCCTTCTTTGCTGCCTCCCGCAATCGCAGCAATGTGGCCAACACACCAAAGACATCGATTACGGTGGTTGGCCTGCACCCAGGAATCACATGTCCATGAAGCAAGGATATGAGGTATCTACAGAAAAAAAATTCACCATTTTCCGCCTTTTTTACCGCTGATTTTCCTTTGAATGTTCTCAGTGTAATTTGAATTCCTCTTTTTGAATGTATCTCATTACATTCTACGTTTATTTTATAGATATATATTGCGTTTCAGTAATCCTATGTTATTGTCTTTACTTTCATTGATTTATCAGGTTATTCTCTCTTTTTAAAAATTATATAATATATAATATCCCATAATTAACATTACTGATTGTCTCTTCTTTTCAGGCAAAAATGAATGATCATCACAGCAATATGCAGAAACGTAAGTATCATTCGATGAAAGTCTGAATCTTAGAGGATATACTTGTTGAAGATATCAAAGAAATATTGGATGTTGGTGAAGGCAGTGTAATGGCTCTCGAAGCACTGCAGCCCTTTGAAAGCACCCACGCTCACGATGCCTCGCAGGTAGAAAACCTGCCGGAGCCTGCCATTCACGGTCTGATTCATGGGCATCATGAATCCTCCGCCACTGTCGCCCGAGCAGACGTTGCTATTCCTGGGATTTCCGGCGCAGAATTTGTCGAAAGTTATGAAGTCCTTGAAGGCATCCGTCGAATTCGCGCGACACGTGGCATAGTCCACCGTGTACAGATCCAGCGTCTTGAGCACTGAACTGTAATCCCCGGTTTGAGTCATTCCCCATCCCGCAACGCGTCCCAAATCTCCGGATAGGACGTACTGTGGAGAGAGGGAAAAAATCAATGTTTGCAATTGATGGGCAATTCAAAAAGTCAGGCGAAAACATGAGATATTTCCGCGTGAGTACAATCAATCGCCACATCCCGTCATCACACAGTCTGATTAATTAGCGATAATTCAGTCAAACATTCCGCAAAGTTCCGAAACTCAAATGAAAAATTTAACTTTAATTATTTGGCTATTTTAATTGTTCTGCTATCATTTGGCGAATTTTCCACTTCACAATACTTTTTGTTGTAATTCCAATAAATATTTCCATCGATATTTTTTTATGAATTCATTAGTGAGTCTTTATTCAACAGCGCATTGATGTGCTTTTGTAGGGAAAAGTTCATTTTCATAATTGAGAGATGAAATCCCTTTATGGTGTCCCTCCAAATTTAGCAATGAATTTTCACTCACCTTGTCATTTCCGAGGGCAGTTGGTATGAGACAGATTGGTTTTATGTATGACCCGAATTCGATGGATCCCGAGAGTTCTACAATTGCAATATCTCCTGTATAAAGTCCTCCTTGGTCATTGTATTCCCTCACGGTATTGATAAGTGAAACATTGAAGAACTGAGCCTCTGTCACCTCCTTGAGGTAGTAGTCTCTGTAAGTCTTTCCGACCGCCACTTGGTAGTCATTGGCATCCCGCTTCTTTCCTTTCGATCTATCCCAGAAGCAATGCGCTGCACTGACCACGGCGGTCGGCGTTATAATACTGCCTCCACAAATTTGGATAAAGCGTCCACTGATACGTTCAAAGATGGCTGCTTGCCAGGGAACCTGGGTGATGTTAGTCTCCTCACCGCCACTCACCAAACCATAACCTTCCTCAATAACGCCACAGACTTGGTTGCATTTGAAGATATGATGACTCCAACTTCCATCATCTAAGCATTTGATTCGGGTCTCAACAAACTCTTTTGGCATTGTGTAACCTTGCTTGCACCTAAGATTAACCACAGTTCCCGGTGGCAGATCAGTGCTGCAGTCCGTTCCTCCGGATGGCGTTTTGCAATCAGCCTTCACAGATAGAGTGTTGATGCGAACATTAGAGCAGTGGCCTAGAAAATTTAAAGGAGTTGATCAGGATACCGACCGCGTGTAAGATTAATTAGTGACTTACGAGTACACTGCGGAATTCTTGGGAGTAATGTTCCGCTGATGCAGTAGACTTGAGTTTCCTCGGAAATTTGAGATGCAACGCAACGAAATTTCACAATTTGCCCATTCTCAATGATCTGTCCAGGGAAGATCTCCGCATTGTTGGTAGCGAACATTCGGCCAGACTCAAAGATGGGAGCTTTGCAAGCACCCGGAGGCGGAGGACGAGTAACAGTCTCTTCGTGGCCAGGTGGTCGAGGTGTACTCTCAATGGGTGGAGGTGGTTTCCCGCACAGATCTTCAGCCTCGTCCGATCCGTCAAAGCAGTCGTACTTCCCATTGCACTTAGAATCGCCAGACACACAGGCGCCATAGTCGCACTTGAAAGCATACGAAGGGCAGTAGTAATTGAAGCATCTCGCCAGGTATTCGTCAGATGCATCTGGACAATCTGCCTTTCCGTTGCACAACTCATCCTCGAAGACACATTCGCCTGAACGGCACTGACTGTATCCCTCCCTGAGAGAAGTGCGCATGCATGAATAGTTATCCTTACAATCTGCCTTAAACAGAGAACTTACGAGCAATTTCCCCTATCCTTGAGGTATTCTAAGATTCCCGGACATCTGATTGTCAGCTCATCGGATTCGTCTATGCACTCTTTTACTCCGTTGCACTCTGCCGATCCGTCAATGCAGGCTCCATAGGCACATCGGAAAGCGTACTTAGGACACCTAAACATACCACAATTATATCTTAGGACTCTCACGAATAGAATATCAGTTCATACTTCAATTGCCGACATGCTCCTGTCTCGTCTGATCCATCTGGACAGTCTTTTTTCCCATCACATCGCAGTAGATCTTCTATGCAATTGCCATCGTCACACACAAAATCATACTCTCCACAGCGAGTCTGTCGTTTATGTCTTGAAGTAAAATTTGCCAACGTGAAACCTTTGCGGAAAGAAAAAATCACGGTGTCTTGAATTAAAATTGATTATTATGTGGGTAAAATGAACAAAACAACAACATTTAGACGTGACAAGGTGTATAATTAACAGAAAAAAGGCAGTTAAATGTGAACTTGAAACGCGAAGAGTCTGTGAAACAGGTTTTATTCGATAATCTATAGAATGTCTTGAGAAAAATGCAAATGACTGCGAATGTTGATAATTTTAAAGAAAAAATAGACGTTTTGAAGTATATTTGACTGAAATGCCACTGAAATTTCCCAAATATTTGTTGATTTCTCTCAAGTTTATCACGGAATTCGGGGTAAGGGCACGTAGTGTGAGATTATACAATGCTCTTTTCGCATATTCATAACAAGCGATAAGACGCGATGCTCTGGGAATGTTGTGCTGACGAGGCTGGGAAATTTTATTGTTCTTCCCATTAGACTGGTTGTGATAGCAGTGATTAAAAAATGAGATGATTAAAATACACACGACGTATTTTCCGAGCATCAGTGCCACGCGAAAGAAACAGCATTATTGAAAAGTCATTAGAGTAATTGATCAATGAGTCAGAGCGGGAAAAACTCATGAGGGTCTTTCCCGCCGCTCTCACTAAAATTCGACCAACACCAACCATTTGTAAGACTAGACAGTTCCATGACCAAAAATACAGCAATAAAGTACCACTTTAGAGCCATTTTCGACTAAAAACACACGCACTGATTAATTTGCTCACTAAATTAAATATCCCGAGAAGCACAGAGGAAAATGCGCGGCCAAACAACACTCACGAGGGGCGAAATTGGCAAAAGCGAGGGGGAAGTTGAGGCGCGATTAGCACATTCCGGGGACAGAAATGCGAGTCTGTCCAACTCCGTGTCGGATCACATCGAAGAAAGCACTGTCGAGGCACGGAAAGATTCAGCAACTACTGGCGAGTGTTGTTGGAGAAAACGAGCGGTCGCTTGCGTGTGCTGTCGTCATCGGCGGCGTCACTCATGGAATGCGAGATGACGCTTAGAGACCAGTCTAGTCGGTTCAGTGGGAATATCAATGGGCCAGTGCTCCCGCCAGAAACCTGCCTCTCAGCGCCGCTCTCTGCAGATTTGCATGCCTAACGCTTTGTCCTCTGGTTTCAGCTCATGGACTCGACGATGGGCGCGCTGAGCACCATCTGCAGAGCGGGCAGATGGCATCGGCTCTGTACGGGGCGGCCGCGGGGGCCCTGCGCTCGGGGTCCTCCAGCAGCAGCTCTCCGGGCGGAGGAGTGCCTGGCGGCGTGGGCCACGGACATCCTGCCACCTCGGCTGCTCTCCTTGTCGTGCCGCAGCCCATCAACGCCACCAAGATTGGCGGCGGACTGCCCAACGGAGCCCCACCTGGACGAAAGTACCAGTGCAAAATGTGTCCACAGGTAATTTGACTCTTTCGCATCCCGTCCGTCGGTCAGTTCATTGGAACACATCAACATGACACAAAAGCCAAAATTTCTGCTCACAAGTGTAGAGAAATGAGTTAAAATTCAATTTCAGCACTTCTGTGCTGAAAATTATATTTTGCAGTATCATTTTTGGACTGTAAAACAAAAAAGCTCATTTAAATTAATTGACTTTTATGACCAGATACAGTGAAACTCATACAAAATGAGTTATAAGAAGAAAAGAAACTCGTGAGAAATTTTTTTCTAGGAAATGCAAGCAAATAATCTATAGTACAAATTCAAAGAGTTATCTTTACATTCTGAAAAAATGTCATGACCTTTATTTTAATTGAAGTGCATAACGTGCTTATTACTAGTGAGAAATATAAGCAATCACTGCAGATTCAATCTTAAGAACGCGACTATTTCCCTAATATCTCACTTAACATTTATTTTTCCGAATTGGGAGTGTGACTGTTTTCCCAACTTAAAATGTTGATACTTTTCTGAATATTAAAAATGTTTTTTTTTTATTCATTACTTCGAGACACGTTTTCTTCATTTGTTTTACATTATTTCATATTGATATTTGAAGTCTCACCGACATTCACGGCTTAATACCATATTTATGCGAGGTTTAAGTCATTATTGGAAAGATAAAAGAGATCTCTGATGAATTTACAATTCATCGGAGGCTTACGTAAGCTAGAGTCGCTAGAGCAACCAGTTCATATCAATTCCGCCGTCCTGGGTGCCAACGACGGGCTTCAGCCCCGATCCAAGTGCGCCCACTTCCGCCAGTCGGGGTGCCTGAGTGCCCGAGAGTCCTAATTCAGAGGGTGGTGTTTTGAATAATTGATTGTGAAATTATGAAAATTCCTGGCGAGAGCGCAGAGCACACCCACCCTCGGCACTCCAACGACGTGATGATGAGGGGTTGCGATGGTCTGATTAACCCCTAGCTGGGCCCCACTATCAAGATGCACCCGCGACGCTCTCTGTCGCACGCCCCAGTCCATCACGGATGGCAGGCTGCACTCCCGCTGCGCCAGAATGGGACAGAGATCGAAAGAGTGGCTCGAAAAAAATCGAAGGCATCCCCCATTTTTTACACCCCCCGAGCCACCCCCGCCCTCCCCGGAGTCTGGCATCGTCGGCTGGCGTTCGGCTCGCCGGGGGTGGGGGAGTGCGCGAAAAAAGAGCGAACAGGAAAAAATGTATAGTAGCTGGAGTGGGGAGTGGGAAAAACGCCGGTCCAGACATAGAGTGATCCCTGTCGTTCGCACTGGCATTTTTTGGCGGTCCTCGCCACGGACGAGCTGCCACCCTCCCGGAATCCGTGCACTTGGCCGGCCGACACTCGCCATCTCCGTCGCACTCTGGCCTTAATCACGATTAAATATATTTTTTCGCCCCATGGTCGGTGCGCCTCCCCCACCCTACGGGACACTCTTGCGCTGGCTCGAAAAAAAGCGCTCGAAAAAAGTGCTGGGATGGAAAAAAGCGCCCACAAACACATTCGCAGGGGCGAGCGAGAGAGGATGCTCTGGAGATGGCTGGGAAATTGGGACGGATGGGGACTCTGGTGTGCATCGGTGTGCGTTGGCGAGAGTGGAGGGCCGAAAAATTGTTTTTAGACGACGCGTTTTTTCTAACTCGCAGTCGAGTTCTTTCAATCTAATGAGCAGCATCGACACTCTCCCGCGAGAGACTCCCGTCGCGCCGCTTTGGGGATTCTGTGGGCAGCTGTTCGCGCGACACCTCTATCGCTTATTGATTTGTTGTGTGCTCTCGAGTGCAGGGGACGCCGTGGAAAAAAACCTTGCCATCTATCTCCTGGGTGGAATACCCTTCCGCGTCTCCGTGAGCCGCCGTTGTGGCCGTTGAACTATTCAAACTTTCGTGCAATATCGCGGAAATTATGGCGAATATTGGCTTGATCCTGTGAAAACTCTCGCTGCTCACGAACACAGTGCCTAAGAGTTGGTCTCTCCCCGTGAAACCTCGAGGAATACGCCCCGAAAAATGCAGTGATTCCAATTGATGTGACGATCCGAAGGTCGCGAGTGGCGTCGCAGGCGGACGATCCGCGAGGCATACATTTTCGGTCAGGTAGTTAACGATCGTCGAGAGCTTTGGCGGAGTGTTTCGAGAGTTGGGGCACGCTGGAGGGCCGCATTCTGGAGTACCAGAGCGCTGGTGGTGGCCTGGACTACCACCACAACAGCCCCCTGGTGGGGGAGATCCCAACCGCCGAGTACAATAGCTACATCCACCGGTCCATCGATCAGTTGCGATCGCTCAATGGCTTCCCCGCCAACCAACCCAGCGGCTCTACGGATCTCGTGCGCTCGATCCACCTGTCCCACCACCACCCCTACTCCGCCCACCCGCAGCAGCCGGCCCTCCAGCAGCACCTCGACTTCAAGCCCCTGTTCAACAACAACAACAACGAGGCGATTGAGTATCCATCGAAACAGTCTTCCGCCGTGGGCAATGCGACCGCGTCGGGGCCGATTAAGAACGAAGTGCCACCCCCAAAGTCACCCTGTCCGTCACCCACCGCCGCCCTGGATGGGCACACAAAAGACACCAAGGTAGAGCCACTGGGCTTGGCCATTCACCCCAAACACCCGCCAAGTCCACCCCTTCGGCTCTGTCGCACCCTCAGAGCAGTTTTTAATGAGACACTCCCCCGCCGCACGCATCTCGGGGGCTTTTCCACCCTTTTGCCAAAACTTGCCAGTGGACTTTTTTCCCGAGCACCCCTCACTAATTACCACTTTCCTCCTGCACTCCCAGCATCCCCGTCGCCAGGGGAAGTCGCAGCCATGCCGGGGCTGCTCATGCGAAAGTATTGGGAGATTTTTCGCAGCAACATTTTTACAGCTACATATTCAAAATTGGACGATTAAAAGTAATTTCTTCTCATAAAGTGCAATTGCGATGCGAAATTCCATTTTATTCGACATCATAGCACATTTTAAGCAAAAAAAAATTACATAATATATCTTCCTCGATTACGCATTAGGGTGGGTTTTCACAACTAATAAAAATAAAAGACTGTGTCGCTGTACTCAAATAGAAGGATTTTTTGAAGAAAAAAAATCATTTTTGGCTCACTAAATAGTCAGCATAAAAATACAATTTTATACTAATATAGAAACGAATTATTTAAAAAAAAATCAATCATATCTAATAACTGTTGACTTTTTGTTGTGTTCATTTTATTTGATATTATCTATGCCAAATTTTATTTCTCTGGACAGAAATAGTCATAGAACAAATAATAAATTTTAATGAACACTTTGAAATATTTCCATTGAAATATTTTCAGAGTGTGTATTTATTTTTAGTATTCTCGAAACTTTGCTTATTGATTTCAGGAAAAATCTGAATTGACTTTATTTCAACATCAAAAAGCTACATCTGTAGTTCATAACTGTGCTCATTGTGAAAAGTGTGGGTGTTTCGGTAGCAAGCATAAAATAAAGCAAACTCATTATGATTGGATTCATTTAAATTAAAAATTGTAAATTGTTAATTACAACTTAATTTTTGAACTCATCCCGGAAAGTTGTTGTCGTCGTTGGAAAAAAAACCTTCGCATTACATATGTTTTAATACAAACATACATTATAGTACAAATGTAATCTTTAACATTACTCTATATTCTAAAATTCTTGACACAAATCGTGGCTTAGTCTTTTTAGAAATAATGCGGATTTCATGTCTAGGTTGAGTTGAACAGCGAGATTCTTTTTTTCTTCAATTTGATAAAGATTTTTGCTTGGATTTTCGACGTTTATAGTGATAATCACAGTTTTATTTACAACATTAAAGTTCACTTCAAATACGGATGATCTCATATTTAATGTTCAAATTGAAATGAGCTTTCAACAATTTTGAGGAAATTTTGTATGTCGTATTTACACAAAGCCAGTAATATATTAATTAAAAGGTTATTTTATGTGTTTTTATAGGGTGTTATGACTAACGAGATTTGCTATTGTTTCACGTTTACATTAATTCGTAATTTCGCATAATATTGAAATTTTGCAACACATTCGGGAGAGTAAGTGATTTGGCTCTATTGGAATAAAGCTCGTCTTGTGGAGGCAAAATTTCATGAAATTTTCAACATTGTTTTCGTGTATCTTTGCAGATCTTCAGCTCCAAGGCGGACCTGCAGCTGCACACGCAGATTCACATGCGTGAGGCGAAGCCGTACAAGTGCTCGCAGTGCTCGAAGGCGTTCGCCAACTCGAGCTACTTGTCCCAGCACACCCGCATCCACCTGGGCATCAAGCCGTACCGCTGCGAGATCTGCCAGCGCAAGTTCACGCAGCTCTCGCACCTGCAGCAGCACATCCGGACGCACACGGGCGACAAGCCGTACAAGTGCCGCCACCCGGGCTGCCAGAAGGCCTTCTCGCAGCTCAGCAACCTGCAGTCGCACTCGCGCTGCCACCAGACGGACAAGCCCTACAAGTGCAACTCCTGCTACAAGTGCTTCTCGGACGAGCCGTCGCTGCTGGAGCACATCCCCAAGCACAAGGAGTCCAAGCACCTCAAGACCCACATCTGCCAGTACTGTGGCAAGTCCTACACGCAGGAGACCTACCTCTCCAAGCACATGCAGAAGCATGCCGAGCGGACGGACAAGCGGCCGCCGATCACGGCCGGCATGTCGGCGCTGGGCATTAATCGTAACATCGGTCTCAACACGCAACTGCCCGCGGTGCCCGGAGAGCATCCGTACTGGCCCAAAGTGAGCCCGGACTCGGCGGCCAGTCTCACGGAGGTGATCCAGCAACAGCAACAGCAGCACGCTTCATCCCACCATGACTTCCACGTGAACCAGCACCAGAACAACGGACACGCCGAGCTGCAGCAGCAGGGCCATCACCGCTCCCTCCTGGACAATCACCCGACTCGGGAGGATGTCGGCGAGGACCTCGTGGTGAACCGGCAGCAGGGTCTCAGCGTGACCGCCAATTCGCTGCCGCCCTCTTCGACGCCCACCAACTACGAGGGCAGCGCGGCCAGCATCACCAAGACGGCTCCCGTGAGCAACTCCGCCTTCACGCCCATCAACTCCATGACGCCCCACCTGAACTCACTGGGCCACCACCACCAGCTCGCCCAGCGGCCCTATCTCTACGACGCCATCAGCTTCCAGAACAAGAATGTGAACCAGAACGCGGGCGCCTCCTTCCCCAACCAGCTCATCTCGCTGCACCAGATCCGCAATTACGCGCACCAGCCCGGAGGACTCATGGCCGGCGAGCACCTGCTGGGCGTGAGCGTGGGCGCCGGCAAGGACAAGGGCTAAACCACCTTCCAGGGGAGCGACACGTACCTGCCAGAAGGGGCACACTTGATCGCATTTAATACGATTTTTCACACACGCGTTTGTTATCTCACCTATCAGTTGATTCAACCTGTGATTTTACTTACACACGCTGAAGACATAAAGAGACTTGGAAGAATACTTTATTGCCTGCAACTGTGGCTTTCAGCAATTTTGCGAAAATTTCAGCAGGATGGAGGAATGAGTTTGAAATTTTGCAAACCTAATTGTGAACAAGAGACTTTCAGACAAAACACTTTTCAATTGACAAGAGAAGTGAAGAAAAACTATATTGATTACTCCAAAACAAGAGCTAAAATTGCAATTTTAAACTGTAGCACAAAAAGACAACTTCTTTAAATGTCCCCTTTGAGAAATTTTATTGATTTTATAATTATCTTTGTAAGTCAATTGCATCAGAATATTGAACCCTCATGAGGATAAAATTTCAATATTGGTCATTTCGACGCTGATTTTTTTCTCATGAAAATTTTCCACGACGAAAATTTTCCAAACCAATTATTTCTCCCAATTAAAAATTATCAAATTTCACTTGAATTCAACGGAATAGTGATTGCTATTATTATAATCAGTGCATGTCGCTACGGAACTTTAAAATAATTTTTCTCTCATTTCTTGCGAATAAAAATATACCAAGATGTTTAACTTCATTATAATCAGAATAGAAAGTTTTCATGGCAATTTTCTGTAGCGAAAATCCGTCTACTTTGCATCTGAATTTCAAATTCTTCGAGAGCAAAATGCAGGAAGTTTCGCAAAAATTGCTGAAGCCTCAAACTGAAATAGTGCTACAATATAAGGAAATAGAAGATGTGTTTGTTTACCGTCCACAATAGAACTGTTTCAATTTTGAGCTGAAGGAGGAAATTTAATTTAAAAGATAAATCTTAAGCGCAAAAAATGTATTGAGTGGAACAAATCTTTGGACGTGGAATGGACTAAAATTCTGGTATGTACAAGAGAATGAGGCAGAAGATGACGGAATATTTGCATAAATGCACGAAATGCATATAAATGGACGAACTGTGATATATTTTGAATATTTTCAAACATAACTTTAATTACAAAGGAAGAAATGTTGTAAAAGATTACTAAATAGTATTAAATAATTATAAAGGAATTTATGTAAATAGTCCTGTAATGATAAATCCAATTAGAGATCAATAGAGGTAAACCTTAAGCGGAGTAATCTCCTGATGTCCTCAGACCCTTCTCTCACACAAGAAAGTAGATAATAAAAATTCCATGTAAAACATTATGCGTATCTATTGATGAAAAGGAAAAAAAATACTATTTAACAAATATTTATAGCGACACTACGAGATGGAGAGTGAAAGGAGGAACATGTTTAGAAGAAAGATTACTTTAGCAATGCAACGAAATGTCAATAAATTCGATTTTGCAGAAGATTTCTTCAAAAACATACATTTATTATATAGGAGTATATTAAAAAGAAAAAAATGTCTATCCCTTTGTAAATGTGTGATTTCCATATCTTTGCAAATTATCTGACGAGAAAAAAAAAAACATGATGCAAAAGTGCAGAAAAGATACATAAAGTAACATTAAAACGAGGTGAAAAATTAATGTAAAAGTGAGTGTAATTAAAATAATCAAATGTTTTTTGCTGTGTAAAAAAAACCCTTTAAAAGAATTGTAGGATAATTTTGATTTTTCTGTCTCTTCTGTCATTTCTGTAATAAATAATATTATAAATAAATAAAATTATAAATGTACGTGCGTCGTTATTTCTCCCTCTGGAAGATTCGTATCGAACTTTAGACGAGTTTTGAGGGGAAGGCCCCTGGAAAGCTCGTCGATGTCCCACAAGTTTGTCCCACATCCACGTTGCCCATAACCTCAATCTCAATCCCGAAGTGCCCTGGGAAAATTGGTGATTTTGCTGTATTTCCGTGAATTTGTGTTGAAAGTCTGGTGAAATCAGACTCAATGGCTAACAACAATGCTCCCGGAGATTGTGGGAGTCTCGAAGAGGAGGTGTGGAACGAATTAATAGGCATTCCGTCAGACGTTCCGGAGCATCGTGATGTCTGCGAGAGATGCAGGTAATTTTCCACTTCCTGAGCTGACATTTCTCCACAAATTCACTTGATTTACAACTTTCAGGCGCCCCATGACAGTCTGCTGGTGTCCCCATTTACCCACCACCCCTCTGAACCCGGAATCCCGTGTGATAATCCTGCAGCATCCGGCAGAGGAGAAGAGATGTCTGCAGACAGCCAAGATGCTCTCCCTGGGCTTGGCAAATAACAAATGCCTTGTCTTCAGGGGCAAGAAGTTTCCCTCGCCAAAGCACGAGACTCTCCTGCGGGAGATTCTGGAGGATCCGCGCTCCCTGCTGTTGTATCCCAGTAAGAGTTCAGTGCCCTTGGAGGATGTGCCCACTCAAGACGGCCCCTTTAATCTCATCCTGCTGGACGGAACGTGGTCCCAGGCGAAGGCCATCTACGCCAGCAACTCCTCCCTTCACCAGATGCGACAGGTGAAGCTAATCACGACTGGGAACAGTAATTACGTGATAAGAACTCAGCCGACTGAAGGGTGCTTGAGCACTCTGGAGGCGGCGGCGGAAGTGTTGTCGATTGTAGAGCAAGATTGCATGTACAGAGAACAACTACTGAAGCCACTCCATGCCCTCTGTGATTTTCAATTGCGCAACGGCGCCGTAACGCATCAATCGAAGGAGTTTCTCGTCAAGACCAACAAATATCCCAAATTGATTGGTCGCCGACTCCGAAAGCTGCTCAGGCAAACAGATGCCGCAGAAGAGGAGGAGAAGTAGGGGATTTTATGGTATATTTGGCATAGCCCCAATCCTGACAAAGTACGGCAAAACATCCAGAGGAGCTCTGTAGCTCGGCAGCCACCGCGGACCCTGAAAAACTGTACTGTTGTCATTGCCATCCCTCCAGATCCCGTACGGAAGGAAGATGCCACGCTCTGTAGTGTTTGGATGCAGCACAGGAGCCACAATTACGTCATCCCCCAAGAGATACTCTGAAATAAAGATAAGTAGAATCAATGATTATGTCTAATTGGAATGATTGGCATTGATTTCTCACGGTCAGAAGTCTCTTGCGCACGCCAATTTGCCGGATAGAGCCACCAGATGGGCAAGTTCACCGGATCTCCCTCGGATTTAGCCAGCTTGAAGCGATCCATAAACATTCCTAGGTAGTTGATGTGTAGCTTGAGGAATTTATGGGTCAGTTCAATTGTCTCATCGTCGAATTCCCATGGCGGCGTTGAGAAGGCCATTGAGGGTGTAAACACAGCCGCTTGCATCCACCGGATGTAGAGATCCTTGGTTAAACCGACAGGATTCACTCCCCCAATCGGAACCATCAGGAAATAGTATCCATTTAGATTTGTTTGCAAAATCTTCGGAATGAGCGCTTCCAGGCCATTCTGGATGTCCCAGCGATTCTCCAGATCCGGGATTTTCACGAGAACAGGCAAATCCTGACTACAGAATCCCGTTCGGAGGATGGTTCCTGAGCAGAACTCCGCCATGGCTCTGACAGAATCTACTGTGTATTGAATGGGATGAAGATCCGTCGAAACACCCTCAAAGTTGGGATCATTTGGGGCAGAATCGAATTCTCCACCTTCGAAGTAGAAATTATCCACTCCAATCAGTTGGAGATTTTTCAGACGCGTCATGAACCACCAAGAAGCTGCAGGGTTGGTGAAATCCACAGTGGCAGTTCTGTCAAAGTTCAAGTAACTGTTCTGGTGGGTCTTTACAAGGAAACCGCGCGAGAGAGCGTCCTGGAAGTACGGATTGCAGTCCTCGTGGATGCGCGGTGACACTGTGAGGGTCAGGAGGATTCTGTAGCGTCTTAAGTACCTTATCAATCCCTCAACGTTGAGGAATTTGATAGGATCGAATTCCAGGGCTCCATGGCAGACTTCCCAACTTCTGTCCAGAATGATGCTGGATGTGTTGAAGTCATAGTACATTAAATTATCCACATACTCTTGAACCAGCGATCTGTTGCTGTTCCGAATAATCCATTTGGGATACTGGATTATTCGGCGATCAGGGTAGTGCAGGGGTTTCCTCAGATATCTTCCGACCGCCTGTTGATGAGCTCTCTTGGCATTCGATGCCACTCCGATGGTGTAATTAAAGCTGAACATACTGCCGTAGGTGTAATAGGGATTCTGTTGCTTGGCCGCAAAGCAGAGATGATTGGGTTTGCGATTGAGGAACAGAGGAACTCTCTCGTTAAAGTACACAAACAATCCCTTTGACGTCAACCAGTATCTCTCGGAAATGTAAGAGTGGGAAGACTCCTTCGGCAAGTAAGCGTCATCTGTGAACTGCAAGCGCTGCGATGGCCAATATTGGTAGTATTTCAGGGGACCAGCGAACCAGTTTATTCCGTCTGGATTCACCAGATCAAAGCAATGCTCCACGAAGTCAACCTGCCAGACGGTCTGATTGATGTGGAAGACCGCTAAGCCGTCTTCATCGACAACGCGATTGAAGCTCACTGATCCCTCTCGACTGCGTAAAACGTACTTTCCATTGCCGTGATTTTCCACCTTCACGTCCCAGCCCAGATTGGCGCCCATCCGAACAACCTGCACGAGGGTGCGGTTCTTGTGGATGGTGTACGTGACGCCGTCCTCGGTGAGCTCAAACTCGAACTGCACATGCACTCCAGCCTTCTGGAAGTGCACTCTCAGGACATCATCGAAAGGCGTCACCCAGTGGATGATGAACACTTCAATCAGCACAAAGATCACTGTGGCTGTGATTCCAGCAGCTCCCCACTTGAAGGCAGACTTGTACTTCGATCTCTGCAGTTTCCTCTTCTTCTCCATGGTGATCCCGAGTGAACTGGTCAGACAATCACACTCCCGGAACCTTTATACCAGTGCCAATCATCGCAGATAAAATCTAAAGCGAAAATCCTTGTCTGTCCTCGAGTGGGCCGATGATAAAGACAACATGGTTCTAGTAAGTTGTCACTTTTATTTCTGTATAATCATTATAATATTAATCAATATAATTTTTTTTTCTGAAATATGCAATAATATCTTCAAATCTTTTCTACAAATTATTTCATTTCACTAATGATTCATATTTTGCAATTGAATGCCTCCATTCATCGCCTCTAAATAATACTTTTACATCATGGATGGAACAGAGGGAGAATATTTTGTCAAAGTAATGTACAAAAATTGTCTCTACTAGAAATTGTATTGATTCTCTTAAAATGATCATTGATTCCTTTTTGCCACTTAATTATGTACAACACATATACAGAAAGGGGGCTGGATCGGGGGGTGCTGGAAGGAACTGTGTGATCTGGGGATGCATTAGAAAAAATTGTGTCTCATTTTGTGCCAACACAAGTATATAACTAACCATTTAATTGCTTTCCCACTTCAGTATCACCTTCCGTGAGGGGGGAAACGCACACTCTTAATCTTTTGCTTGCTAATCACACACAAAAGAAAGGTGAGAATGCTGTTGCTACTCTTCTTTCGCTATATTACAAGATTTCTCCTCAACTTATTCACCTCGATTTCAGGGCAGGAACAAGATAGAGAATGGAATTGCTAGAGATTTTTTTGGGATATCATTTCTACCTTACGATATGAGGTAAAATGTCAGATAAATCGTTGTCTTTTCGCTTCAAAAAGAGCAATACAAGTCACCTGAATTAAATCAGTTCATAGTAATAATTTTGCTAATCTTTCAACTGGAACTACCAGAAAATCCTAACCACTCATTTGAAAACTCACATCTTCGGTGTTTATTGACGAATTGTGATAAAGTTAATAAGTAATGTTACTCACAAAACTTATTACTTTCACACACAAATTTGCCAAGTCACTGTTAGTGATGCTTTGCCATATTTCCAAAGACTTATGAAAGTTAATTTGTGGCTAACAAGCAATCCTCAAACACTAAACATCTGAGCCTTTCAAATGGTTTATTCTCTTTCACGATTGTTCTTCAAGATTTTTGAAAGTTTTTCTCTCCTTGGTCTGTGCCCTAAATTCGAGGGGATTTTATTTTCTCAGGAAATATGTCCTCCTATCCTACTGTCCTACTTCAAGGAAGTGTACCCCACAAAAATATACCGTCTCTTTGTTCTCCTGGCTCTTCACCATGATATTGAATATTATCAGAATTGTACAATATTTATATATTCAGCTCTGGCATTTATTGTAAAAACTATTCAATTAAAAGCATTTTCATTTATATACTGTATTGTTGTGCTTAGATGTCTTTTATGCTCTTCCTTATATTTTTTTCTCTGATTTTTGCTTTAAGCATACTTTCTAAAGGTATCCTTATTTGACTTCTCTAAGTTTCAGGCTCAGCGGGAAAAATATTCAGGGACAGGGAATAAATGCGCTTTTGTGTGTAAATGTGGAAATTGCGGATTTTTTTTTCATTTCATTGTGCTTGTCAAGTTTGATAATTTCAATAATGCGATCTGTGTGATTATTAGAGATAAATTTGTCTCTGGAAATAACTTTCACATACAATTAATGGGTGTCTCGTGTGAGACTAATTTTACACACTTCCCTTCTCCTCTTAAGATGTCATCTTAGAAACTATACATAAGGTGATGCTAGCGTTGTCAAGAATTGAAATTCGTCCCACAGAGTCAATGTAGGAAGAATGACCATTTTCAGTATTTTCCGCCTATCTTGCGCTGACCCACTTTCGAAGTTTTCTAATGAACTCTTATACCAACTATTATGTCAAACTTTTGCATTGCCTTTTCTGTCGATAAAAATGAAATTTTCTTGCTTTTCATCCTCTTTTTCTTCTTTTTTTTTGTACAAATATTTGACACAGAGAAGCAAATTTAAATAATTAGTATTTTCTTGGTATATCTGTAGTATATTTCACTTTTTCAAAGAGATTATTTATCCTTTATTTACCCTTTATCTTCGATAGTGATATATTCTGTAGACAAAAACCTGTATATATTGAGAAGCTTCAGTTAATTTCTTTCATTAATTACTATAGTATATCTCATCTCTTGCGCAATTTCTCCCACGTCTGCAAGTGTTTTGCTTTCTCTCTCTCTACTATTTAGTATATATGTCTTTGGTTTCACTCCACTACGCATCTCTGCCTCGTCACTCTTCTTTTTCATTTTGCTTCCACTCGAAAAAGGGGAGGAGGAATTATTGATTTCGATGGCCAAAAAAGAATAAGTGGGTGGTGTTGCTCCTTCCATTTACCTTTTGGCTGTTTCTCATTTACTCAACTAATTTGTGCCATTCGGCAATTTGTCGTCTCGGTGAATTACAGACCTCATTCCAGTGGTTCAGAGTCGTGCCCGTGCACCGAGGACCGCCCAAGTCCAGCCGCCCGATCACCTCGTTCTTCGTCACTCGGTCCCAGTCGAGGAGCATCAGCTCCAGCGCGACCCCATCCAGCGTGGCTCCAGCTCCCTGCGACAGGTTTAATGGCCGTGATTAAATATTTAGCATGCGGCATCACGTTGGCAGAAGAGCGGCACTCACCTCAGTTGTTGGGATGTCGAATGCAAAGCTCTCGTTGAAGACGGGACTCAGTGTCCTCTTCTTCACGTGTGTCTTCTTCTTGGCAATTCTCTGGCCGTTGTACAGAAGGTATATCTTCACGTAGGGGTCAGCCAAGCCGGTCACGTCCATGCGGGGCAGATTGCGCGCCTTCAGCAGAACAACTGTGAGCCTGGCAGCTGCTGGTTGCCAGCACAGTGAAATGAGAAGCTCGCCACGTCCCTGAGCACGGATCTGGGAATTGCGACAGTATGTAATGCCGTGAGTGTCTTTTATTTCAATTATTACTCTCCAGGGGCTCATCAGTAAATTAACATTAATATTCTGCCGCAAAAAGCCCACTTTTACTGGACTATAAATAAAGTTTAACTTCGTTTTTGGAATTATTGCATTGATTTCACGCTCAAATAAATAGTTGTTTAAGGAAAAAAAATCTGTGAAAAGGATAAAACATGACTCTGGGAGAGACGTCGAAATGGGTGGAGTTTAAACAATAAATGGAGGATTAAAAAAATACAATATTGTTTTGAAATCATTGCATTTTTTGTCATATTTAATTGTTAAAAGCGTTAAAAGCCACAAATATTGGTGATATTCAGACGCAAATATCCTATTTGTTTGCCAATTGTGATGAGGCGGAGTGCAAATTTGCTTTTACTGAAAATCGAATTTTATACGTATTTGTTTGGTATTTTTGTTCAAAAATTCATTAAGAATCTATGTTTATATTTCCGAGAAGTGATACAGCCTACACGCGTATCTGTAGTTTTAATTACGCTCCATTCAAAATACACAAAACGCGTTTTGATAGCTTATTTCATTTATGGTTTGGGTTTTCAATGGCTTAATGGAAATTACTATTCACCGCACAAATCGAATTACTCGATGAAGGCATCAGAGATGCTCATTAATGCTGGGAAACTAACGTGTAATCGTGTGATTAGTTTGGTATTTTGAGCGGGATAAATCAATATTGGGGCGAAATAGTAACAATATGGAATATTTCTCGTCGGCATTATGAGAGTGCAAATGAATATTCATGTGTGCGAGCTCACCTTGAGACTCCTGGGCTGTATCTCTTTGCTGAATGCCATCTGCTGATTCTCGATCTGGGAGAGTTCCATGCTGGACATGGGGCAGATGACCTCGCCGATCACGTCATCGCGGGAGTAGCGATCGAAGCTGAGGACGACAAAGTGGAGGGACATGGAGCCCAGTTCGGCCAGAGTGAGTCCGTAGAAGGTGAAGTCCTCATCGTAGACGGGATTTCTGGTGTTCCTCACCACGCGAGTCTTCACCTTGTGCTGCTTCTCGGGAAGCAGCTGCAGTTTCACGTACGGATCGGTGTTGCCGGTGTTCTTGGCGCCGCTCAAGTCTCCATTGCTCACAGTGCCGCCCTTGCCAGGAAGACCGCGGCAGCGCACAACGGACACCACGAGAGCTCCTTTGTCGACGAGGAAGCGCAGCTTGAAGACCAATGTTCCCAGTCGTCCGTACTCTCCGCAGTCGCCCTGGTCCACGGGGCTCTCGGGCTCGGGGGCGCGTGTCTCGTGGGCCACCATGCGCGGCAGAGGTCCAGTCTCGCTCTCTTCGGCGTAGCGTACTTGCGTGGGGGCCTCGGGCGGCGATTGCAGCGAGCCGGGAGGTGGTTTGTTGCCCGTCGGCGATGGGGACTTCTTGAGGTAGTGCGGCGGGGCGCCGCTGGGCGAGCGCACAGCCGTGGGGCGCCGCGGTGGCTGGAAGGGAAGGCTGGCATCGTGGCCGTTAGTCTTCCTGTTGCGCTGCCGGATGCGACGGGCGCAGTAGCATGTCAGCACGGCCAGAACCACGGCGGCGGTCAGACCCGCAGCGACCGGCACCACTGCAATGAGAGTGAGTCAGACTATGAGTCAGCGGGGTGGCCAAAGAAGCGGGCACGAGAATGCACTCGGATCAATACCCGTGGTCGCATGAGTTTGTTTGCTCCACTTAGAAACACCCCCGCAATTGACGTGAGATTCCTTCCGTATTGATGTGTGCCGACAATGGTTTATCAGACTAACTTTGTGCCCTCATGTGATGACTTCAATAGAGTTATTTCAAACTCCAGAGAAACATTGCATATTACATTACAACAGATCCTGTTCGATTTCTCAGGTCTTAATGAATTGTGTTGGTGATGTAATAATAAAACAAAGGTGAAAGCATAATAAAAGGCTTTCACTGGGATTTAATTTCAGGGCGTTTTGATTAACACAAAACTAATTATTCTCAAATTGCCACAACTCGAAAATGTTGACTAGATATGATATGATTTGTTTTTATTGAATATTCTCTTTCTGCTACATATTATGTAAGATACAACAACAACTTTAATTACTGTTAAAGACAGACAACGCATTCGAAACAATATTAATTCAATTACGTCAGTGCATTCAAAGTTTTGCTCTTTTCTCGTGACAATATTCTCTAATTGTTCTATTGCAAGTCAAATTGCATCGAAGAGATTTGACAAAACTAAACATTCTGTGCTGAAAGTGTTAAATTGACTTCCAGAAAAATCCACTTTGTCGTCAGTATTCGCTGAGAGTGATCAAATAAATGGAGAAATCTATTAGATATTTGCAGTGCAACTTTTCTGAAATTACGTGTCCTGAAAGTTTGCAGATATCCAACAGTCGTTGCTCTGAATTAAATAAAAGTGGTTGTGTGCAAAGTTTTCGTGCAATAACTTGTGTATAAATGCTGAGCTCTTTTTACTTTTTGGAGCATGAATTCATGTCATGAGATGGTACTTTTATTAGTTGTGTGTAGAGACGCCTGGTGAATATCAATGGAGGCGCCTAGTGTTCTCCTTTTGTGCGATACTTAGCCAAAATAACGAGCACGTCTATTCGTCAATTAATATTTATAAATGCTTTTATGGACAGGGAACGTGTTTAAGAGCGAAACTAAATTCCGTTGTAAATTGTCCTGTCGTGCTACCGGAAGCACAAGAACAATGAAAAGAGTGGGAAGAACGGAAAAGGTCAAATCAATTAGAGAAGCGATACTTTTCACTGATATAATATATAAACATTTTCATTGGAATAGCTAAGCTACATAGCATTTGCCATTTCGGATGGGTTGGAAAAGGCACAAAAGATTGCATCAAATCAAAAAATCATTTGGAGATTTCGTATGTAATATTTGTGCTCTATTTCGGTCACAATTGACGAAATGGAAATCACAATTGCGATATCCTTCCTAAAAATATTCCCCAAGTGAAATTTGAGTGTGCACGAAAAGCGACTGGGACAAAATGTGGAGATACTATATTGGACCTTCCGGCAACGACAATAAAATCGATACAATTTCACCGAAAAATGTGTAGGAATTGCCGAGATGGGAAATGTTGGAAATTTTATCCAAATGGACCACAAAAAGGTCTTTTGCGCAATCAAATTTCCAGGGAATGAAGGTGGAATAATAGAACTTTCAGGGGTGAACAACTGTAGAATCCTTTATTCAAAACATCCAACTCCATCTCGTTGGGCAATAAAGTTCTGCAATTGAATAGAAATTGAGAGGACACAATCCCATTTTTCTTTCACAAAACCCTCATTAAATCCCGCGATTTCTATCTAAATAAATAAAGTGATCTCATGAGTCGCAGTTACTTGCCCCCGGGGGTGAAAAATATGCGTGTTTTCTCCTTCATTTTCTCCACTTCGCTATCAAGACCAAGAAATGTCTGTCGCCTCGATTTTATCGCAAAGGTCATCTTTTATGTCTTCTCCGTGAAAAGTTGTGCACAGGAGAAGTTTTATTCCGCCTCTTCCACCATCTTTACCACCCCTCGGATCCCATCTTGTGTGGGAAATTGTTGTTGCAATCTCCACTATTTACATTTACACACTTTAATCCCCAGCCCTGAAGGCTGGCTCGGAACATAATTCGGCGAGGTGTCGTGTTAATTTATGTCTTCACATTCGATTTACTAGCAAAATATGTGACGTAAAAGCCATGGAAAGGGAGAACTTTCTTTCTCGCTAACGACGTGGGGGTGAGCGACGAATGAAAAATTAACCATTCTCTCACGTCAGTTAGGTGTCCACTTAAATCCTGGCATAATCATGTCGCGTCATCTCAACGCAAAATCCTGGAAAATTGTGTCCTCTGCATCCGCCCACAGTGACCGGAGCAAAAATAGACTTGACCGGGCCACTATTGAGCATTGAGGATTGCTTTTTCTCCTCTACTGGACACTCTTGTCGGCCAGAGATAATTCCCAGATTAGATTCTGAGTGCCCTTAGCCATCTCCAGTGTCCATTGACCCTTTCGCACCTTCGCCCCCTCAATGGTCATCCATGAAAATTCATTCATGGGGCTTTTCTCTCTTGTCTCATGCGAGAAGATTAGATTTTCTTCGTGTCGTCTCGAGAAAAAAGTACAGCTTGAGAAAATTGTCTCTGTGTCAGAGGGAGGGAGCAAAGAGGGTGACGGGAGTGATTGTGAATTATGTGACTGTATGAAAATGGCAAAATGATGATTTGGTGGAAATGGAATTGAAATTTTGTGTGACTCGGTGAAAATTTGCTTCAATGGGAGGGTGTATGCTTTTCTTTGCCCACCCACACAGGACGAAAATTCCCTCGGCATCCCAGCTTTTGGGAATTACCCTCCCACAAGCGGAAAAAGTCTTTCGTGAGCCCCAGAATCTAAATGAAATAAGGCGAATTACTTGATTCCAGTGGTGTCAGCTTCACCCCGGGATTGGGGTCGAAAAGAAGGTTCGGCATTATCCTGTGTCGCAGTGGCTTTTACAACAGTCCTTTCTCACCACTTAAATTTCACCCTTCGCCTCCAGTTCCATATGAGATGAAAAACACTTATTTTCGCACTCAAAGACACTCTCCTCGCGCAACACCATGAATCTCTGGCGAATAGCTTGTCCAGGGACTTCGGGGCTCGAGGAGTGAGTCACTCTTCAGCACAGGAGAGTCCTTCTCCCCCAGAACAGGGAGCCACAGAAAATGGGAGAAATGTCCGCACAGCGAAGTGACACAAGTGAAATTTGCTGCGAAACTGGATGACTGTGGCGGAGAAAGCAGCAGCAAAAGTGGCGACGAAGACGTCGTTAGACGTCGCGAAGAAAAATCAATACACTGGCGACGGCGCTCTCCTGACCATCCGAAACATCCACACACAAGTCCACTGAATGAGTGGAATACAGCGAAGTGGAGGGCGAAATGGACCAAGTGAGAGGTTTGTGAAGTATAAATTTAATCCCCATGCAGTGTTTGCAAGCACAGTGCATCTATCATTCATGATGCACAAAACCATATTTCGCCTCAAACAATGCTTTCATGTTTAATCCAGCGACTTTTATGCAGTCACTGGAAGATGAATAGAAAATTTGACCAATTTGCCTATAAAATACAGAGAATACAATAAATCAATGGAAAAATTCTCCAACTAATTTCAGCCTAAGCAAAATAATCACACATTTAGTCTTCCTTCCCCTACGTGCAGTAAGCCGCTTGGGTGGGCTAAAATTCGACAATGTAAATCAATTTTCCTGCTTTTCCGGCCTCACCGTCACCCAAATGAGTGGCGATAGGCGCGAAAATGCTCGAGCACACTGGAAAATACTTTGAGCCGTCGCGACGACCCTCCTTAGGCCTTGACAGCACGGAAATCTCTCCCCCAGGAAATGTCCCTTTCGGGTAGGCATTAATGTTTCAATGGAAGTACGCATTCTCGCGGGGAAATTTTATTTGTTCGCCTCGATATCCTCGAAGCCGGTTAAAAATGCATTCGATACGGTGGAATAATTGATGTTTCGAGAATTGGGCGAATCCACCAATCGATGCGCAGCAGGATGTCAGAATCAATATGATTCACTTCCCACACGGAATTTTACACGCGAATTTGTCCACCCAAACAGCTCAAAGAGTGCACAAAGGGCGAAGCGTTGCACTTTCAGAGGTGAGTGACTTGATTTTCCGCTGAATTCGCCAAGTCATTGTTTGGCTGCTAATTAAGCTGTAAATGTCCGGCCATATCGCATTAATTAAGGTCTCTCGGCCCTTCTGGGACACACATAGAGTTATATAAATCAATAAAAACTCTCTGGAGAGTGGAGATTCATTTTCCACGAAATACCCTGTCGAGGGAGTAGACGAAATTATTCATATTTTTGCTGCTCGACTTGATGACCCTTAAAGGAGTGTAATTTTTGTAATATTTCGTACAGAACCAGTTCTTAATGAGTATAATATTAAGTAGGTACATTAAATGTAATCCACATACATAGTTTCTTCATTAAAGTGTTCAGAAATCGATGCTCAATATAAGAATCTTATTTATCTTTTATTATCTTTATTAATCTTTTATTTATAAGAATCTTTAGCTTCTTTGACTACCTTTCATAATTAATTCATCTAAATATACGCTGAATTTTTGTCTCTGAGACTTATCTCCCCTATTGATTATCGAGATAATAACCAACAGGTTTTCAATTAAAATTACCCACAATGAACTATACATTAACCACAAATTATGTTCGCAGTCGGTAAATGAGGTAAAAGAGATTAAAAGAAGATACAGGAGCTGAATATCGGCCATAATACTTATCAAATTAAAGGGAAGAGATAAAAGGTATTCATTCGAAAAAGGTCTAGTGAGTTATTTTAGGAAAACGAGGCAACTCATTTATTTATTTTCCAGCAAAAAAGACAGAGGGTTGTTGAATGAGACTTAAAACATATAAATTTAAATATATAGAGAACTGCTGTATTAAATATAACATCTCTTGCTTAGTTTTCCTACCTTTCTATCCAAGTAGTCCCGAAAAAACACCACAGTAAATCGATAAAAAGACCCCAAAAACAGGCAAAGACTAATTAAAAATCTTGCTACAAAGTTTCATAAAAGTTCTTCCTCGTGCCAAAAGTCATTGATTTTGAATGTAACATCTGTGCTTTAAGTGGAAATCTTTATCAATGGTACTCGATATAAAATTAATGAACATTTATCATGCCCACGCGCTTCGCCATGGAGATGTTCTCCAAACAGTCTTTGAAGCAATTGCTGCCGGTGAAATTGCGTGGGTTTCGAATGTTATTTTGCAAGAGAGATGCTTCAGTGGAACGTAGGAAAAGGTTGAGTGTGAGAGGAACATTTTGCTGTACAAAGTTTTTCCGGCCCTTCCATCATCTCCCATTCATATTTCATTGAAAAAGCTCTCCACAGTGGCATAGACATAAATACTCCGGGAAAAGTCGATTGACAGTGAATATTTATGGGGTGTGAGGCAGTGGAAATTGTGATGCTTGAAAAACCAAATCACGTGCACGAAGCTTTAATGAAATATACATAAAATATGCCAAAAAGGGAGCGAAAGCTCTCCAAAAAACTTTCAACACAACAATGGAAGAGGGTTCCAAATAAAGAAAAAAGTTCATCTCACGCGTTGCATAATCTCGTTCGTTTTTCGGTTTTCTTTTTTAGTATATAATAGTATTTATTAAAAAGACAAGAAAAGTTTTCATTATATTTTTTTAAAGAGGCTCTCTTTCCATTTACAATATATTCATGTTTCTTCATTTATATATTAGGTTTTTTATCCCTTTATTTCGTTACAAATATAACATTTTTTCATTTTTTTTTTAATTTGCCTTCTCATATGTTTCATTGTGATCTTCATTTGTCATGTGATTGATTGGTATTATGCAAGAGTGTTCAATAATGACGAAAAGCAAATAAAAATTTAATTTTTTCTTCAACATTTACATTGATTTTTTTATCGGATCTTTCTGTTCTCCTCTCACGAGTATGAACGAAGGACGTGACATCCTAACATCCACCTCCATGTTTTCCAGCGTGACTGAGAGTATTGAATTGACGGCGGTTTATTAAATATAACATTTGACATTACATTTAATAGCCAGCCAATTCTGCAAAGGTGGAGTCCATTTCGTCGGCAAGACTCTTGTATCTGTCCTTGTTGATGCCCAATTCGTCTGAAATGTTGAAAAATTCATTAGCATTTCGCACTGGAGAGGGAAATTTGTGTGGGAAAAACGATAAATAAGTGGAAATTGCACAAGAACAAGGTACTCTAGAAGTGGGTGTACGTTGGAGAATTTCATCTCCGCACGAATGAAAGTTCGAATAAATGGCTATTGTACACCACCCCTTAATGATACCTTCTCCTTGGGCGAAAGACCACCTTCTGGGCAGATCTTTTTTATCCGACAAGAAGACCATTAATAATCCTGAAATGAGGCATCACATGGGATCATTACTGGCACGTGGGGCATCGAAAAAAATCTCTCATTGATTTTTCTCTATCGCTAATATTGGAGGTGGGCGTAATTGATACAGAGTTTAACAGAGAAGGAAGCAGAAGGAAGAGAACGGAAACCAAGAGGGGTTAATTATAAGCATTTAGCAGAAATACCTTTTTACATAGATAGCCGTCTCCATTTCCCAGATTAGTATAATTTGCGTTGAAATATTTTACACAGAGTATTTTTTGTACGCAGCTCTTAATTATGTTATTATCTTTATATCAGTTGTTACAAAAGAGAGAGAGATAGAGAGAGAGAAGGAGGATGATTAGTGTGGGGGATGGGTGGTTAAATGGCACTTCGGGGACATGAGAGAGGGTGAAAATTATTCGGAAGAATGCGGGTTAGCGACGTGTGGTAATATGTTAATTGTTCTGTCATAGTTGAGCGACAGTGTTTTCGGGGGAGCCACGAAAAGAAGAAAGAAGAGTGCGAGCATGAGTTTCATGTCATCTTAATTGGTTGCTGAACAACAAATGTGCAATGCAAGAGGAATTAAATGGCAGCTGTTTGGCTCGATGTCAACAAGGAAGGGACTCATCAAAGTGGTCAATAGTTGAGTTACTTGGTTGCATAATGTAATCGAGTGTGATTATGGCGCGAAGGAGGTCAAATATCAACAATGATTTTCTCTGCAAGTGTCTCAGTGGGAGGATATCATCTGCACAGTGGGAGAGCGAAAGTGTGAAAGGGGGAAGTGTGGAAATGTCTCGATAAAAAGATTTTTCTCTTGGCATGAATGAATTGGACAGTGATCTCTAATATCCTGTGAGTTCGGCAAAAGTTGAGTCCAAATCGTCGCAGATCGCTTTGTATTTTTCTTTTTCATGGAAGAGATTGTCTGTAAAAAGCGTATAGCAAAGCAGAAACATAGTAATTCACGTCTCAATTTATCATCTCCTGATCCCACTACTCGCGCCTCATCACCCAACCACTCACCTTCTAGTCTGTCCACCTCCTTCTGGAGCCTCTTCACCTGCTTCTCGGCCTGTTCGGCGCGGTTCTCGGCCTCCTTTAGCTTCACGGTGAGGGTCTTCATCTCACGCTTGAACTCCTCCACTCTCTGGTTGGCCTTCTCCTCGGACACTTCCAGAGATTTCAGAGAGTTGCCGACAACCTAAGGAGTGGGTGAGAAATGAAAAATAACTTTTTGCCGCACACGCCATTGCTTCAGCACCAACAGCAATCCCCACTGCCAAGAAGAGTTGGGAACTTTAAATAAATTGTTGTGGCAACATAATGGAAGCCAAGGAAACAATGAAAAGGATTTGGAGCTGTAATTCGCCCCACATTTCGCATTTGATAAGCTTTAATTACACTGAATTCTTGGTATTTCCTGCATTAGGGTAGAGTTACTTCTCAAAACTGTATATGTTGTATTTACTCGTGAGATAAGACTCTATCACAAGCATTAAGTTGGGCCACAAATTCTCACCCACGCCCACAAAGATGAATGCGTGTATAGAAAGGAAATTTCCGTCTCCTGAGAGACATTAAACATGTCAACTTCCGCTCACCTTCAACTCCTCCTCCAACTCCATGATCTTGGACTCGCCGGACTTGACGCGATCCTCAGCCACTTCGAGTTCATCTTCAACGAAGGCCAACTTGCGGGACACCTCATCGGACTTTCCGTCGGCGTCCTCAGCGAGGAGACGGGCCTCTTTGAGTTGGTTGGTGAGCTGATCCATACGCTCCTCATCCTGCTGGGATCGGTTTTCCAACACCTTGCACATACTGCAATACACAAATTATCAGCCATTGCACGCGTAAAACTGGCGTGTAGATTGCGATCTTACCGATTGTTTTCGTCAGCTGATTGAGTGGCCTCAAGCAATTTCTGGGTGGCACTGCCGGAACGCTCCTCGGACTTCTCCAGATCCTCCTCAATCTGCTGGACTTTGCGATTGAGAGCGGCCACCTCGGACTCTGTGGCGGTGAGTGTCTTCTCCTTCTCCTCGAGATCCGTGTTGGCGGTTTCGAGCTGGTTCTTGGCCGTGGACAGATCATTCTCCACCTGGACGAGCTTCTTGCCCAAATCGCGCACCTCCTCATTGACTTTGTCGGCGCGCATATTGGCATCCTTGGCCTGTCCCTCGCATGTATCGGCCTTGTCCATCGCATTGTCCTTCTCAAGCTTCATCGCTTGCATTTTCTTCTTGATCGCGTCCATGGTGGCGGCTTTTGTGGCTTCCTCTTCACTGACTAGACAAAAGTATCAACTGCAAGAGAAATATTCCCTGTATATTGTGTAGTGGAATGTGCAAAAAAGGTGGAGTGCTGGGAGCTTTTGCGAGAATGTGGATGGATAAACATTTGATGTGAAATCTCTCGGGTATATTTTTAGCTGTCTCCTCACGCAAACAAATCACTCTCCCATTTCATTCAGCATTTCACTCACACTCTCGCTCATTTTCCTCGCCCAACGGGGGACAGTTTCGTTGGCCTGAGGGCCGGGGAAATTTTGCAATTAACAGCAGGAAATCCACATTATTGAAAACGCCACTCTTGTCATATTGCTCATATTCTTCAATTTCCTCTCTTCAATACTACAATTAAATTTTCATTCATGCCCAGACACAGGGAATGTGTACAAAGATGGTGCGAGGGGAGAGCCACCCACTCGGGAAATGTTTTCTCGCTCTCACGTATTTTTAGAGGTGATCGCACGGAAAAGTCTACAGCTGTTGCAAACAAGAGGAAAAATTTAATTTGAAGAGAAATCCTCAGAAAATCTGTTATTGACTCATTCAATTTTTTTAGTGTGCTGAATACAAGGATTTCCAAGGATGGAAAACTCAATTATCTGTGTAACTAGAGCACAGGCGAAGAAAATAAGCGAAAGCCACGCCCACTCACGTGCCACGCCTACTTTTCTAGTCTGAATCTCTATTAATCCGAACTTCAATTGGAGTTTCGAATTTCAGATTTTAGGAATAGAGCTTTAATGAGAAATATTGACTGGTAAGCCGGAAATCTCAACTTCAGAGAGCACCTCTTCTTAATACATTGGCTCTTTGTCTCGAATTTCCCATGAGTTTTTCATGCAGAATGTGAAAAGGATTGCCTTTACACGTGAATTTGGAATTGATGGCAAAATTCTGCAGCGTCGCCCCCTCAATTCCACCTTCACGTGATGCATTGGCTCATGCAAGGAAGTACACACATGCCATCCGCGAGTGCGATATGTGTGCACCACCCACTGCGGACGTCAATGGACAGTCCTCGCAAGGGGCAGAGGCGTGTGTGTGTGCGGTGTACTTGGTCGAGGGGGAAAGAAGAAACTATACATCTCTCGCGCGATCATGGCGAGATGTTGGGTGCCAAAAATAGACCAGCAAAAAAGCAAGAGCGTGCGCATCTCACAAATTGCTAAAGTTACAAGAGCCAAAAGTAGTAGTGTTGGATTTGCACAACACACGGAATTTATTTTTAAATCTTCATACATATTTTATAATAAGGCGATCTCCGCCAAAAAGAAATTCCTTCACGGCACACAGGGAGTCGTGAGATGGTGGCGAAAACTCGTGAAATGAATCACACAGACTTTTTTTTTCTTACAGTCTTCTGCGGGATAAATTTATCGCCCTACTTTCACGCACGTCAATTGGAGTGATCCTCCAGAGATGCCACTTCTGATCTGTGGGCGGAGGATCACTGTATTTTTAGCGAGAAATTACAAGATGTGTCAGGGAAATCGATATAGAGATTTGAGTTGGGAAATATGTGCGATGGAGAACTATTTTGGTGTTGGAAAGTTGGCAGCTCTCTCGTGAGGAATTCCACCCGAAAATCACGCACACAGATTTAATCCTCCCTTTCTGAAGATCACACAATTTTCACCACAATTTCACTCCACCAGTCACTTGTGCTGGAGAACCATTCAAACAGCGAGACAGAGTCAAGCCCCAGTGGAAAATTCCAATGGAGAAAGAGTGGTCACCAACTTGAGCAGAGATTTGGTGGGCAGGAGTTTTGGGATGTGCCAGAACCAACTAACTAACCTGAGCGCCCTGAATCACTCCTCGCGTTGGCAAATACGCGAAAGCACTGATGGCCCGATTCTCGCGCTGCCCCTCACTCCCACTTTCGTGCACGCCAAACACGCACATCGGCCCATCTTCGGGCCCCTGAATCCTCAGCGCACTTCCCCAGCCGCCGAACGCGCTCTCCTCCGCGGCCACGCATGCGTGAGCCGCTTCCCCGCCCGATCGCCGCTCACGAGGGCGCCGACGCGTGCAGCGTTCACCTTGTTTAGTGAGAAAATAGGCCGCAGACTCATGCCCCAAGGAATCCACGCTTCGGCTCTCACTCTCTCTCGGCCATTAGGCTCACGAGAACGATCATTCAGCAGTAAACTTGGTCCGCTTTTCGTCCCATTTCTCTCTCAATGACACCGTGAATTTCCTTGAAATTCAATATATATTTCTGGGTGGAGATTTTTCAACGAAAACTTCCCAAACTATTTATAGGCCCCGCACATCTCGCGCCACCCTCGGGAAATGCTGGGAAAATGCCACGATTTTTGCACAAGTCAAAGCCACCAGGCGTCTCCATGCCACCAGGCGGCTCCACTGCGCGATCTCAAATTACGGAGCGCAACTCGAGAGTGCAAAATGACCCAGGATGGATCGCCAGAGGAATTTCAGTGCTCGCCAACAATTTGTGTGATCTCTCGCCGTGAGGATCACTCAGTGATCGCGATGAAGGACGCGTGGGTGTAACACAGAATTATCGCAACTTTTCACATCGTTGTGCGACTATGAAGAAGAGAGTGAAAATGAGCGGAAATTTATGAGGTGTTTTGCATGAACTGAAAACTTTTATGAGAGAATTTGCATGAAAATATGAGATTTAGAGCATTTGGAATGCAACACGAAATGACAGGGGAAAAGTTTTGCAACAGTTTAAATAACACAATATTGCTGCTTCACTACATAATATCTAAATATTTTATTAAAAGATTGTAAAGTTTTTTTTTCTCGTACCCTAAAATAACTACACAAATATAGTGACGTAGAATTCCATTCGTTGATGAGTGCCAAAACTTCTGGTCAATTTTTCTTTTTTGCTTACTGTTTTTATTTATACACGAAATCGCACTCAACGCTGATATATTATTTAAATACCAATAAAATATGTATTGGTTTTTCGAAAACACTTTATTTTGGTACTCAAAATCGAAGAGCAGGCATAAATTCTATATATATATTCACAGTGAAATACTGAAGAAACCCATAAGACAAATAAACGAAAAGAAAGTAAACTCAAGAATTGAATTGAATAATTGAAAATTGTACGAATAAGGATATATTGGAAATGACCAAATGAATGCAAAATACTTTTACAAAATTAATTATAAATGCACTAAATGCATATTTGAAGAATATTTTATTAACGTGAACTCACCGTTGCTCAAATTTTCCACCAGTCAAAACAGAAGTTCTACAAGTTCGCAGGAAACCACAAGAATGTTTCAATCGAAAAAGCCAACAGAAATACACTTTTAGCAGCAAAATATCAATTTATTTCTCAATTATTTATTTTTCCTTCTTTATAAAATTCATCTCGTCGGTACATTTCACCTTGAGGATATCTTTTTTTCCGAACAATTTCTCAAGCAACAAGTTATTATAAATTAGTAAGATTAAAATTCGGCCACTCTTTCTCGCTAGCTAAATGCTTCACACATTGAGGATTAAAATTAGAATGAATGTTAAAGCGAACTAGAACCTATACAGTGTTACATTCTATTAGCACATGCGGCAAATCTGAGATTGGTTCAATTATTATTTTATTAAAAGTAGTGGAAAAGAGCACTGATGAGATGATCTGGATGTTAGTTGGGAGTTCCGGCAGTGATTAGTGGGGTGATCTGGGTGCAATTAGTAGCCGGCCAAATCGGCAAATGTTAGGTCCAGTTCGGAAGCAATGCGCTTGCGTTTCTCCCTCTCCTGACTGACTTCCTCTAGAAGATAGGCAAAAGAAAACACCGTCGTTATTTCTTCACTTTATTGTGATTTGCAGATGGTGAATATAAACTGATAAATAAATCTTTCTCTCTTCATTTGGGGGTCTTTGCGATGCGCCTCTGCGACAAGACGTTCCTTCGGGACGTCTCACGCGTGGCATCTGAGAGAAGTAATGTGCACGCAAGACAATTGCGAATGTTGTTCATTGAGTGATTGAAATGAAAAGTAAAATAGAGGTGTAAGGCGTGAGGAGTCCAGTGGAAAAGCAGCTTTTGACATCCATCGGCGACACACTCTATTCCTTGAGGATGAGCTCCACGAAGGCGGTATCGAGATCGTCTCCGATATCCTTGTACTTCTCCTTCTCAATGACGAGGTCGTCTGTTGAGATGCGCGCGAGGGAGAAAATAAAAGAATTAACCAAAAGAGAACTAACCAAAAGTGGAAGCAAAATCAATTTATTTAGGATTTTGTGGAATGGGATTTAGGATCGTTTCTTTAGGTATCTTGAGACATTCACAGTTGGCCTTTTGCGCTCCATCCCATCCAATGGTTTGTGTTGAATATCTCAAGATAACTTTCATAGTCTCTCTTTGCTTCGTCAATAGTTACCTTTAAGCCAAAACTAAGCAAAACTGCAAGAAAACCACTCGATCAAAGCTACTTTTTCGCAAAACTCCACAATCTATACAACCAGCCGTTAACTGTGCAACTGAAAAGATCTGGTGAATCTGGCCAATTCTTGAAGCAATGGACAAAGCGTGTGAAGTGCAAGCGACAAAGCATTGTGACGGCATCGTGAGGTGAGTGATGAGGTGGCGTGCATGTTTTATGCTTCGGGTGCTGGGGCGGCGGCTTCAGCCGGGGCCGCTTCTGCTGCTGGCGCTTCGGCTGCTGGTGCTTCAGCGGGCGCCGGGGCGTCTGCGGCGGGTGCGGCTTCGGCAGGGGCACCTTCGGCGGGTGGGGCGGCCTCGCCCCCTTCGGCGGGTGGCGCAGCCTCTCCACCCTCTGCAGGCGCGGCGCCTTCTGCCGGCGCTGCTCCTTCTGCTGGTGGCGCTCCCTCTGCTGGGGGCGCTCCCTCGGCCGGAGCGGCCGCCTCGCCCTCGGCAGGCGCTGGGGGCACCTCTGCGGGTGGCGGCGGTGGTGGCGGAGGCTCGTAGTTGGCCACGAAGGGCACCTCGGCACCATCTGGAGGCAGATGCTTGCGGTACTCGAAGGGCGACGGAGTTCTGGGTGGCGGCGTGGGTTCCTTGGGTTTGGGTTCGCCTCCCTCTTCGCCGGCAGCGGCTCCCTCTGCGCCAGGAGCGGCTCCTTCTCCAGGCGCACCGCCCTCGGCCGGAGCTCCCGCCTCGGCGGCCGGCGTCTCTGCAACGGGCACTGGCTCGGGCTCTGGCGGCGGTGGCGGCGGTGTTGGCGTGCGAGGCGTCGGCGGTCTCGGACGACGCTCCGTCCACTGCACCTCCACTCCCGGGATCAGCTCCACGAAGGCGAAGTCCAGATCATCGCCGATCTCCATGTATCGTTCGCGCTCATTGATCATTTCGTCTGAGTTTTGTGCATTTTAGCAATATTCAAGGTATAAACAGAGTTTTTGCATGATGAAAGCGCAAGAAATGTGCAGAGAAAGAAAAAAAGCAGAAATAGAAAGCTCAATGATATCTACGCTACTATGAAAATCATGCCACAAAATAAGAAAAAAATATATATACATCTGAAACACTTAAGGAAGCAAACAACAAAAATAAAACACTCCATTATTTCAAAATAAAATAATTATATTGAAAAACACACATGTTTCTTCAGTATTATATAAAATTGAACATCTTCTTTTAATACAAACACGTTCATCTTTTTTTTATTATTATTAAATTTGTCTCATGCCAACGTTTAAATATGTTTTTAATGTTTCCTTTATCTTATTATATCTCTTCAATTATGATTTTTTTTATCTATTATTTTTTTATGCAAAAAATTATAGAATGAAACATTAAAAATAGGGAAAAGAAACAGATCATGTCTCTCAATTCTGCTTCAGCTTAGCTGATTAACATTGTTAATTGCAAACTCATTTTGATTTCGTGTCTTCTCAATGTGTTTCAGTGTGTCATCGTCTTCTATCAATAAGTTTTTTTTGCGTGGAAATCTCCTCAATGAAAATGGCTTTGCCAAACATTTCTTTACCTCCATCTCAAAAAAAATCAGCGTGAAATTTCTGAACATTGTTTAGTCAAAAAAGTAAATGTCTTTTGCATTTCTTTCCTTCTCCTATGCATATTGGGATGTAAATGACTATAAAATGTAAGAAATATTTGATAAAAATAATTCAAAAAAAATAAAACGAAAACATCGTGATTTGTGCTTCGGCAATTGCGCATATTCATCATCTCTCAGTTGGGACTTAAAGTAAGTTTTATAAAAAGTATTTTAGTGTCTCTCTAAATACATCGTCTCTCTTTTTTTATTATTCCATCTGCCCATTTATTTTCTCGTCTACTCCTAAAGCAAATGTAAGCTTTGCTTCCTCTCAAAGTTAAAAGCAAGACTTAAAAGAAATGTTAAATTTTGATGTATTGGTAAAATGGCTAAAAATTTTGCTGATTGGAATGTGACTCTAAATTTAAACACAATTTCTCTCCTTTCTTATTACATTAACTACACTAAAATACGATGGTACAGTATAAAAATGCAGTTTTTACTTAGGTCTTTTATTGTTTTTTTTTTCTTTTCTTCTCAACTGAACAAACAAGAGGTTCAATGTATATTTTTCCCCTCAAATAAAGGTGCACAATAAATCTTGGAAAAAAATTACTAGGCATTCTGCCTGCGAATGATTCTTTTCTTACTGAAAATATATCTCAGGAATGTAGATCAAAGAATTAAAAAGAAATATATGTCTTTTAAAACATCTCTGCTTCGAAAATGATAATACTATAAACAATTTTAGAGGTAAATAAACTCTGTTCTTTATCTTTCTGCGAAAATAATAGAGAAATATTTAACTTCTGCATTCCTTCATCGACTATCATTTTTCTCAAATGTGTTTTTTCATACTTCTTGTTTTTTTTTCATTTAAATTAACATATTTATATAGTATTCAATTAAATATGTATTCTTAATTGATGGCGCACGTAAATGTGTTTTCATTATCCGCTCTTTTCTCGTACAAACAAAATAATTAGGCAATGTATTGATAAAAGTGCTTTCTGCTCTTTTCTGTTTTTTATCCCTCTTCTCACTCGCCCCTAAAGTATTCACATATTCTGAATATCATGCAAAGTGGTCTCCATCTCATCCTGAAGTAACTTATTTTTCTCACGTTCAAGCACAAGGTCGTCTGGGGTGGAATTTGTATGCAATTGGGTATTGTTTTTTGGATATTGTGGTGTGTGATGTTAGAAAAAAAAAGAAAAATAAAAAACATAAAAATCTCGGTAAAAAAATACTGTAAAATAAGAAAGAAAGGTCGGTGATTTTGATAGTTAGCACAACAACTCCTCAAAGATCATCTTTTTTAAGAGAGATCAACGCCAAATTAGCACCTTGTTGTTAAGAGTTACAACGGCAAAAATTGCAAGAGCAATTGCTGCAGAGATTCCTCTCGTCATTGGCTCTTGACACGTCATTTTGGGGGGAACATTTTTCACGGATTGATCAGTGATATTATTCACAGGGACGAAATACGTACCTTCAAGTCTGTCAACTTCCTTCTGCAACTTCTGAACGGAGCGTTCAGCGAATTCAGCACGGGCTTCGGCCTGTTATCCACCGGCGGGTGTAATAATCACGGGGGAGAAAGAGAGGGAGAGAAAAAAATCCCATTTAGTATGAGTTCAGCATCCACATAACAAGATTACAGGCAAGTAACACCAAATATAGGCATTATTGACTCATGCGAAAAATACTGGAACATCTTTTCACATCCCACAATGCGTATGATAAACCATTAGAGCAAACTTGTTCCACTATCTTTGGCAAGAGACTGCAAATAGAAATCAAACACAGAGAGAAGCAAAAGGAAAACTTGAAGCATGCAACCGAAAAAAAACCCACCTTACACATTGGAGAAGAAGAAAAGCCATTGTCTTTAGGATAATTCAATTAAAGTAACTCACTTATCGTGGAGTAAACTAAACCCACCACCAAAGTGTATACCAAAAATAGCTCAACAGAAGAAGCTCAGCCTAATTCTATTTACATGAAATTTCTGGGTCGGCTTTTAATGTGATACAGAAAACATACAAAAATTAAATGATAACAAAATTAGGCAATTTCGGTTCTTCCCACAATTTATCAATTACACTTTTCTACTTGAATACAATTACAATTTTTTAAGGACAATAACATTAATTTAAAATGCTCATCTCTGGATGTACAAATAATATCATCTGATTTCACTATTTCGATAAAAGAAAGAAATCTTCAGTAAACTTACGTTGCTAAGTTTTTGGTTTAAGCTAGCAATTTTATCCTCAGCGGATTCACGTGTAGCCGTTGCCTGTGTGTCAAATTACAAGATTGTGTAGTATTTATACATGATTCAACATCACATGAGAGGAACAATTGCATTATTCCAAGGCATCATCAACTCTTCCACATTGCAAATTGCCGACTTATTTTGGCAGTAGAATATATAAAGAGTAGAGAGACCACCACCGATTTTTGCAGCCAATTCTCCCCCTTAAACATCCCCGCATTCGCATCATCCACTTGGATGTCCAATCCGTCCCACCAACCGCACTTTACCTCCTTCATTGACTGATCCAAGAGTCTAATTTGACTTTCGTACGTCTCCTCTTTGAGCGTGGCCTGCATTATTTTCATTTTTATTGCGAATTTCACAGCACATGTATTATTTGCCAAGAAGAAAAACAACACGAAAATTCATTTACCAGATATTAGAACAAGATAAAAGTGTCAATTAACATTTCTTCTAGATGTTCGTGAAGAAATTCTGCTCAAGAAATCTTGTTTAACAACATTTAAATCAATGGGTTAGATGCAGGAGCGTCTATAAACTACAAACAACATTTAAAAGAATGCTCAAGTCAAAGGACGTTGAATATTAAGAGATTCAAAGTGTATTGTTTCAATAAAACAGCAACACACAGAAGAAAACACCAAAATCCACACGGGATTTCTTTTTCCACTCTTTCTTCTAACCTCCTTTAGACGGGTTGTGAGAGTCTTAATTTGGTTCTTGTACTCTTCTTCACGTTGGTTGGCCTACATCAATTACGAACACTTTAGTCATTAGCATTCATATTGGTTTCTCAACTTGAATTTAGTGTGGAAAGAGGTTTTATTTTTGGATATATCCTAAAATGTGTCACATCGTCTTCATCTTTGCTGTCAACGGATTGGAATGAGATAATTTACCAATCGACTAAGCTCAATTTCGTCAAGGTTAAGGTTAAATTCTATTCTTTGACACTTTCTTTTCCACTCTCTAACACTCTCTAACAGAGTTGGTAAGCGGATTTTCTCAAAACGAAAAGTCTCATTCCAATTATTTGACACTAAGACTTCCCTATCTGTTCGTCTGCCTTGTGAATAATATTCTTGGAAAAAAACTGTCTCAGTGAAATTGTCTGTAAAAACGGATTGCCAAGCAAAAAAACGGTTTTACCTTCTCTTCAGACACTTCAAGGGATTTGAGGTTGTTGCCTACGACACGGAGTTCCTCTTCCAGTTCCACAATTTTGCTGTTGGAAAAGTGAGAGAGAAAAAAAGCCGGCATTAGTATGAATACAATCTATCACTTGCAAATCCGTAGTGCGGAAAATCATACATGAAATTCCATAATTGCACACACATCCACTGAATGCTGAATGAACTTGACGTGGCTGATGTTGTACTGTGAAAGATCCACTACTGGACCACATCATTTGCGCCCAATAAACCCAATGATGCTCCAGAATCTCACACCGGAGCATGCAATATATTAACACTCTCCAATGGCTTTGTCGCAATCCATTGTGTGTGAGTGCAATTATGGCAGTTTAATATCTCTATTAATCATACAATAAATCACCAAGCAATATTGCGTTCTGGCGCGTGGGAAAAAAGGTGGCACAAACCTTTCGCTGAGTTCAACTTTTTCCTCGGAGCGCTCGAGATCCTGCTCCATTAACACCAATTTACGGGCAACCTGGTTAGTTCAGGAAGGGTTTTATTGCAAAAAATAGCACATTTCGGCCAAGTGGAAGGCATGTTTTTTTTTTTGCAACACAGCAGCGCACATCGGGTTATTGGCATTTTAAGGAACAATGTAAAAGAGAAACACAACAAAATATGTGGATTAGTATGAAATGTCGGAAAATTTCAGCTCATTAAAATTACAAATTCTAATATTTAATACATACAATGTTAGCTAGCTAAACTTCTTTCATTGTGGGTGGGCTTCAAGGGGTCAAAAAAATTTGCGGAACATTCAGGAAAATAAAAAGGCAATTTGCAATTTATCATTTTTGCACACATGGGAGAAATGGTAAAAAAACACTGTAATTCATATTATTAACAGTTGGAAATATCACAGTAGAAGGAAGTCATCTCAAAATAGCGCATCTTGCCCAAAAACAGTCATGGGACACTCTCTCTTTTCGCTCAATGGAATTTTTCGTGTGAATCTTTGGCGTTTTTTCTCCTTCAACTTGCGCCTCCGCGACAAATGCATCACAATTAAATTTAATTGAAGAAAATTGTTACATAAACAATACCGCGTGGCGTCTTTTTTCCTCCTCATCTCATGAGGCACCATTTTGAGATTCACTTCCTTGTGTAAACTGAGTTATTTTTAACACATCATCATCAGCGGAGAAGAGAATTGAATTAGGAAGTTTAATAGTGGACACATCGAGCGAACTAGAGTACTGCTAAAACAGCTGGAGCGACAACTTTGCTGATAAGAGAAAAGACACACGATGGATTAGAACACACTCTTGGAGACACCTACGATTCACCGGCTTCGGCACGCTCCTCAGCTCTCTCCAGATCGGCCTCAACCATGGCCAATTTACGTGCAACCTGTCAATAACATCAACAATTTATTTTATACCACCATTCGCATGGTAGGAGGGCTTCGAGTAAGAACATGAGAAATTCTTTTGGTGTGAGAAATGGTGTTGTAAGGAACATCAACAAAAAAACAACCACAAGAAGAATTTATCAATGTTTCACATGTGAAATGGAAAGAATAAAAACTGCCGGTATTTCGCTCAGCAGCATTTTCTGTATATGCTTCAGCGTCTCTGGCGTATCAAGCAAATTCCACAGTGATATTGATATTCGATAGAACAAATTAGAGAGTCTATATGGAAAAGATTAATTGAACAGCAAGCACGACACACTCATGCGATTTCTTTTTGTCATCCTACGCCCTTTTGGGCGCTCACTCGCTCTTGCCCACTGAAGAGGGTCGAGATGAATTTAGCGTGATGATGAAAATCTCCCATCCAATCGTGACATTACCGAGAAAACCACATCATTTACACAACTTCTGCTCTTCAAGACCGCAAATATGCCAATAACAGAATTTAATACTCAAAACATGGTCAATGTGAAATTCGAGATTAATCTCTTCAACACACACAGTGTGAAAGAGTGGCAATTACTCAGGCGAAAATGATAGTTTTGTACAAGAAATTAATTTTATATGAACAATCTTCCTCAAACATTTTCACTGGGTGGGAAAATCTTACAAGACAATCGAGACGCAATGCTGAGTTAAAATATGCATTTCTCCCAGAGGAAAGGTAGTGAGGCAAAATTCGTTGATTTAATGCGATTTTGATTACATAATTTTACTGAATAATTCCACAATGGGAGAATTTTCGGAATAGAAAATAATAATTCCTTCACGAAAATGACTTGGTAATTTCAAGTGAGAAAAAATTGTAGCAAAACTACTTTTGAATAAATACTTCAGCTGCCAAGAAAGTTGTTTTAACTTGCAAAACATTTTTCATTTGTGTATTCAAAGAAAATTTTACTTTTGAGGAAAGTTTAGAATAGAATATTTGTATAAAAACGACTAAACAATAAAACGCAAAATTATTGCAATTCCATAAACACATTTTTTTTTATCAAACTCTGCTTAATTCAGATTTAAGCAAATATTACTTAATTGATTCGCATAATGTCATCCGTGTTTTCAATGCAAATATCTAAATGAATGATCGCAAAGACGATATAAAAAAACCACTTAAGCTAGATTTGCAAAAATTTAGATGTTCTCCTCAAGGAAAATCTCATTATTGCAGCCTTCAGCATCGCTGTCGAGCGTTTTTCTCGACCAGAAATTGCTTTGGTGATTGCATAAGACAGGCAAAAGAAGACAGGAGTGGATTAGATGTGCCACCAAATATTGATTTATCAAATTACAGACAACCATCCGAGTCGCGGAGACCAACGCGTTTCGTGGAGGAGACATTTTCATCATCACAAGTGTTGTTTCTTCACCGCCGAAGCCAATAATAGCGAAAAGAAACACAACATCCAAAAATGCATTTTCATTTCATATCCCAGAGTTTAAGCAAGTCTGCTGACAGAGTGAAAGAAAAAACGACTTTTGGCTTTTTTTTTGCAATATAAATCACCTTTATATATATCATTTATAAGTCTATAATATATTGCCATTTCATATACAATTAATATTGCTTTATTGTTCTGTTTATCCTCAGAATTTTTTTTTATTATTTGTTAGAAGGATAAGAAATTAAGAAGATTATAAGTTTCTTTTTTTTTGCTTCAAACAAAAGAGAAAATAATTTTAACTCTTTCTCGAGAACAAAACATGAAAAACTGTAAAGTAAAATCCCTTCGCGGAGGAAATAAAGTGAAGCGAAATAATATGGTTAATTTGATAATTTCATACAATTGTAGCACCTTTCAATTTGCTCTTCATCTCTTCATAATGTGATTAATCAGTTAATTATTGCTCTCGACTTCTTACAATTCTCTCTTTTTTTTTCTTCTTCTTTATATTTTGTAAGAAATACACAATCTCTTCGTGCTTTATTTGAGATGTGTAAAGTAATTCGCAAGACACGTTCGCATCGCTCTGTTAATGAATCGTTAACATCTTCTCTCTTTTCTTCCATAGTTGCGCATTTTCTTCCATCACAAGCACTCTTTCGAGAGTTGAGGCACCAGAAGAAAATGCACCTTTATCTTCGCAAAAAGCTCAAAATATCCTTCTCATCGTCGTAACAAGTATCGCAAGCCAATTTCTTTTCCTTTCTTTTAGCTAGACATCCCCTTCAGTTTCATCACCTCGCCAACCGAAGGCGCACACACGCAGTGCTTCAGCGGCACTGTTGGCACATGTGTGTCCTCCCGATGACCACCGAGGCGTCCGAAAGTGAATGTGATATATTGGTCATTTTTGTATAGTGATCAATAGACATGATTATGTAAAAGACAATTCAGAAAATCAAAAAGTGATTAAAACATTAAACCAAATCATAAATCAAGTTATTGACGAGATCTGCACCTCATCGTATTTCTTGTCAGCTTCTTCTGCCAGGAAGCGAGCCTCCTTCAGCTGGTTCTCAAGTGCATCCATGCGCTCTTCATCGGCCAATGAGCGGTTCTCAAGAATCTTGCGGGCGCTACAACACGATTTGTTTGAAATGAGAAAAAGAAAGGAAATGCCACATAATTTATCGGCGGTTAAACGCGGCCACACTTTTCTACCGGGAAAAGAAAAACCAGAGAAGGACACCTCTTGGGATTGGACTTGGGTTTCCACGGGAGACCAAAAGAGACATTTTACATTAAGCTCCAGATTCAATCATAAGGACATTTCGAGGACTCTTTGATAGGAACAACTGGGAAATCTAACAAGGAAAAACCTCATTGACGACTGCTTGTCACTCTCCATTTCCTAATTTGCTGAAAGAGAAATCTTATTCCTGAAAATTCAAAATGCCTGAGAACACAGTGATGATGATGAAAAAAGAAAAACAGTGACAAATTGCCAAAATCTCATTACGCAAAAGGAAAAATAATACCAGTGTAAGACAAGAGACACCTAATGCCCTAATATCCCTAACTTACTTAGTATAATAATCTTGATTGTAACCTAGAAAATATAGTGTGTAAAACAAATTGTCGACTAGTTAGAAAAGCTATGGAAAATCTACCTCTTCGTATTTCTTATCGGCTTCTTCAGCAATTAATTTAGCTTGGGCTAATTGTGCTTCCAAAATTGCGACCCGGTCATCTTCCATATTGGTTCGGTTTTCGAGGGCTTTCCTTATCCTTTTATATCGATGTGTGGAAGGAAGAAAGTAGGTATCGTCACATTTGTCAACAATGTAAATTAATAATAAAAAGTAAATACATGATCAATATAGCAAATACTCTTTACAAAAAAAGAAAAAAAAGATAAAAAAAGATTGTCTTCAAAACTACTTTCAGAATCATCATCACTTATTTTTTTGCTTATTCAAATTAACTTTCAAAGATGTTTTGTTTGTCTAATGGAATGATTTTGAAAAGAATAGAGACTCAAATCTATCAAGACTAGGGTCAAGGGGAATGTAGTTCTCTTTTTGAGGGGGGGGCAGAAGGGTCAATTTGGCTTCAGGGGGACTAAAAGTAAGAAAAATCATAAATCTCCCACGTCCCTTGTGGGGGAATCACCTACCGTTCGCTCTCATCGGCAGCCTGCGAGGCCTCAGCCAACTTGGCAGTGGCCGAAGCGAGACGCTCCTCAGAACGCTCCAGATCCTCCTCCAAAAGCTGGATGCGACGGTTCAGAGCTGCCACCTCAGACTCAGCCTATGATATTTACACAATTGCATCAGACTTGTGGGGTTCAACAAACAGGTGAAATGGCATTTATGGGCTTTCCCCTCGTGCAATTCTCAGACAGCGTATTTCACTTCTATAAATTCATTGATATTGCGCGTATTTACATGGAAATATTTTCCCTCAATGGTCCATAAATTCCTTTCATTCCCGCTCTCTCTCTCTCTCTGCCCCCCTTTTCCTTCCCAATCAAGCAGCGCCTGTTTGCGTATCGATTGTAACTATGGTTCATTAAACAAACACCGGAAGATCACACTGAATGGCTGGCTCTCTTCTCTATTAAACTTTTACACACTCCGCCTCATATCGAAACTTGAAACTCTCCCCATTTCAGTGTCTCCATTTTAATTGATGCAAGACACTTGTGTGTGGCAATCATTTGGTCTTTCTCAAAACACCAAAGAGATCATATAATTACTCCCCGATCATCTTCGATTGAACAAGAAAGGCATTCATGCATAAATTATCTCTTTCTCAACCACCCCAGCAAAATCACACACATCTCAAGTCGATCATTTCTTCCATTGAAAGTGAATTTCATGCAAATACACTTCTTCAATTGAATGACCTTATGAAATTTTTCCATATTTCTCTCTATTTTCTCTTTTCTGGCATGTCAACACATCCACTTCAATACAGTTTCTCTCAATGTGCTCTGATGGAAAATCACGAGGAGAACACTTGAAATTCCACACGTAAGTGGAAGGTTAAATTTGAGACTATCCAAGTTTATACATGTAAAATATTCATCAATCATATCCAATAAGACATGAGAAACGATAGCACATTTTTCGCATATCTGACGAAATTATAGAGAAATGCATATTCGCTTTGAAGATTACATTGAAATATTACACCTTGTTGCATTTCTACATGAAAGTAGGCATTCATGTTATACCATTTACAAAACTATACTTGATTTATGAGCTTGAAGAGTGGATCTTCAACAAATATTGTGTACGACAGTTTCAAAACAAGTTGAAAAACTCCCAAAAATAAAAACACACACAAATTATTCAACCTATTTGTAATAGTCGTTAAACCCTTGTTAACAACTTTAACATCAAATTCAATGCAATTAGTGAATCACAAATGAGATATTTATGTACCTCATTGTGAGTAATTTTAATTACGGTAAATAGTGACAAAAATTCCCCAAAATTGAAGCTATTTTCAGAGCTATTCATGTGTGTTATATGTTGCCTCTGGGGCACATTTTGCACTCTTTGCCTATTTCTACACAACACTAAAACCGGCATTTCATTCTCTCTTCTCTTCACACCATCATATCGCCAAGATTCATTGCCCTGTACATTATTTCTTCCTCCTCTTCTCCCCGCGCACCGTGTCTCACCTTTCCCAATGAGGAGACTTCTATTCATATTGCCATCTTCTCCAAGTGCCACCACCAAGAGTATCAGCAAATACACGCAATTTCCATTCCTATTTGATTTTTTATGTCATTCTCCGCTTCCCTGATAAATGACGTCATGTCTGTTTCTTTGGCATCGATGACTCAGCCAAGGTGAATCTCTCTTATCTCCCAAAAAGTCTCTTTCTCTCTCTCTCTTAACTAATTGTAGTCTGAATTTGAGACGAAGCGGCATTGGTGAGAATCTCACCCTCAATATTCTTTCGAATAACTCAAAATCTCCTCACGGATCTTATATTGAGACAATAGTCTTGTGTTTAGTATGTTCTTCGAGAACCACGTCGTGCCCTCTGCTTGTCCACTCGACGTGCCCGGCATTGACGCGGCTTTTTGGGTTGGGCATCGCGCGCCTCTACCACAAAAATTAATCATGCACTGCTTCTCGGGAAAGTCACCCACAATCCCAAATTCTGCGCTTACAAATAGAACAAAATATTCCGAGAGTGTTTGAAACTGGGGAAATTAATGTGGTTTTTGCTGCAGCACACAAATTACGAAATTGGACGTGATTTTCCCAGCCGGTTTATCATGCTCAAACACACAGGCGTTGTTGGACTTAGAGGTGATTTTGTAGCCGCAACACTGTATTATCAAGGTAACTTATCAGGCTGAATTGATAAGACGTTTTTCTCTCTTTTCCACCGCATATAGTTTCTTTTCTGACATAATTTCTTTCGCACTTTTTTCCCTCCCATCTCAACATGCAGGAATTAAATAAATAATAATCGCTATTAGCCAGGAAAATTCCATTGACAAATATCAAATATCCGAGGAAGTGTCATCAGAGCCTGTGACAATTCTTCCGACTGTCGGTGAATTGATTGATTGAGGTATTTATTGGGAAAAAAAACCTTCTCATCTAATCGTACGGGAGGTTTTTGCACCGACACTTTCTGCCTGATTGTGCTTCATTTTCGATGACCTAAGAGTTAAAATTCAGTCAAGTCGTGAAGTCATACATTTTCGCCCAGTCAGCGACAATAGATCGTAAAATTTGGCCGCCTCAGAGGTCAACCGGGCGAAAAATATTGAGAATCTCTGTATCCCAAACTTGTTCTTTTCCATTTCTGTGCCGGACGATCATCATTGACGCGCTCCCTCTCGCTCGCACACACAAATCCGGTCCCATCGTGCCATCCCACTCTGCGCACTTCTCTCGGGGGCGCGCTCTATCCTCTCTTAGGGCCCGAGAAACCACATAAGAACCCCAAATTATGACTAGATAATGCAAAAATTGGCTTACTTCTTCGCGCCTTCGCACTTCGGTTTGCAATTTTTTGTGAAATTCATCACACTCATCCTTATATTTCTCCATTTCCTCCTTCGTCTGACGCATCTTCTTCTTCAGCACGTCCAACAAGGTGCCTTGCTGTATATTTGCCGTCATTTTAACGCCTCTGACTTCCCTTCGCACTCACGCAAAAATCAATTTCTCTCTACAAAATTCCTCACGCAGGAATTTCTCTCCTCTATCGCCCTTTTTTGCACTCGCGGCGTGAACGAAAAATTATATTTCACACCACTAACACACTCTCGCGGCGAATTGCAGCCGAAATATAAGGATTTTCCCGTGAAAAAGACCTCTTGACACGCTTTTGCCAACAACACCCGCCTCTATTCAATCGTGATCACTGCAAAAACTGATTTTTCCACGTAACACCGACCGAAATGATACAATTTCGAGGGAATTTTTCGGGCTTTTGGGCCTCGCCTTTTGCTCAACTGAACGCACAAATTTTTTCCAATCTACAAAATGGCGACAACCACTGACTGGAATACACCACCACCATCCATCTCTCTCCCACTCACGCCAAATCCCACTTCCAAACCCGGAATGCGCGAGCGAGACCGCCGCGTTCGCACAATGTGGTGGGGCTCTTCGCCAAATCGAGTCAACCTTCCACTTGCGTCTCTCTCATTCATTCGTATTTTCGAGATTGATTCAACCACAGCCGCCCGTTCACCGAACTATTCGAACATCTGTTTTCCACGCAAATCGCCAATTGATCAAATATTCCCCAAAATGCCCAGCCCAACGCCCTAAAAGCCCATCTAACTCTCTTAATCAATTCATCGATCAAGTAAATGTCCAAACGGAAACAAATACTAAAAGGGTGGCGCGCTTCCGTTTTGTTTTCCTCAATGGCCATTCTTGCCGTGAGATTCTTTTTTCCCACTCAAATGGAAATTCTACGCATTTTATCGGAATCCCACAAAGACCCCGGCTTTTGTCCCTACATCACACCAGAAATTGGCTCATTCGCGCTCCAGTGACTCTCTCCCTTTGCCGAGGCCCTGCGCTCACCGATGACCGGCAAGGTGATGTGAAATGCGCATTTCACATCATTATAGGATGCCACCGAGTGCAATCACAGTCGCTATATTATAGTAATTATGCAATAATGAGCATACACCACAAATTGAAGCCATATGGGATGCCAATGTTGGTGATTTCAGTTCGAGAGACCATGAACGGAGTTGGTCTATTAAAATCGACCCTTATAAGGCAAATCGCGAATCGCGAGAGAGATATTTTTGCCATTCTCACAGCCTCACTTTTGAATATCATTTCTGTCGCCCCAAACATTATTAATCTGTCGCGCGCGCGAATACGAAAAGCCATCTTATCGATGATCTTCGTTAAGCTTACAACTCTGTATGCGAAACGATCTTGACCACAATTTTGCTGAAAAAGCATGATAAAAATAACAAGAAAGAACCCTGAACATGTCGATCACTTTCGACAAATCGGTAAAAGGCGAGGAAAAGTTGGAGATAAATGTTTTAGAAATTCTGCACACCGACCGAAAAATACATTGTATTTGCTTATAAATAATCCAGTGGCTTAGTCAAGAGCAGTGGCTAATAATTACAACTTCAATGAGATCGACTTTCAATCGCACACTTTTCCACAAATCGTCACGAAGCATATGCACGACAGTAATTCTTTTGTGCCTTTTTCTCGCCTATTTTCCATGCTTAAATTCATTGTGCAACAAATACTACAATCTCAGTCAAAACCTGTCGAATTGCACACTTGGTATTTGTTTAGCAATATCGCAGCTATTCATATTCCAAACTCTGATGATACGAGGCTTAAATCCCGCCACTGAGGAGCCTCTAATTTTAACGCAAGATAAATACGCTCATGTTTGCCATTCTCACAATTTGCATAAATATGAGGCACGATGATTAAACAGAAAATCCTCCCGAATAAATCTACCCAAATAAGTTGCTAATTATAATAAAATTTCATCGTAAGCAATAACCTCGGTGGAAAGTGCTCAGAAAAGGCCTCGAATTATCCTAAATTCCACCAATTGAGCAATGGAGCTGATCATGTCGCACCGCGAGATGTTCTTCTAATAATACCCTCCCAGACGGTCCAAAGGCGTGCCATTCAGGTCACACATCCCATGTGCACTTGACAGACAATCACCAGATGCGCGCGCCCGGCGTGACTAGAAAATGCCCAAGAGAATCATTAGTCGGATACATGAGAGATGTAAAACCTACCCTCTTCAGCTGTGTTTTCATAATATTGTGCAGTTCATTGCGGATTATACTGAACTTCATCATTGTGTCTGAGCTGAAGATGGACCGACCAAAGGCCAGGCCTGGGTAGTCGGCACATCGTCTGTTCTGCCTCCTGTACTCGCGCTCTGCCACCACCTCCGCCCTCTCGCTGGTGCACCTGAGCTTGGCCCACTCCGCGGCCTCCGGGTCGTTCTCCGTGTCCACGTCGTCCACCGCGATCGCGGGATCGGGCGCTGAGCGCTCCTTGGTGATCTCCTGCACTTGGCGCAGCTTCCGGCGCTTGCTATCTGAATTCTTGGGCTTCTTCCCACTCGTAGGGCTGCCACTGGACGGCTGGTCGGTTCTCTTGGCCTCCTCGGCCACCTCTGCACACTCCCTCTTATCACATAAGGCACTCGAGGCTGGAGCCACCCTGTTGTTGTTGTCCGGATCCACTGAGCACAGCTCTAGCGGCGTCCCGGAGCTCCTCTTCTCCTCCGCCGGCTGCCTGGCCAGTCTCTGATTCGACACCCCCTCGACGCCGCCTCCGGGCACGAAATTCCTGTTGGGATCCGCCGCCGGAATGACTTGTGAGTTGGGCTGCGTGACGGAGTGCGATGTGTCAGTGCGCAATTGTGCCACAATCTCCCCGGGCGGGACATTGGAGCGACGGGCTCCGCCGTGGCGTGGATGGTGCTGATGGCCGCGCTTCCGTCCAGCACCAAATTGTGCTGTGTTGCGCTCACTCATCTCTTTGCTCAACTTTTTATTTTTATCACCTCCGCCGAGCGGACATTTTGCCAGAACAACTGTCTTCCTCACTGCCGTGCCACACGCACGGCGCTGCGATCGCCTTGCGTAACACCTCACTTCCCTCTGTGGCCAATCGCCAGAAGCAGCATTTTGAAGGCGCTGTCGACTCAACGGAACTCCCCTGCTCGCTCCCGATGCTTTTACTCTGCCGCTGGACACACGACGCCTCAAACTGCCGCCCACGGGACGTCCTATCATAATTTTCCCGAAATAATTCAGCACACCATTGCCCACTCCTAGCGCTCCCTCTCTTTTTTCCACGAATGACATAGCCCACGGCTGCAACGGCCGTATTTATTCGCCTCTCTCGTGCGTTGATTATTAAATGGGGTGATCTATATTTAAAGGATACAATCACCCAATCCCATCGCACTGATGCATCATTCCCGCGAAAAATCCCCCAAAATCATCACAATCTCCCCATTGGAAAAATCTCCAGAGCCCCACGTCCAAATCCTCAATCGAGGAACAGCAGAGAATTTTCCATTCTCCCCACCATTCTTCATGCGCACTCTCCTCACCGATGACGACGCCCCACCAGCCGTATTTGGAGAGGAGATTTTCGCGCGCGCTAAAAATAGGCCGCCCGAGAAATACGATCCCGCGCGCGTTGTGAAAGATCGCGAAGAATAAACCCCGGTGACTTCACAGTGTTCTATTTGAAACACACGAGGAAATCATTGAGATTCTTCGCAAAACAAACACACATCCATTCGGGAAATTCGCCGAGAAAGTGCGTGCATGCGCCACAATGGCGAAGGAATGCGATGCGATGCTCTCTTGCAAAAATCACCCATAACTCGGTGGAATGCTCCAAAATTATGCTCAGCCACTTGGCACATGACCAAAAGGTGCAATACGCACACTGATCATCTCTAAAATTATCCCCCTTTCACTCAACTTCCCTTTCACAAACACTCTCGAGGAATTTATGGACCATTTCGTTATCCGTCTGCTTATTTTTTTATGACTTCGATCGTTAAAAAAAAAATAGTAAAATTCGGTACTCACATTCTGAAGGGCCTTGTTCTTCTCCTCCAACTTGGTGTTGACCTGTGTGAGAGCTTCTTGAGTCTGATCAAGCTCGTTCTCAACAGTCTGGATCTTCTTCTGGAGATTCCTGGCCTCCTCCTCAGCCTGAAAGAGCACGAATTCATCAGTGAATTTTCAGTCCAAAACACCAGTCAAGAGGATTTGAATTCTCACCTTCTCGGCGCGGAGATTGGCATCGCGAGCCTGCTGTTCACAGATCAACGCACGATCCAAAGCGTTGTCCTTCTCCAGCTTCATCGCCTGCATTTTCTTCTTGATCGCGTCCATGGTGAGGGATTGGGGGTTTTCCTTTCAAAGCTATAAACAAGAATCTGCCACGCAGAGAAGAACACGATTAATTTTCACCTCCCTCGCATGCAAATCATTTCTGGGCCGTGCACGCAAGTTTTAATTGAAATTTTCTGTGAAGACTTCGGAAAAACTTTTACAATTTCGCTCGAGTGGATTTTTCAGCTGAAAGTGAAAATCAGCAGCACGATAGCTCATCAATTGAAGTGTTGAATATTTCTGTTCGCGAGGTCGCACAATATTTAAATGATCATCACCTCAAATTCGCCAAAATGTCATTGAGATCTTTCCGGATTTCTATATTTTGCTGGATAAACAGACTAGTTTTGGAGTTTGTCCAGCACATTTGTGCTGCCTCAGCAAAGAACATTGAGGTGAATGAAGGAGAGAAAGAAGTTTAAGTGCGCAAATAACTTGAGCAATGACTGTGGAATGCCGCAGAGTAAATAAGGGATGTCTTTCTTCTGCCTCTCGAGGACTCCTGGGCAACAGAAGACTCATCAGCGAAACGTGAGAAAGCGCTGCGGCCTTGACGGTGGTCAAAATTCTGGGTCAAAGATTACACAGCGAGTGCATACCATTAAAGTGACTCATTCTGTCTTCCCAACAATACAAATGATCTCTCTCGGCCGCACAAAAAATGCATTTAAATACAGAGTTTATCTTCGATTTTGATACTCTGACGAGAGCCATCGAGACCACGTACGTGCTAATGCTCAATGTGTTGCTTGAAAGATTGAGAAATTATGACTCCAAAAGGCGTTCCGAGGCGAAGCGTAATAATCAAGCTGGGATATTTTATGTGGTGCGAAGAATCGCCGTCATTTCCATATGGGCGAAGCACATATACACGAAAAAAAAATTATGCTGAACGCGATATTGAGGAATCATGCCACCAAAAATAGCGCAACTCAGTTCTTAGCACAGCCCGTTCTGAGCTGATATTCTCGTTGCTAACAAAAATAAATCCTCAAGAAAAGTGCCCATCATTTTGGGCCACTAAAAATTCTTCAACTCCACCCAAGAAGCCAATAAATGCCCATCAACACTCTTTCCACGGAGGAAAACAATTCCTTCTCTCGCCTCCGGGAGCACCTCAGTTATCATCCATCTAATAAACATCTCGAATTGCAAATATTATTCCACTATGAACAAACAGAGAAAAAAACCACTTTTCCGCGATGTTCTTCCGACAGAGAAATACAAAAAAAAAAACAATCTTCACAGAAAATTGCCCACAGAAGCAATTACAATTAGGCACAGCGACTGTCGTTGAGCAAATTGCAGTGCGAGATTGATTGGCAAAAGCACCCAGACTGGAATTACTTACAAAAGAATCCGCGGCTCGGACAGATTGATGGCGAACTGAAAACGGCGAAACTTTCAGACGCTCAATCCGCGCCAGTGAGATCCTTTGCAAGTGGCTCGTGCCACCGCGAACGCCCCACGAGCGCCCCCCACCGCTCGCCCAACACTATTTTAGACACTTTCCCACCACGCGCCCCGTCACGTGCACACGAGTCTCCCACTCTGCCACCCAAAACGCCCCAGAGAGACTTTCGGTGGCTGGGTCTCATCTTCACTCTCTCAATCTATTTTCCACCGTGTCTCTATTTATGCTCTTACGCTTTTTTGTGGCGTGTCGCCTCCATTGAAAAAGATATGAGACATTCTTCACGCTCGCTGCCGCTTCAGCCACTCTACACTCGCCTATGTTGCCCATAGATTGGATTACTGGAGAACCTTCGGCTGAGAAGGACTTAAAATGAGCCTTGGAATAGAACTGCTTTGCTTCAAAGTTTCTCGCCAATCCAATATGGCGACTTTTGGGACGCCAACTCAGACCATTTTGGTAAATTGTCTGTCTTTCAAAGTAAATCCTTTAGCACACTTCCCTTTTTCACGTTCAAAGTTATAGACACTTAATCCTTTGACTGTCAATTTCAACTATTTTTCAATAGTATTTTTTCTGAACCAATTGCTGAAAAATACCAATTAGTTTATAAAATGTTTCGAGAATTCGTTTTATCGAAATTCAATACGTTCGTTAACAAAATATATGCAATTTATCAAATCATAGTGTTGAGACTTGTATGTAAATTTTATCATTTAAGCATTTTTCATGGTCATTTCCAAAATCGCTACTTTTATGTCTCTATTTTGATTCTAGATTTTGTGAGCTTCTCATAGCATCTTTGTACACATTTTCATCTTCCTGAAATCATGTCCGAGGGCAATAATCTCAAATTTCAAATGCACACTCGATTAATTTTTCTTTTTGAACCTGAGAATATTTATTTTCATTCTATTTCCTCCTCTTTTAACCATGTTTCATCCATTCGACTGAAATTCAAAACCACTCACTTTCAGCCACTACCTGAGAATATAAACACAACTGCGTTATAGCATGAAATGTAAAATAGCACCAATGAAACCGCAATAATAGCAATTAATAGGCAAATTAATCGTGTAGAGATTTTTGTAAAATCAAAACATAATCACTTCGTGTCTTCTCCGCCCAAACATCTTCCGCTCATTAGCTTATTTCCCTTGCCGAGTTATTGCTCTCATGTCCATCAGGGCATTGCAGATGACCCATTTTGGGGTGTTGGCTTTTGGAGATTCTCGAGATTCTTCTCGCTTCGTGATCGCCCAAGAGAGAATAACAGCCGGAATTGATAAACAAGCTTGAGGCATGTGCTAATACTGGAATTTTTGGCTCAACAATTAGACAGCAATTGCCGAGCGAGAGGAGAAGAAATGCAATTTAATATCTTCAAAATTATCGTATCTCTCTCTTGACGTGCCCCGTTAATTGGCCAATCTGCAATCACTCCGCATTTGGCCAAGAAATTTATGGACCCCGAAAATCAGGCAGCACCGCGCGAAAAACTGTTAATGAAAATCCCTCACTGACTCTCCGCATGGATTTGCATGATTCACTCGATCTTGGGTGTCTGTTTTCCCATCGATCCGTGGATTTCAAGTGACTTTGATTAAATTGTTTATTATATTGTGTGTGACATGAGTGAAAAACACGGCGCTGAGAGAGAGAAAAAAATCTCGCGGATCAGATGGATGTCCATATATGGTGCAAAATGTATGGCCAATGACACAGCGACTGGAGCGATGGAGTATTGAGCAGAAGAAATGGTCAAGGAGATCACGAATCCAATATTATTATATCATAATAATAAAACACTCTTTTTCAGGCTAACACAAGGCACCGCGCGCGCTTTTCCCTTTTTTCCTTTCATGACTCTCTGGTGGCGCATACAATAAAAGTGGCGCCACGAAATCCATCTCTGTGACACCCATTGGAAACCTCCAAAACCCGGAGACAATCCAATTTATGGAGATCAACGGCGACCGCAAATGAATGGATCTCGACCCGCGAGAGTGATTGAGCAGTCGGCAGCGTGGAGACAATTAGAGAATTGCACTTGTTAGACACTTGTTGCCACTTTTAAATTGTGCCCTGGCGATAGAATGAGCGCTGAATTGCTCCCACAAATATGGGCTGCAAGGTGATCATCCACTTTTGTGTCCAATATGGCTCAGCCGAGTGATTTGTGTCCTCTCCGTCCTTTATGCGCTGCTCCGATCAGAGGAAATTCAATGCAAATATTCGTGCAACATGTGTTACGTTATTTCAAGTTAGCCACTTTCAGCATAATCACATTGGATGATACATTCGCAGAACAAGAATGTTCAACAAGCACAAAGTTGTGCACTTTCTAGACAAAAAATCAGTTTTCATTGAAGACACTTTTCAGCCTGTTTTAGAGGCAGAATAAAAACCGTTTCTCAACTTGAAATAGGTAAAATAGCGTAGGAAAAGAGAGAAATAAGAGTAAAGCCAGTGTTTATAATACGCCAAGAGATTACAGAACATTTCAGAACACGCATTTACATTCAGTAACAGCTTAATTTTGGACTCTTTTCTAGAACCCTAAACAATATAGAGAATTTACCTTCAATTTTATGATAAACAGCACTCTCGACCGGCCAAAAATGAACTGCTCTATTAATCACCACAATAACTTAATCACCTGCACTCTTATTCACTTTCTTATTCAGTCTGATGCATTGAGAATTTTACATAAAGTTATCACTTGAACAAACTGAATTTTTACTCGTCTCACGAACTGCCACAAAACAACTAAAATTGACATTGAACTTGAAATGCAAATGATCCAGAATGAGACACAAAAAAAATGATGAAAACCTTACGGTTCATGAAACGAGAAGAGCCAGAAACACTTGCTTATATTTATCCACTGTCTCGACGCCCGAAGTTAGTCTTATTCACATGACTTGGCGCGAAAAATCATTCTGATCTATGCAAATCATTCTATTCGCAACTCTGATCAAATCTTTGCGTGTCTCACCAGTGGATTAATTTCTCTCCAGCAATTCACACTGAATGATCATGAAAAGGAGTCATAAATAGTGAATAACTGAGAAACAATTGCAAATTGTAACTGATGCTCGTAAAACAACAGTGAGGATCGCGCCAAATTAATTAATGCAGCACATTTTCTGGCAAAGCTGCTCAAATCATTTCACTGCCTTGATGAATGGCATTAATTTGTGATCAGAATCACTCTCAACGCTTCGAAACATTTTTTTGCTGATCTGCACAGAAAGTTCGTCGCGAATAAATAAACACAGCATAATTTACATCGCAATATTCTATTCATTCTTTTTCATATTTTTTGTTTCATGTTAAAAATCATTTTTGTTTTTATCATTACTCAATAGATGGGTTTTTATTGATTTTACTCTCATTTCTTCCATTATTTTAATTATAGCACATGAAGTGTAGTTAAATGATTAGATTTTTTTTCAATGCTATATTCGATAAATTTGGTATAGGACCACTTAAATAATTAAATTAATAGCATTATAACGCCCTAAAATCCATTGGAATGAAGTTATATATTTCTCATGTTTTCGCTTTGATCTTAAGAGAATTGGCTGTGATTCTCTTGTCTCGTTAGGCACATCTCTTGACCCATCGTTTGGGAGCCAGATATTTATCATGCTAATGCTACAGATTTCCTCTCTACTTTTCTTCTTCATTTTGTCAAGATGCGCCACCACAATAACAATTTACTCTGTGCACGAAAGACGAGACTGCGGGGATTTTGTGGATGAGGAAACAAACACTCTCTAAAATGCCCTAAAGGGAAGATCTTCCTGTATCTCTGTCATCAAACAACAATATTACCTTATCAATCGTCGAAACAGAACATTTAAATAGGAGATTTCAATTACTACTCCGCTGATTTTTTTTTGTTTGTTAACACTCTCTTTTGTCGCAATGATTTATCAATCTTTGTAGAGTGGCTTCTTTTCTTTCCATTACTTTTGAGGAAGGGTCGAATGGTAAAATATTCTTACTGACTTTACCTGCGCGCGCGCGCACGTGTCCTCTTGGCATCCTTACTGCGCTTTGCGGTGATACTCGGGACTGGCGTTGACGAAGTGCTGCATGTTGAAGAGGGTGGAACTATTTTTTACTAGATACTTGAGAAAGTCCTGTAGGTGAACGAGGAGAATCTGAATGGATTTCTCATCGAGTGCCGTGAAGGCGAGCATTGATCCCAGTTTGACGAACAGGCGCAGCAGGTGCTCCGCCCCGTAGATTTTTGCCATCGGCTTGTCCGGATGCTGCTGCAGCACCTCGGCGTACTGCGGACGCTCGAACTTGTACAGCAGCTGCGAGCCCAGCATCACGTTGAAGTACTCAATCAGGCCGCTGGCCACGTCCGTGAGCGCCGTCTCCTTGTTAGGTGTCGTGCTCTTGCTCCCCTTTTTGTACTGCACATAACCGTCAATGATGTCCTGCACGGTGCTCTTGGCCGGCAGTTCCACCAGTTTGTGCTGCCGCGTCACGGCGTCCCAGTCGTCCACGAGCCACGGCTTTAGCTCATCGGGAATCTTGATCTTTATCTCCACCTTCGACAGAAACTGCTCCTCCGTCTCGGCGTTCGTGTCTAAGCGCCCGCGCTTCTTCCGCGGCTGCTCCGCGGCGTCCGGAGTGTTGGCCGGCTTCACGGAGCGCCGTGTTGTGGAAGCGGCGGCCGGGGGTGCGACGGGTGCCGCATTGGTCTCTTTGGTGGTGAGCTCTTTGGACGGCGTCGAGGCGCGCGAGTCGCTGTCCTTGTCCTTGCTAGACGTGCCCGAGGACTGCACATCGGACTTCTTGTTCTTCCCGGGCGCCTTCTTGTTCTTCGCCGCGAGACTCGCGTGTTGCTTCGACACCTCCTTCTGCTTCTGCACGTTCGCCTCATTGTACTTCAGCACCCTGTTCTCCGGCACCCACTCGTCCCAGCTGTAACCAACATGTTTGAGGTTAGTGCACCATCTTTTGGGGGCAAAACAGCCACAGAGACTCACTTTTTGTTCCATCCCGCATAGTGGATGAAGTATCTCACTTGTTTGTCCTTCAGCACTTGACTCTTGAGCGCCTTCGCCTCGTAGATGAGGGGTCCATGGAAGCATAAGACTTTTTCACCTGGAAAACACGAGAAATGCAATCAAAATACAGGCCTCAAGAGCGCATCTCCATTGCTTCTCCGGAAAACCAGAAACCACCCCACTTTCGACCCCAAACACGCCATATGGCACTGAGTCGCGGACCCCAGATTGGCGTATTCCCCAAAGCCAGCGTCTTACCTTCGGCAAATTTCAGTTTTGGTGGCATTTGCACGTAGAAAATCGCTCTGAATTCCCGTGTTCGCCTCTATGCTGAGCGCAGTAAAAACAGTCAAACTGTCAATGCGTACTCACCACCCTTCGTCAAGTGTGGTGGAAACACGTCGGCCATTGAGGCTATATTCACCAAGCGGCGTTCAGCATTTTCTAGCAGTCGCCTTGTAAATAGATGGCTCTTGTCTTTAGAACACCCCCCCGCGAAAATCTCAGGACGCGCAGTCAAGTCGTTTAACAGCCCCGAAGAACCCTTTTTTGCGTCGCAAGCAGCTTTTCGAGGGTGCTTTTTGCCCACACCCTTCTCACCCGACGCGCCATCTTGCGGCCGCGGTGGTATCGATATGACGTTGAATTGAGTCGGAGATAAAATGGAGTTTGTACGAAATTTTGGAAAATATTTGCTAAAATTTTTCGAAATCTAACAGCCTTGCTCTCCGTGTGATCCCTGTGCCATCTCCCTGGCACTCCGGTGAAGTCACAAGTGGTGTTTGTTGTGCATTCGGATCTAGCGTCTGTGGCCAGGGCGGACGCGCTCTGGGAGAATCTCAGCAAAGCCAAAGCGGCCCCGAAGCTTTCGTCTGCGGACAAACTTTCACAGCAATTTTCGCTCAGTGTAATCGACGGTGGGTATTCTGGAGGTGTCGGGAGTGAGTACCGGGATGACAGAGCAGACACTTATATGGTTATCGTTGCAGGAAATACGCCACAGGATGACGGAGGTGAAGTCGGTGAAGGTGGACAACTGGGGAGTGTTTTTCCTACAGAAGCTCCAGAACTTCTTCAACAAGACCGACTATTGCGATCTCACGCTGCAGTTTAAGGACAATTCGCAGCTCAAGGTGCACCGGCTGGTGTTGAGTGCGTGCACGGACTACTTCAATCTCCTGGAGACGACGTGCGAGATGCACGGGGACATCCTCATCATGCCGCGCGACCTCCAGGCCGACGTGGTGGTGCCCATTGTGAACTTCATGTACACAGGCACCCTAGAGTTCGAGGTGATGATGTACGAGCGTCTGCTGAAGACCGCTCGCGATATGAACATGACTGTTCTGCTAAAGCTGCTGGAGGCGCACCGTCGCTCCATTCCCAGTCGCTCAGCCCCTGTCATTCTCAACAAGTCCGCCCAGCAGCAGCGGGTGGTGCAGACGCGGGGCCCCAACGTGCGTCAAGTAGAGCGCACGTACGCCTCGGCGGGCAGAGTGACCCAAATTGGGGGCATCACTATCAAAAAGGAGCCGGGAGTAACGTACGTGCGGAAGCCAATGTCTGACCCGGTGCCAGAGCCAGTAGCCCTGGTGTCCAAGTATCCACACGTAGGCTCCAAAACAGGCCCCAGTCGCTTTGAGCCGCCGGACGAGAACATCTCCGAAGCCTTCGACTCATCTTTCAACCCAATTTCGTATGAAAGCAAGCCGCTGATCACTGCTGACCAAGTGAGTCGCGAGGAGGACGACGAGGAGACGAAAGCATCGGTGTTTGAGAAACTGCGGAAATCCGGATACACCAATCCCAATAAGCGCCCGGCCACTGCCAGTGCCTCACCGCCGCACAAGAAGCTAAATCTGCAGGATGTGAAAGAGTACACGGAGGCGGCAAAGCTGCGGAAGCAAATCGAGGAGGAGGCAGAAGATGATCCCAGGGAATACGATGATGCCGATGACACCTACTCGAACTCCAGTGACGAGCAGCAGAGTGGCAGGGCGGTGAGCAAGGCGAAGAAGGATCAGCGACCCACAGTTGTGGTGCAAGAGTCTGGCAAAGTCAACCACGCCAAGATCATCAGTGAGGTTCTGAAGAAGTATCCGCATCTGGTGAAGAACAACAAGAATATCAAGCTCAAGATTATGCAGAAGAGTCCGCAGGGCAGGACAGTGGAGGCTGAGCAGGTGGAGGTGAAGCCTAAGCCGTCCTTCCGCACCACTCCGCCGGCGAAGCAGCTGCCGGTGGATCCCAAGAGCCTGGCGCGTGGCGGGAGGATTGACAGCAAGACGATGCACGCGTTGATCGCAAAGGGGGCGGAGAACATGGAGGGACCGTGGCTGTGCCTCCGCTGTGGCGTGGATGGGCGCCCAATTGGCATCCCGACGTACAAAGGCTTCCGTCGCCACCTGATCAACGTGCACCACGAGAAGATCGATCCGCGCATATGTGAACACTGCGGCTGGAAGGCGAGAAGCAGCCGCAAGACGGAGCTGTACTACCACATCCTGGTGAAGCACAAGATCAAGCCGCCGGACAACATGTCCTTCCCACGCTGCAAGGAGTGCCCCTTCATAGCGCCCGACGAGGTCACGATGAACAAGCACCATGTGGATGTGCATGGGAAAAAGAAGGTGCACCATCAGACGTGCATCTACTGCAACAAGAGTTTCCAGTCGGAGACGGCTCTGTTCAAGCACATGCACAGCCAGCACAAGCAGCGCGCCCGCCAGGATGGGATCCTGGATGATTCGGACGCGGAGCAGGAGATGGAGCAGTACGAGGACGAGGCGGATAAGTATGTGCCGAATGTGGAGGAGAGTGAACTCGCCGAGACGTCTGATCAGAAGATAAAGATCCTCTCAAACATCTCCTTGCCATCCACCAAGAGTATTCCGTTCGTTCTGGATCCGTCGGCTCAGCACGTGAATCAGATTCAGGGCAAGGCGGCGGCCAAGTTGGAGCCGAGCAGTGAAGCTGAGGCGCTGAGCAATGTGGCCAGTGGAATTGCCACCAGTCTTGGTCTCGTGGAGGGAAGCGTGGTGATTGGCGAGGCGCATCAATTCCAGGGAGATTCTGACCTCATCTCCAGCCAGTATATCGAGGCTGCCATGGCGGACGTGCACGGCGAGTACGGAAGCAAGAAGACCGATCAGGAGATTATGACGAAGCTGGTTACTGAGGATGGGTCAGAGCTTGAGCTGACGCCGGCACAGAAGGAGGAGCTGATGTCGCAACTGCAGGGCGAGAGTGACAATGTGGTGATGGTGTTGAATCAGGACAACTTCGTTGAGGGCAACACGGAGATCATCAACAGTGCCGACCAGAAGATCGTTGTTGTGTACAGTCAAGCGGACGATGGCCTGAAGGAGGCCTATCTGCATGCCGGCGACATCAAGGACAGTGTCTTGACGCCGAGCACGCCAATGGAGTGGCAAGGATCCAATACTCAAGATACTGAAGACAACTCTCAAGTGAGTAATTTTTTTCTTAATCAATTAACAATGTGTATAATTTTTAAATAATTCCCAGGAAAATATCCCAACATCACAAGACGAGGAGGACTCGAAGAAGCAGGAGGAGAATCCTGCTGAAGAGGAAGAAGAGGAGAGCAAGAAGCCGATTGAGGAGGAGAAGACGGACGAGAGTAGCAAAAAGTCGAAGAGCGATGAGGACAAGTTGAAGCTGATTTCTGAGCTAGAAGGCGATTGGAGTGAAGACGAGGACATGGGATTGGAGGCTGCGAAGGATGATGCCAGCAAACAAGAGGGAATCAGGGTTATCTTGCGCACATCCACCAATCCTTCTGTGGATGACGAGGTGGGCCTGAAGGAGCAGAGTGCCGTTGAGGAAGTGGAACAGAATCTGTCGGCTCTGCTCGAGGATTGGAACAATGACTCGCAGACGAGCGCCAAGGAGAGTGTGGAGGAGGCGAACGGGAAGAAGGAGGAGCCAGAGAAGGTGGAGAAGGACGAGGAGACGGACAAGCTGGAATCGCAGAAATCCGCAGAGGAGGATAAGGAGGACGCCAAGAGTGACGATGGAAAGAAGAGCAGCGAAATCAAGACTCTGATCAACGATTGGGGTGATGATGATGAGGATCTATAATTTTTAAGGAATTGCAACCTTTAATTAGAAGTGAATTTTAGATTTTAGATGTTAAGGATATTTAGAAGTTCTATATGGTGACCACAAAAGTTTTCCTGATCACTAAAATCAACCTATTTTCTCCGTCTTTTTAGGAAAAAATATGCATATTACATTTGTCACTAACATTATTACTTTAAGAGCAAAAAGTTACAAATATTTTATCTTCATTTATTTTATTCCTAAATATCTCTATGTAATTTACAATGAATTGTATCTGGAACCTAGCCTGTAATTTAGAGCAAAAATAAAGATAGTGCAAAAATGCTTGGAGCTCGAGTTCAGGACTTCTGTTGGGGACGTTGAGGAATATTCTGTTCCCATGGCCGAGGACCTCTCTTGTTCTCCCAATTGTCAATGTCCAATTTCTTTATCTTCTCATACTCACTCTCCAGAGTCACTTCTCCGGGTTTCTTCATCTCTATTCCATGCTTCTTCATCTCTTCCGGAGTTATTTGCGTGTTCTTCGCGAATTGATACCTGCAAAAAAGGTAAATATAACCCTACTTTTGCAGAGATTCAAAACATTGCCCAAAACAATACAAACTTACCTCAACGATGTGAACTCTCGCAAGGCGAAGGACCCTCCAGTAACCAAGATTATAAATGGAGCTCCGTATTTGAAGAACTTCTGTTGATACCAGGCTTTTCCCATTTTTCCTCCTCCGGCTGCGGAATCCAGATTCTGGTAATCGCCCCTCTTTGCCGGCAGCGCCACAGGTGGACAGCATTCGTAGCATTCTTGCAGATTTAGTTTCACTTTGAGAGCGAGCTTTTGCCATTCGGTAGAATTTCACATTTTCCTGCAGAAAATGACTAGTCAACAGTGCAAAAAGTTACAAAAGAAGACCAGAAGATGCCAAGTCCTGATTGAACAGAACACCGGCATTAAATGCACTGACACAGTGGAAATGGTGAGATGTTTGGTTTCCATGAGCTTTTGAGGTTATAACTTGTGGATCCCTTGCAGAACTTGGTGATCTGTAATGCTGGACTCTCAACAGGACTACGCCCGGAAAGTGTCTTAGAAGTGATTGGAGGTGTGGGAAAGATTTCAGCGATTATCATGCTTCCTGGAAAGTCTTTCTGCTTCTTGTCGTGCCCAACAATAGAGGATTCAGACAGGATTTTTCAACATCTTCATGGAAAGGCAAAATTAGCTCAGAATCAGGGACTGATTTTTCTGTCTTTCTGCAGGGATCTCCCAAAAATTGAAAGTCCCTGGGAGAGGAACACAATTCCACCAGGTCTTGTAGTCCTCAAAGACTTCATATCGGAGGAGGAGGAAGAGAAACTCATGAAATGCGTCAATTGGACGGAAGAAGCCTCAGGAAAGGAACTGAAGCATCGGCAAGTGAAGCATTTTGGCTATGAATTTCGCTATGGATCCAATGATGTGGATCCTGAAGTGCCTCTAAATGAGAAAATCCCTCAGGAATGCCATATTCTGTGGGAGAGAATGCACAAGAAATACCCCGATATCGATTGGTCTACTCCTGATCAACTCACAGTCAACAAGTACGCTCCTGGTCAAGGAATTCCGCCTCACTGTGACACTCACAGCGCTTTCTCTGGCCCAATCGTCTCTCTGTCTCTTGGGAGTGACGTTGTGATGGAATTCAGGAGTGCTTCTGGAGAAGATACATGCGTACTTCTTCCTCGTCGGTGTATTCTGCTAATGACTGGTGAGAGTAGATACAACTGGACTCATGGAATCACTCCCAGATGTATGGATATCGTTCCGAGTGGTTCAGAAAATGCATCTCTGACGATTTTAAAGAGATCCATCCGAATTTCCTTCACATTCCGAACACTGAGACGAGGAGAATGCGATTGTAATTACTCCACTTTCTGTGATACGAAGAAAAGGGAGACCGAGAAGGGAGGAAATTCATTGGAATTGGCCAAAATAGCTTCAAAAGTAGAAGAGGAAAATGTTCACAAGATCTACAATGAAATTGCACAGCATTTTAGTGAAACAAGACATTCTCCATGGCCTAAAGTAGCAGAATTTATAGCTAGTTTGCCATCAGGATCGTCTTTAATGGACATTGGCTGTGGAAATGGAAAGTATCTGCTGGCCAGAGAGGATGTCATCAAAATTGGCTGTGATAGAAGTGATGTTCTGCTGAAAGTTTGCCAGGAGAGGCAGTTGAATACTCTTCTCTGCGATTGTCTGGCCATTCCAGTGCGAAGCAATTCAGTTAGTGCTTGCATTAGTATTGCTGTAATTCACCACTTGGCTTCTGAGGATCGCCGAGTTCAGGCTGTGAGGGAAATGGCGAGGATTCTAGAGAAGTCCGGGCGAGGATTGATCTATGTGTGGGCGAAGAATCAAGAGGCGGATAAGAAGAAGTCTAGTTATTTAAAGCAGAACAAGAAGTGCAATGAGAAAGATGAAAATCCGATGAGGGATGACAAACTTCCCCTGCCTGTGCACACAAATCGAACGCAGTTCAAGCATAGAGATATTCTTGTGCCTTGGAAGTTGAAGGACGGCACGGAGCATCCCAAAACCTTCCTGAGATTCTACCATGTCTTCGAGGAGGGCGAATTGGAGGAGCTCTGCGGAAAAATTGAGGGAATTGAAGTCATTCAATCATACTATGACCAAGGAAACTGGTGTGTTGTCTTCGAGAAGACACTTTATTCACACTGAATCACTCTTGACGCCGAAGAACAGCAACACAGTATCGTGATTGTAGTTCTCCAGAAGGTGGAGAAACTGCTGAAGTTTCGACTTGACATTGGTGCCGCGGAATTTATTCCAATCAATGAAGAGATCAGTGAGAAAGCCATGAAAGCGACCCACCAAGACGCGATCTTTTCCCACATTGAGGGTGATTTCCTTCTGATTTTTGTAGATCTCTTGCCACTCCTTGCAGAGAACGGCCAAGTCCTCGTCACCACGGATGTCCAACTCCAGGAGGGCCTGCAGGAGTTTGTAGTCCCGAGACATCTTCATGTGTCGCACCAAGATGGGCTCCACGAGTCCTAAGATGTGACTGATGCAGTTGGGATTCATGTCTGTGGAGATCTCAAGCTTGATCCTCTTCTTCGTGATCTCTCGCGTGAGGACGTCCTTGATGATGGAGATTGTGGAGATGTTGTCGCTCTTGAACTCAGCTTCGCCCTTCTTGTACTCGCACCGCAACACTGATCCTATCAGGACGTTCTCGAAGACGAGCTCACATGAATCGCCGGAGGAGAGCTTCTCGGGAATCTCCGGCACGCAGTGGCTGATCCAGCTGTGCATCTCTGACAAACTGAAAGCGCCCCGCAGAGTGAGGCTGCTGTAGGGGCGCGTCTCGTCGATCTTGTGAGTCCGGATGTGCAACGACAAGGGCTTAATCGCGTACTCTCGCAATTGACTGCATTTCGGTTGCAGCGCAGGTGTTATGTAGGCCTGCAGAGTGCCGTGCTGACCCTCAATGGTGCGAATCTTCAAATCCACGCGATTTGTGTTGAGCTGACATCGGTAAGTGGCCAATAAGCAGTTTCCACTCTGAAAATATTCATATAATAATAATAATAATAAAATTGTGGTGAGAAATATATGTGTAATTTCCTAGAACACGATTAGTGTGTGTGACTTTGGGGGAATCAATTAAATTCGAGTGCGCTCGAATTTAATTGCTCTCGGCGCATAAAGGCTGTAACTGTGCGCTTCCGTGGAATTCTCTCCGTTCCAATTGAAATGCAGGAGCGGAATAAAAATGCACACAAACAATCACGCTGAGAGAGTGTCTTTTGATCTGGACTGGAGACGTGGAGATCAAACGGAGTCGTGCGCGCGCGAGAGAGACAGAGAGAAGGAGAAGCAGAGACACGGCGCGCGATAGGGAATCTAAATTAAATTACCAATGGGTTGCATTCACTGAAGCTGACGACTGCGGTGTTCTTTTCAACATCCAGCAACTCGAGGGGCACGTCGCTCTGCAGCAGAATGTATTCAATGGACGCAGGAATCTCTATTGAGAGATCGTACGAGGCGTCCTCGCGGCACAGAACCATCTGCAGGGCGACAGGAGAGGAATGGGTCAGACGCGGGCGGGAGGAGAAATGCACAATTTACACTCACAGAGTCGTTGACGTTGAGCATTGGAATGGCCGAGAGGCCTGAAGACATGGCCTGCGTGGATTGCTGGTACTTTTCTCGCTCGCGGGACACTTTTGACTCGAGTTCAGCGATCTCCGATCTGGCGATAAGATCATCGTTTTGGGGATAAAGGGGAAATGTGTGTACGTTTCTCTCTCACCTCAGCTTTGCAATCCGGAGATTTGTGTCGTTGGGAAAGTTCATTGTCCCGGCATTTTGATTATCACTGATACTTCTGGCCACGCATTGAGTGGTCAGGCCAAAGATTCGTCCTGTGTACGTGCAAACAACAACCTCAGCGTATCCATTGGCTGCGAAATATCCTCCTTGGACACTCGAGATGCTCTCATTGTAGTTCTGCAATTGCAAAAAAAAGTAATTCTTAATATTATTCCGGACATTCTAAGACTACACAAACCTCAATGAAGAGCTGGTGAGATTCCAAATCTATCTCGTTATCGTCTGACTTCATGGAAAAAATCTGAAGTACTCCATCTCTTCGGCCCAGAATGAGCTCCTCCTTTCCATCTCCAGTCAAATCGAAAGTGTTGAGGCAAGAAATCGCGCTGGCATGTTCAGAATCTTCCACAAGAACTTCTTCAGTCACTACAAAGTGGGAAAAATTCAATACTTTATTTGGTACAATTTCGGAAGAAATAAGAAGCAAAAAGAGACCTTCGAGGGAGAAATGACCAATTTTATACAGGATGACCTTTCCATCGGAAAATCCACAGATCACTTTGTCTCCCAATCCCTTCGGGATGTGCATTATCGTTGGCACGCTGTTGAGTTCGATGGTTTGTCTCACGCGGCAATGCTCAAGGATTCTCAGCACTCTTCCTGAGCAGGCGAGAATGGTGATAATACGATTACTCTGCAAGGAATCACATCAATAATTTCATTGTGACGCACAATTTAGCTCAGATTTCTTCTTAATGTGTGTATATATTGAAAGTATAATGACGGCAAATTTAGCACCATTTGTGCTCGTAATGTTCAAAGAATCTTCCCACAAGTCTTGCAGACAGTTTTTCCCCCGGTCACTCTGTCTGTGACGTGGCTGATGTGTCCCTTGACGTTCTCAATCTGCAGCTTCGCTTCCTGGAATTGCGTCTCGAGCACGGAAATCTGGCACTTGAGCTGATTGATGCAATTATCCCGATCACTGAGGGCGATCCTTGCCGCCGCGCGGCATTGAGCCAGCTTCTTCTCCACCTCAGACAGTTCGCAGCGAAGAGACTTGTTGACCTCCTCACAAGCAACCTTCGTGCGATCCATCATCTGGACAGTGTCCAAGCGCATCTTCTCAAGCTCAGCCTCAGTTCTTGCGAGATTGTCCTGCACAGTGTCTCTCTCGCAGGACAATTGGTTGTACTTGTAGAGGAGACACTGCAACTCCTCTTGCAGCTCAGCAATCACACCAGGAAGGTTCTTCTTCTTCTCACGCATCCAGACCTTCTCCTCACGCTGGAGACGCTCAAGCTCAGGCGTCAACTTGTTCAATTCATCCTGAATCATGCGTTTCTTGCGATACTCTTCTCGCAATCTGTCCCTGTCGCTGCTGATTTTTCTGTTCTCCTGCATCAATTCATTGTTCTGACGCTGAAAGTCCTGCTTGATTCTTATAATCTCACACCGAACGGACTCCTCCATCTGCTCACTCTTGTGATGCATCTTCTTCAGCAATGCAGCGCGTTCTTCGGCGATCTGCTGGGCCGTTAAGTACTTCTCTTGGTAGATCTTGATCTGGCAGTTTTGCTCTCTGACGAATGTCTTCAGTGTGTGAATTTCCCCGCCCATCTTCTGGCACATTTCGCGGAGGAACTTATTCTCCGCCGCGGGCTTCTCATCACACTCCTGCACGCGCAATTTCATGCACAAATCTCTAATCTCGCGATCCTTCTTGGCCAGATTCGAGACGACATTCGGATAGTTTTGCCTCTCAAATGTCTTCTGTGCGGTCTTTTTCCTGCCCGTGCGATTACTGCCGCAGACCTTGCGAATCTTCTTCAGTCTGTTGGTCATTTGGTCAATTCCCTTCTCCAGCTGACCGAGATTCTTCTCGTGAAAGGCCATTTCCCTGCTCAGATTGCCAAAGTTCACATTTGAAGAGACTCTGTAGGCTTTCTTAGGGGAGGACTTCTTCTTCTTCTGCTCACCAACTTTCTTCTTTAGACACCGAATCACTCTGTCTTTGTACTCATCCTCTTGATTCATCTCCTCCAGGGCTTCCTGAGAGACGACTTCGCTCTCTCGCGTGGGAATTTGCTTCATGTTCTCGTCGGAAAAGTTGGGCTCGAGGTCAAAATGCTGGTCAAAGTTGAACACTCTGTGATGATTTACGATGTGATCCACCAGACACTCTAGCTTCTGCACCTCCTTGAGCAGATCCCTCCTCAATTCCTCAACGACTGCCTCTTCACAGCTTCCGGACTCTTTCATGGCCCTCTTGAGCTGCTTCTTCAGGCGATCCACCACGGCGTTCTGGCTATCGAGAGCTCTCCTGAAGTTCTGATACTCCTCAGTCTGTCCATGGTCGTGTTCATCGGCCTTGTTCGGCTTCCCATTCTGACTCGGGATCACCGTCTTTATCACTTCTGTCTTGATTTCTTGCATAAAAGCGTTAATTTGGGAGGCAGATTCCTCATCACTGAAGGCCAAATTGTTCAGAGACATTAATAATTGGGGTGTTTCCTCTGTTACTTGTGGAATAATGGAGCGATTTTAGGGAGTGTGTAAAAGAATCTGATCGGAAAATATTTTTGTTTCTCGATAGACACTTTGATTTCACGCAGAAACTCTGAGATACTCACGTTGTTGGGACAAAGCGCCACGACGTCCACGATAGTGTCGCCACAGAGATAAGTTCCGACATCCTTGCAGTCCTTGTAGTGATTGTAGACGTGATTGCCGCACACAAGAAGATCAGGTCCGCTCACGAACATGGATTTGATGTTCTCCGTGAGATTCGTGTCGAAGGAGAGGAACATTTTGCCCTTCTTGCTGAAGCCATGCACTTTATTCTCCATCGCCACGAACATCTTGTCCGCCGGCGTGCCTGCAGCGCCTCCCAGCTGCACCGAGGCCACTTTGGGGCCCGGCAGAGTCTTGAAGTGCACCTGGATCTCGTCCTTCTTGGACGAGATGAGCTGAATCACACCTTCCTGATCGGCGATGATGAGCTGCAAAGGATATCTTTGGACTTGTCTGTGTCGTCTAGGAGAATTCAGGCTAACCTTTTGCTGACATCTGGCCACTTCTCCCGGAAGAAGCTTCACGCAATTGGGAATGATGACTCCAGCATCCAGATAATCCACTCTGGTTAATTCCAGTTCCATCTTTTTGCCTTAAACAAAGCGAATTCCACGCTCGATGTTTGTTTACCGGGAAAATCGTCAAGGAAACGACATTTGAATACGTTGCAGAGGCCAGTAAAATTTTTAAGTAGGTATTAATATAGATATTTTTAGAAATTGAATAGCAACTCAGAATTTACGATCAATTGAAAAAAGTCTCAGTCTATTTATATATAATTTATTCACTTATCCCTTTTTTTTCTTAAAAACCTCCATCGTCATTTTGCATTACAGTGTTTTGTTTTACGGTAAAAATCTCACATAAAATAAGAATGAGTTTCTGCTGTAAGATTTGACTGAGAAAAATCTCATCTCTCACGCATTCTCCTTTTTCTGACTCTTTCTTTTTCCAATGATGGATGTTCAAAATAGCTCCGCTTTTCCAACTCTTCATCTTCATCTCCTCGGGGAAGCACAATAATTCGAAAAATTATTCCTCTATTCTTTTGCCACCTCACTTTCCATTCCAACACTTTCATTTGATTTAAAATAATTTCTTCTCTATAAAATTATTTATATGTTCAGTACAATTACATACTTTTTTTTATATCAAAAGAAGCATTACAGTATTTTTGCAGCTTTTTTTTACGAAGTTTTTTCATCTAAAAATGGGACACATTTTCTCTTCTCTAAAACTTATGTTTCTTTTTTGGACAGATCTTGATAATTTTTTTTCATATTTTCTCGAGGGGTTTATTATCTTTCAATTGTGGGGCGAAACTGAATTTTTTTTCCATCATATATTGCTGTTGTTTGGCATTTCTCTCGAGAAAATCTCCCAAAAAAATATTCTTTATTTATTCTTTTCTAAATAGAAAAACTACACAATTATTTATCTTCCCTTTCTATCAATGTTGATTTTCAAAATTTATTTTTTCACTTTTCTTCACTTTAAAATATCAACTATTCTATTAATATAAGAAATGTCAATGATGGTCATAGCATTGAAAAAAGATTCACGTACAAGACGAGAAGAGGAGTATAATAGAGGTGATAAATAAGGTGGAAACACACAATTTGATGTCTTTTCTTGTACATTTGTATGAAAAAAGAGTTTCACTTTTATTTCTGTGTCACTGTTTCTTGTTCTCTTCAATGCTATTCCCATCATATCATTGCTAATCTATATTAATATATTCATTAAGAATAGAAATTATAACGTAAAATTATATAAAGCACAAGTTAGTGTTAATATATTCTTGTCTCTTGTTTTTGTTTCTCTTTTTCCTCCTTCTCATTCAAGATTATAATTATATTTAAGCATAGAAATGTAATTTATGCAAAATTTCTCAATATATACAGTGCGCAAAATTAGGTTCTCATTCTCATACATTTGCATTTTTTTGTTTAATATAGATTTCACGAGACAAGAATCTTATCAATAAAACGTCTCTCAAGTTTGGGACACATAAACAAACTACAAGAGGAAATATTTGCTGGCGCGGGGAAAATATTTTCTGCCATCGAAATAATTATACAGCACAATTTGGGACTTGATTGTGGATTATTTATTGAAATAAGAACAGAAATTGGACGTTGTTCCCATTGACAAGTTGGAATTCAACAGAATATCAATATATCGCGTTTCTTTTTGTGCAATGAAAGTCAGAGAAATTGAATTAAATGCAAAACTCATTTACTGTCCTTTGAAAGCTTGTTCAAAATAAATCCATATAAGAAAGCTCCTTTCTGTCTTTCTCTGGTAATTTTTCCCCTGAAAATCTGATATTTTCATCTTCTCCAAATGACTCACGATAGTGTTTTTTTTATTTGTTTTTCCTATCCTCCACCCTCATACTTCTTTTCACGCGTCTGTGTTAGTCAAAGTATTTTTCGCCATCAAAGAAGATAAGAAAGAAAAATTGTTCTCGACCCAGATTTTGTTGATTTTTTTTCATCTCAATCATTAAAAATTGTATATATGCTCTCTCTCTCTCTCCCTCCCCCGACTTTGCCACACGTTTTTGCCATGAGAATTCAATCACGTACATTACGAGTGGTAGGGAGTGACGTAAGTAGCTGGGAAGAGTCCTTTTCTATTGCCAATCTCGCCACTCCACCAGTGCTCGTCCGTCCTGTCCGTCACTGTGATAACGTCGCCACGCCTGAAGTCCAGCTCGCCCGATTCCTGCGGTATGAAGTCATAGAGAGCCTGGACGAGTGTCTGCAAGAGACAGAGAATGCGGGGATTACACAATGCGGGTCGCTCGCGTGCGCCTGTGATTGCGAAAACTGACCTCTTCAGGAACCATATCACGTAGTTTGACATCTTGAGAACGGGACACGCTGGCCGTGCGATGGTACTCCACCAATTCGTTCAGGGAATTGAATTTGACGACCCACAAGAAGAACTTGCCTTGCGCATCGCGCAACACCTTAAAGTGCTGAACACCATCGGAGCATCTGAAATTCACACCAATAGCACATAAATATTCATTATAACACATCTTCTTCTCTTCTGCCTCCTTGGTGGCAAAAAACGAGAGGTGAAATATGAGGAAAAGTGAAAAATGTCTGAGTTATTTTAACTAATATTCAATATCTTTTATTTAGAAACTTTCCTTTCCCCAATTCACTTTTGCCAACACATTTGGACGCTCATCAAAATCGTGTTGAATTAAATTGCAACATCTTTTCACTCTCTTGCTTTTAAAATCACTAAATATATATTATATTATACTTTCAATGATAAAACACCCAATGAAAGAGAATGTTAATGATTTGAAGAAGAAAAAAAACATAGAGTATAAAATGTGACAATTTTATCGTGCATGCCAAACTAATTACAAAATAAATAGCATGAATTTAATAACTGATTTCCCTCTATAATAACGTTTTATCTCATGACTTTTATGAAATTCGAGGCGCCTCACGCATCGTTTCTACAGAATTCTCGTTCTGTGTCCAACTTTTCTTAAACTATCGTGAATGTGGAGCAGAGCAAAACTAGTTAACTTTAAGCTGTAGGAATTAAACATTTCTATATAGTCAAAAGAAATGTCAGGGAAAGCTGAATCATTCTATTCCACATGACAAAATGTGTGTTTCATTGAGATGAAACTCAAGTATTCAACAAATCAAACTTCTTAAGTGCTTTTTAGTACTTCCACTGTTATGCATTATTTAAATATTTCTTCCATGAAGACTTTCTTATTGCTCAAACACTTGCAAATCTGTAAACTTCTCTTTAACACTTGCTAGAAAATTTATCGCATTCCAGTGAAATTATGTGAGATATCGTCTTCTTTTCCTCTCTTCATCACACTTTTCCAGACAATTTTACAGCAAGCAGTAAAAATTTCTCATGTGAATAATGACTATTGAGAGAAAATGCCATGATTTATTATTGTTCAAACAATTCATCATATTGGCGACTTTGGGACGAATCTCCAGTGAGAAATCTCAATAAAAATCTCCCGTCAACATGGCCACGAATTGTCCACATTATTCATTAAATGCCTATTAAGTGGGAAACTGCACTCAAACAGACAGTCATTTTCCCCAGATCTCATTGATGGTCTAATTGGGGATTCTGCTCTGCACACGCACACACACAAATACACAATATTGGGAAAGTGGAGAAAGACAGATAATTAAATTTTATGTGTACTCACTTGACGGAGAGGGAAAAGTCTCCGGGACTCGATTCACTTATTCTAATCAAAAATGCCCCCTCGTGCTTATTTGATAGCAGCTTTTCCGCATCAGCTCTCGTAATTCTTCCGTAGTACCAGCTGAAAGTGTTGGGGAATAAATAGGTCTCTTTAGAGTTCACTATTCAGATTGGCATTGTGCGAGCTATGAGCATTTCTCACCCGTGATTCTTCATTTCGATATAATTGCTGGGAATTAGGCCCTCCTTGCCATCCAGTTCGGCTCTGTACCAGTTCATGTCATCTTCCATATTTAAAATCTATAAATACAGAATCACTGTAATTAAATATTCTGATGTGAAAAGTCTTAGGAAAGTAAGAAGATCAATTAAATTCTTGCATGTAATTTTTCAAGTACATCCCAACATCACGAATCTCCGCTGAATAAACATTTATTATTATTTTCAATTTTTCCCTCCCATTCACGTCGCACATCTCAAATGATATTTCAAATTGAGAATAAAGTGAGAGAAAGAGAGACAGAGAAATGATGGATGAAATTGCCTTGCTGCATTTATTCACTACTCATATTCTCTCTTCTATTCACCAGATAAATCTTTTATAGCACTGTTTTTTCGTCTCTTTTTTTTTACAGAAAAATTCAAAAATATAAATCTCTTGTACACCATTCTATAAAACACCCGCAATTTCACAGGCCAGAGACAAAGTTTCCCAATAAGTACCCAATTGAGTGGAAAAATAGTACAACAAAACATGCACACTGAAGAAAACAGACGCATAGTATAATAGCTAAACGCAATTCCAACACATTTCATACTTCCATTGATAACATACAATTTCTATGATGAAATTTTTTCCTCACTCATTTGACTTGGCCGTTAAAATGCTTTATGCTGAATGTGTGTTATGTTTATTTTCATTTTTGCTATTTACTGGAAAGTGACGAACAAGACAGTGAAGCAAGACAAGTAAAAATCACTTGAGAAAATTGAATATTTACACGTTTTCTTCTATTGGAAGCCACACACTCACGAGGCACACCGAGTGTGAGAGAGATTTGATTGTGTGAAAAGAGAGGAAAATGTGGAATCCCAACAGAAATTCTAGAACAGAAATTTGCCGTCTATTTACACTTCTTTTTTTTCGCTGCTCTCTTGTGCATGTGGCATAGAGGAAATTTAGTGTAAATAAACGAAAAGAGACATTCCATTAATTTATTCGCTCCATTTATTGTTTTCATATTATTATAACATGTGAGCGATGTGAATATAGGGCTGGGCGAGAGCCGAACAAGTCCAATAACTTCTGGAAATGTTTACCATCCATTGAATTTCACGCTCAATTCCAGTATTACAACTACTTTTTCTTCCCTTTAATATTAAGCCAATTTTCGTGCTGTGAAAGCAAATTCTTGGCAGAATTTTCGTAATTCACGCACAAAACCAGAGTGAATATTTTGTGGAGTGAGAAGGTCAAGAAGGTGGGCATTGAAGATGTGTACGACGAAGAAGGGAATATGAGTCACGCTTTTGTCGGTGGAATTTCTTCTCTCGCACACGATATTCAAAGAGCATAATGAAAAAAAGAGGCGCAGAGAGGAGAAAAAACACGACCATCGACCATCAGCAACCAATACATTCGGTTTTTTTTCCACTATCGCATAGCATATTATCCTCTTCTCCCAGAGCATTTTCTTCGGCACTCTCTTGCTGGTTGGAACTTCTGGTAAGCAAGACGCGCCTCTCGCCACCGTCTGTATCATGTACACTTGCACACAATATTGCCTCTCTCTCGCCCTTCCAAAAATGAAAAAGCACATAATAAATGCTAACATCATCAGTGCAAAATCCAACAAACTCTTTCACAGAGTGGCCTCTTCACCTGCACAGGAGAAAGAGCAGTGATGCATGAGAAAACCAGTCGGACAGATTTGCAAATAGATAGAGAAGATATTTTTTCGGACATCCACACAACACACCAAACGAATATTTCTCTCCAGTTTCTCTCTTTGGCCAACACACACGCTCGCCATCAGTCTCATCCTAATTGGATTCTCCTCTCCAGCACAACAGTGAATGTGCAGGAAAGGCAGGAGTGCAGCTGGAGTGCTATTTTGGCATGTTAAATAATTTATAGTGGAAAATAAAGGAGATAATTTGGTGAGAAATTTGCCAACTCTGATAATGCTTTGAACAAAATTGGCCATTGATGGAATTTTAATCTTCATTCCATCCCAACATTTTTATCCACCCACACACAATCTGTGCAAAGCTTGCCGGCATTCTCCGTAAAATTGGCTCACACTTGAAATTGTGTTTATTTTTTCCATATGGCAAAGACATTGACTAAATATTTGATGAGTATTTTTGCAAAGTTTTACGCGTATGTGCTTTAACAAGTCAAACAATTTCTTTCCCCCTTTGGCAAACGACTTTGTGAATGGCTGCAAAACTCCCCCAACGGAAAACAAGCAAAACTTGCTCAGAAACTGAGTTAGTGGACAAAATTGCAGTGCATTGTTGAAAAGGCGACAGAATTAGTCATCAGAATTGGCCGAATTGCCATAAGAAGTTAACTTTATGGAGAAAACTAAAGTCAAATATTGATTTAAGTGCTTTTCCAGTGATTCATAACCAGATTTCCAACGAAAATCCAACATTTTTCAACTCCATACTTATCGACATAATTTATCTCCTCAAATTCCTCAACGTCTTTTCAAGGGGATTATAGATCAACGAAACTTCTCCCATAAGCGCGCGCCACAAGAATTTTCCCACTCCCCCGAAAACAGAGTGAGAAAAAGTTGAGTTGAATGAAGCCCCACCAAGTTGAGCACTGAATGTGTTAAATTATTTCAGTAGTTTAAGAAGTATTTTAGAGACAAGTGCTACTGAAGATTGAAATCAATGAACTTTTCAAGATTTACGACTTCTTTCACACTCTCTTTCCATTGTCTCTTCGCTATAAGAGGATTTGCAGCGCGGCAAAAAATCACATACACACACACATCATAATAGACTTTTTCTCAGATGAATTTAATTTTTCGCCTCAAATTATGTCACACAAAAATATTCAAATTGAATTTACAGACATGAAAGAGAAACCCGTGAAAACATTCAGTGATGCATTGAATGTTTGACGTGGAAGATGAGGAAGTCAATTATCAGCTTTAAATCGATTTTTAATTTGACACTCACGAACAGATTCTCTGATTCATCATCGTCTGACAACATAGAATTGCTACATACATAATATTGGATTAGAAGCGCCATTTGACCTACTAAATCAATGCCATCGACCTTTAGATTAAACATGGCTAAAGGTGAAAATCGTCGTCCTTTGCCAGGAATCTATCCATGACATTTCCTTCGCACATATTCCACTCAATATATACAGCCCGAGAGACCTTTACTGGTTCACTTCATCAGAATGCATTTCAAATGCAATTTTCCATCGAGACAAAACGGTGGCAAATCGCTTCCACAGCTCAGAATTCCATTTCCCGCATTTCATACAATTGCTTCCTCTGACTCAGTGCTGTTATTGTACAGCATTTTGCTGACAGTACCATACAATTTCCCGAGAGAGTTGGCGAAATACCTCAAATTCCTCACCCAATTGTCACAGTATTCAGGCAATATCTCATGCGAGGGCTTCTCGCGAGATTAGATTACTGCTCAAGGTCGAGCAAGGTCGCTCAACAGGCCCTGAATTCGTAGAAAGAGACTGATGCACCTCAATCTCGAGGGAATCCCACAGTGATGGAGCAGACAGAGCAAATTCTCTGGCGGAATTTTGTGAAGGACGCACACGAAGATGAGAGAGAGACTCTGTAAAATATTCCATTACTCCGGTAGTCACACGCTGACCACCTACACATAGAAGCACATAGACTGAGGATGCCCGAATGAGTTGGTTTTGGCTCTTTTTTCTCTCATCTCTCTGGCTTTTGCATAGTTCTCGTTATGCCTGTGATTTTAATGAGTATTCACAGCTCTTGTCACTGAATTAAGTAAATTAAAGCAATCATAGAATATGATTCGATTGCGGAAGTTTGACCTAAATTATCATCATTAATTATTATGTCTTTGGAATAAAAACAAATAGATTAACTAGATATTTTGCTTTATCTACTTTTAATTAGGTTAAAAATTAATACACAAAACTGGGCGGAGTCTCTGATTGGGCGGGGCTTTCGCCAATTTTCCCATTTCCAAGCAGTTGTGAAAACCTAGATACAGAAACGGAATTTTCTGTATGTTTATCTTATCACGGTGAAAACATTTTCACTGATTTATTACTGAAATATTCTCAGAGATCGTCGATTACCGCATAGCAAAGCATAACGACTGTTTTTTTCTACATCTGCTCAATTTATCACCAAGAATCAAGAATCTGAATCACTGCTTATCCGCAGCAACAACATGTAACGACAATAGATTATAATGCTAGAATGATTAAAGAAAAATCACTTATGGAATTGTTCTCTTGCCGAGAAACTGATCTCAGACTGGTCAGCGCAGCAATCCCATCAATTGTGAGACGTGTGAAGGCTTGGCACTGGTTTTGTGTGCCATTTGCATAAAAGCCATTGAATGTGGCAGGAATTGTGAGTCTGTGTCACTGAGAAGCGACTCTGGACGGGAGCCGAGCGTGTTGTTGGGGCGCACAAAAGACTGCACCGAATGTGGGAGACTCAATTGACGCAGGGGAACCGCGAGCACAATTGAGCCACGACGGAGTCAATGCGGTGTTGCTCCCCGTGAGACAATCGGATCTGTCCTGACCATGAGAGGCCCTCGCGCGCGCGGAGCAACAATAGCCATCCCGGACGCTGTGTCCGGAAATAGCGTACCTTTAGAATCTGGCTCTTCCGAAAGCTGAGCTCGTCGTCGGCAGTGGCACTGAAGTCGTGCTTGGCTATCGCCTCCATGACCGCCAGTGATGAATCAAGGGAGTGAGGATTCCCGGCGCACCCACAAGCGCAAGAGATGTGTGTGAACTTTTTTGGACACTCGTCGGGTGTCACTTTCGCCTTCAGCCACCCTCGCTGCTGCACACCCACCGCGCCCTCGAGCACTCGCGTCGCCCCCTCAGATGCACCAAACACTTCACTGACACCTCACTAGCCACTGCGCTGCGCCTCCGTATCGAATATCAGTGGCTGGGCCGCGGATGAATCACAAAATTAACTTTTTTCTCCACACCAAATTCACTTCACGACGTCAAAATGACACTGACACATCGAGGTGGTTTTCCCACTTCCGGCCCTCTGCCGATACCAATTCACCACTCCCGAACGCAGCCGAGGCGCATTATCCAAGACCCGAACAGTGCCGACAAAGCTTTTTCCCTCGGATTTATGAAATCTAGATAAATCGTGTATAAGAGGATTAAGAGCGAGATTTAGAGAGATCCTCGAGATCCCATTTATTTTCTGACTGTAAGTGAATCATGAAGAATAATCTCTTTAGCAATCTGGTCGCAGACAGCGCTTCCTCTTCACAACCCTCTTAGGACACTCAGCTCCACCGTTGAGTCCCTCCTGGATCACAAAGCGACGCTTCTCACTATGTCCAGCTCCACAGGAGACGCTGCACGCTGACCAAGGAGACCATTCCGAGAGGACACAATCCACAGGAAGAGCTCCTGCGTCAAGTATCGTCGGAGTGGCTGCAGTTGGAGCAGTTTCTACCACAGAAGACAACTTCAGAGCCTCACAAGATCTCTGGCAATCTTCAATAACGGCAAAGTTGTTCTGATTCCCACGACAGCCGCCGTAAGTGAAGGAAGAACACCGACCATTCTCTTGGAGATATCCAAAGCGAGTGAAGGATCCACGACAAGGTCCGGCGTCCAGAGGCAGGAGACAAGCTTCCCTGGCAATCTGAGGATCCAGAATACAATCCGGTCGATCAGTGCAGTTCCTGTTCTGCGCCATTTGCAGTCTGGATTCACATTTCTGCTTCAGAGAAGGATCTCCGAGGAAGATTCGCGTCCTGACCTTCACTCCTTGACCACAAGTGGCACTGCAAGGACTCCTGGAGAAGGAAAATACAGATCAATGGGGAATCTTGAGGAAGGACTGCTGCAAAACTTACCAGTCACTCCACTGTGTTACTGGACACATGGGATCTGGAATCTCAATGTCTGCAAGAGAGCACTCGGGCATCATGCACTTCTGCTTCTCAACGATTGTGATGTGAGGACACTTCTTTCTGCCTTTGTGATCGATGAAAGTGCGCGTTCTCATGGAAATGCCCACACCACAGGAGGCTGTACACTCTGACCAGGAAGACCAGGCCGTCGTCCTGCACACGCCAACACCCTCTCCATCGTCGTCAACCGAAGGAGCAGCAGCACCGAGATTCTCATCTTCATCGTCATCACTTTGACCTCCTCTGGTGAAGAAAGCAATTCGTTTAGAGGTGATGAATTTGGAGAGTAATTCCTGATACTCACTCGCATTCTGGGATGTCGGCTACACACATTTCCTTTGACACTAGTTGGCGATTGCACTGGAACATTGCTGCTTTGTCAGCATTCTGATACTGTCGATTCCTCATCCGGATGCCCTTTCCGCAGGTTACAGAACAAGGTGTCCAGGTGGAAAATTCTGTCGTCTCACACTCTGGCCTAGAAGTTTCTTCTGTATTCTCTGAGACGTCCAGCTGTCCCTGGAGGAAGTCCTCATCGCAGCCACGAGGAATATTTCTCTCTTTCCTCACGTACAGCCTGGCCAGAGGCACCATCTCCTGCCCGGTAGGATTATAGAATGGCGCTCTAGGGTCTTCTGGGTACATCGTGGTGATTTTGTGCATCCTCTCCCTGGGCTGTGTCTCTGAATTGGGAGACTAGAAAGCAAGACAGTTGAATGATTTTTACCCGAAATCAAAGATTCCTCTGCAACAATTACCATATATGTGATGCCATTGTCGGTTCCAGCGTCCCAGGGGAAGAGATCAATGTCCAGTGAATCCTTCCATGAGCAATCTTCCTGGCAGAGATTCAGCCCGTTGACTCCCACCACCCAATCGGGCGAAGGCCCAAACATTGAGACCAGGGACATCTTCGGATGCTTTCTATCCACGCGGAAGTGAGAAGACGTGTTGGTGTTCACACTGGGATACCACAAACCGGCAGCCTTGATGAGACTCCTCAGCTTTGCTCCCTTGGCCCGCAATTCCACCTCCAAAGAACGCACAGATCCCCTAAAATTCACAGCGAAAACTCTCTTTATCTCCCTGTTATCGCTGTTATTATTGTTTATGTAGAGAAAATCTTGCTGATTTCGCTCTCCTAAATTAATCAACAGTGTAGTATTTCGGCATAAATCGCGAAATAGAGTCAAGAAAACTGAACTGCACTAAATTGGGTCACATTTTCAAGAACACCGCGATGCACAGAATGCAGTAATTAACTCATGACATCACTCACCATTCAGCGAGATTCCTAAAGCCGTCCGTTGCGATGTGATTCTCGCCCCAGAAGGAGAAGTTGGTCTCGTGCGTGGCGCCAATCACATCGGAAAAGTGCGTGAGCCACACGGCAAATGGATAGTCCTTCGGGTGGGTCTCATTGGACCAGATACCCTCGAAGATGAACTGGAAAAGAGGAGAAAGTCAGTCTATGGTGTTTCAGAGGACTTCCAGAGTCACTCACGTTGTATTTGGCATCGTCACAGGCACAGCATTCGCCGGCGATGGATTGTCTCGTGGGTTTTCCTTCGCAGATGATCTTCGTGAGGCCGCCGTCGTCTGAATACCAGGCATCCTGGTTCTCATACACCATCGCTGATAGGGCCACACATCCCGATCCCGCGGCGGGCGCCACCCACATGACTTGGATCTCTGTCTTGGGCAGATCGTCAGCCTCCGAAACAGTGTTGACGCACTTCTCATTGAAGCGCGTCAGGGAGTCACTGAAGAGCTGGAAGCGCCCCACTCGCTTGGGGCTGGCCATGGAGAAGATCGCTGTGTTGAGATTGGGCGTGGACGACGCCTGGACACTCAGCATGAAGTGCGTGAACTGCTGCAGACGCGTGTGTGTTCGTGAGCCGAGCAGAAACAGATTATAGATCTTCCCTGGCTCATATCCGTTCGGCTCTCCGCCAATGATCAGTCGATACCCATTGTCGCCCCTCGTCCTGCGACTGTAGTTCTCAAAGGGCGGCACTTTGCGACACCCCAGCACATCCTCAGCCAGGATGGCCACACAGAACACCAAGAGAGTCCCCTTGAGGAGCATTTCTCCGTTCACACTGAACACAAGTGAGCCACTGAGCAAGATAATCTCAATTGAGCAATTAGCATCTCCTCTTCATGAAGAGACACACACAATCTCAGCCTCGCCGGAGACCTCTGACCCAGCCAGAGACTCTCCAGCGATAAGGAGCACCGGAAAAGATTCTCGAGGAATACTCACTTTATTCTCATATTTAGTAAAATTCATTGAAGGCTCTTACACGCCCAAGTATAGTTATCATAAGGAATATACATATATAAATATCTGTATCTCTTCCAGTTTGATATCACTCAAAACAAATCAACTGCAACACAACGCAACGAAATTTAATTACAAAAAAAACGAAAACCAAGTCAAAAATCATATTATCACAAAAACTGAGGACTTTTTCTCATACTCTTCTGCTATCACAGAAAAATAAACTAAATTAATGTGACAACGGAATAATTATCATTCTAAAGTACGCAATATATCGAGAATTTGAGGAATGAGTGCAAAAAGTGTCTTTTCGGCAGCGAAGAAAACTGCTAAAACGTCAATATTGGCGCTTCACGGTGGTCCAATAAGTCTGCAAGGATAAACGGACAGAATTCTCGGGTTAATCCAAAAGTTAATTAGACTGCGGAAAAAGGGGTGAAAAGGCAAAAAAAACAAGTGTTTCCGCCCGGGATCGAACCGGGGGCCTTCCGCGTGTTAGGCGGATGTGATAACCACTACACCACGGAAACATGTGGTGTACCTTTTTACCAACACTCGTTTTCCCCCCGAAAAACTTCAATATTGCTCCAGTTTCTGGGGCAAATCTCTCTCCAAAACATCAATTAATCAAGGTCGATGAAGCCGATTATTTAGCAGAGAAATTTCAGAATATTTTATGCAAATTATGGCTTGGAAAATTGTTCTAATAATAAAGTTTCTCTGAACATACATAAAGAACAATTTTTATTAACAAAATTACTATTATTAATTAGCCAAAAACTCTAAAAACCCACCCGAAATTAGATCCTTTTGAGTTTCAGTTTCTATTATTTAAATGATTAAAATTAAGGTGAATTCCTTGATTTTCTCTGATTTTAAAATACCAATTTGCTTACCTTTCGCAATGCTCCACCATGGAAGAGTAACATATGTGAGGAAAGCGTTCAGTGGCGTTGACTGTTGGCGGCGATTCTCCTTCCAGAAGTGGAACGTCTGCGTGAATCCTCTGGTGGCCCAAAGCGGATTATAAGCTCCGTCGTCCAATTCTGTACAGAGAAACAGAGAGAAATCCCACCATTAGATCCTCAAACTGCCAACTTAATCACACTTCACATCGATAAGATTGAACATGAGACGAAAATTTCCACCTTTTGTGGATTTCTTGGGCATGTCACACCAATAGTAGATGTTAGTGCCGTCGGGAGTCGTTCTCTGCGGCACCTTCTTCAGCGATATGGGTCTGTTGTACCACATGCTGTGGTGAATGGTGCTGCGCTTCCTCTTCGGGAAGGTGTAGTAGAGCCTCTTGCGAGGGAAATCCTTCAAGTTCCCATTCCAATCGTCCTTCTGCAGAACCACGTCAGTCTTTGAATTGCGATTTGCGTCCTTCTCCCCTGCCACAGCCTCACTCTTCTTCTTGGCCCCATTGCCATGATATTCCACCTCAACACTGAGTGGATGCGGATCCCTGGCCGGATCAATAGATTGCTTCTTCAGTTTCTGCGATTTGGCACCACTTTGTCTCTGCTCCACCACCGGAAGCTCCTCCTTCCCATGCACACGGACAATCATCCGCGGATCCAGGTCACTGAGAACACCAATCTTCACGATGTCATCCCCCATGTCGCCATTCAGCGATGTCGCATCGTCCGCAAGTTCGTACTCCTCCATGTTGCTGTCCCTCTTGCCGCCCTTCCTGCCCACTTTCGGCGACTCCGTCGGCTTCTTGGCCTCCTTCCGCGGCGTCTCAGGCGTCTTTGGCGCCTTCTTCTTCTCCTTGCCACTCGGCTTCTTCTTCTCCGCCCCCGGCAGCTCAATCTCACTCTCCACCGTCAGCAAATTCCGGTGCTTAGGACGAGTCCGCTTGGGCGTGACATTCGCCAGGCACGCCGGGGAATTGGCCTCGTCACACGTGCGACAGTAGACTTCGGACATCTGTGCCGATGCCGAGTCACTCCAGCGCTTCTTGGTGCCAAAGCAACACGTACAGCACGCGGCAGTCGCCAATTTTGTGTCCGACGCAGAGGAAGCAGGACGATCTGTAAGACAGATCCACACATCATTCACCTCAAAAGACATAATGACTCGCTAATGGCAAAACTAAGGATCATCTTTAGCCCTCAGACAGAACTCAAATGGGAGAAAGTGTGTGTGTGTTTTTTGTGTTGTCTACTTTTACACCAAATAAGAGGACTCTTTAGCATTTTCTTGCACATCTTTTCTCTTTTTTGTCTATCGGAAAATCCTTCTCACATTGACTTCTCTTCGAGATTGACTGTGTGTTTTCTCCTTCTCATCTCTCAATAAATCGTCCTGCCTCCTCATTTAGACACATTTTTGCTCTACTCAAAAAGCCAAATTCTACATAAATAATATATTTTACAACATCTAATGATACAACATCAATAGAAAATGCATCAACTGAAGCAGCAAAAAACACACTTTCAACCGAGAATTTTGTGCTCAAAACTCGTGTTTCTCAGAATTGTGCCAACAGAATCCACTACAAGGACTCCTTTCTCATGCAATAACTGTGCAACAAAATGCCGGGAATGCAATAACACAAATCCTTACCATCTCTAAGGTCGCCAGCCTCAATTTCAGATATCTCACTGGCCAGAGAATCCAATCCCTCATTCTCAGATCTCGCCTTGCTGCCGGCCGTGCCTTCTTGGCCACTCTTTGTCTTCCACGCGAACCGCGCAAAGTGGTTGAGATTCGCACTGGGATCGCTGAGACGCCGCTGATGGCGATAGTTGCAGAAATCGTCATTCTCGTCATCCCAGTCCGTGTCCCACATGTCGGTGGCACAGAATCTGTAAGAGCGAGAAGTACATTAATTGCGGCGCCAAGCAGTGGAACTTTGTGTCTTTCAAGACCAGCTGTTTCCGTGGTGTAGTGGTTATCACATCCGCCTAACACGCGGAAGGCCCCCGGTTCGATCCCGGGCGGAAACACTCTCTTTTTTACATTTTTTTTTCGGCCTCCTTTTTACTCTTACCCAGGCTCACTGGTGGGAGTTTCGACGCCTGATCCTTTGGGCTTCGTCACAGCCATCTCGGCGTGTCCTTTGCCCTGAGGACCCTTCATGCGGACGAATTCACAGCGAGTTTGAGGGCCTCCAGAGCTGAACAACCCGAACATCATTCGTTGTGCCACCTTGGAGCTCAAGCTGGATTGCTAGGGGGGCAAATGAAGCCGTTAGCAGAGATAACACAAGGCCAAGAGCAGGAGATTCACTCACTCTGGCGTCGTAGACCTTCTTCAAGGCGTCATAGCGAATGGATCCCAAGAAAATGACTCCCTGAACAGATCCATCTCGGTCACTGGCCACCAGTTCCACGCACACCATCTCCCCATCGCGCACCAGGATGTCACTGAACACCTCATCGAAGTTATCTACCATGAAGCAGATATGAGGATAGGTCATCTCCTCACCCTCGCCCTTTGTGTCCATTTTCCGGCGACTGGGCGACGCGTAGACACGCTGAGTGTGCCTCCGGAGAACCTGCAGCTCCTTGGGAGATGTTCTCGTGCAGATGGCCAAGGTGAGCTTGTAGTCAAACTGATGAATCACCAGATTCAAGTACACCGTCTCTTCCCAGTCCACGTCAGGATCGCCAATGGGCAGCTTTCTCGAGTCCTTGCGGAACACATCCACGTCAGTCTGGCCAGAAGAAAAATCAGCATTAGCCAAGGGTCAGAAACAAACTGTGCGAGACTCTCAGAAGCCTCGGAAATACCTCAAACTTGGGCATATGGCGCGACGATCCCTTCACATGCTTCTTCCGGACGAAGAAGAGCAAGTCATCGGAATCGATGCTGTGCTCCGGCTCCGCCTGGAAGAGAAAGTGCCGGACAAAGAGATCTGTCCAGTAGGTGGTGCCCTGGAGAACGACAAAGCCACTGTCTGCGAAAGGCCGGGAGGATGGGGAAAAATCAATAATTGACAAGATTAATAGGTGTTGCGAAAACAATGAGTCAATCAATTACCATCCTTGAGGAGCTGGCGCATCTCCTTTGTTCGCTGGAAGTTGATCTCGTCCAGGAGCTGCTGGAGGGCAGTGGTCTTGAGGAAGGCGGGATTGAGGGCCATAATGTCTTCAACAAAGCAACAAAGCTGCCTTGAACTTCAGTCCCTTTTTCCGCGCTCTCGCGACTCGGAATGACTAGAGCGAATGTCTTAGGATGATCACTACACTTGTGGAAGTTACATGATAGCACAGGGATGACTAATAAAGGCCAGGGAGAAGAGTAATCACGAGAAATTTGGCGAGTAGAAAAATCACAACACTAGGGGATTCTTTGAAAGCTCCTTTTTCATGGGAAAAAGCTCCGCGACAGTGAAAAGGCCCGCCGCGACAGTGAAAACAGTCAACGGAAAAAGCTGTCAGAAGTGCGCGGAATGTGAGGTTAGGGAGTGACGAAACGAAAACACAATGGAAAAACTCGGAATTTTCGCAATTTTCCTGCTTCTGCACACCAATGGTTTGTTGTGCGAGGACAATCCCTGCAGACACGCCCTGGCCAACACCGATGTGGTGGATTTGACACCGCTGAAAACCCACCAGTACATCACATATGCGTCCAACAATCAAATCTATGTGTTCAGCATCTGTGAGGATTCCAAGAAAATCCCCGAGCAAATCTTGCCGAAAGACGAAAGCAATCCCTGCACCAAGGACGAGGGATACTCTCTGTGCTTGTTCAATAGCACATCCCCGGTGAATTCTACAAAATTGGCCAAAACTTCAGAATGGAAGTGGACAGAGAATCAAGGGAATATTTCTCTCACGACCAAGTTCAATGCTTCGTAAGTTTCCCTGTGCCAAAATGCGGAACAAAGGCCCATCCTTATCGATATCTATCTTTTCAGAGAACTGCGCATACAACTTTCGTGCTTATCGTCATCACACGAGTCAACATTTTTCGTAGCAACTCCGGCAGCTGATCCGAAAGACGTTGCTCGGGAATTTCACCTCTTGTCGCCGCTGGCGTGTCCCCAAAAGGTGGCCCACGATGACGGCTTAAGCACAGGATCTGTACTTATGATAATTCTGCTTGTGGCATTCATCACCTATCTGGGGATCGGGATAGTCGTGAATTTCTTCCTGGTGGGAGCTCGAGGAATGGAAGTCATACCAAATATCCAATTCTGGCGAAATCTGCCGGGACTAGTCATGGTAGGGAGTGTGACTTCTCCATTTCAACACTCTTCCTCATCTCATGAACACATTTTCCTCTTTCAGGACGGCATCAGATTCGTGCAGAATGGATGCAAAGTGAGGCCCAGCGATCTGGTTCAAGGTCGCGACACCTACGACTCAATCTGAATTTGGAGGCTTCTTTCTTTCATCTCACAAAGCCAATAAGTCGTAGATTTGTGAATATATCTACTTGTTATAAGAAATGTAATCTTTTCACATGGAATAAAGAGCGTTTTGAGTGAGGAATTGCGCATTTTCCTCATGTTCTGGAGAAGCTTCTGAGAAGTCCGGGTGGCGCGTGAAGTTGGCAGTTGATCATTTTGAAATACGAATGCCGCAGAAAGCCCAAGTTGTCTTTTGAATCGCACTTGCAGGCAGAAAGCTCCGCCGAGAAATCACCAGTTTCACCGGATTTTTCCCAAATTTCCTCTCAGGTGAGTACTCTATCCCGCATATGGGGTCCCAGTGCGTGGGTTGGCGATGGAGGTGGGCGTCGAGAGGGTGGTAGTTTGGTGAAATATGCGAAAATCCGTGGGATTTGAGTGGTAACATGGCGACTCTATGGTTGCTCGATGAAGTGCTTGACAGTAAGACTCCATACTTTGTATGTGTGTCGTCTGGATATGTGCTCGGCTGGGTCAAGTCGCGAAAAAGTGAGAAATAATCCTGTGTCTGTGGCGTTTTCAGTGAAAAACCCATCGCAAGTGGTTGAGAAGCGCCCCAGGAACGCGTTGGACATGGTGCTGGTCGAGAGGAACGCCGAGAGTGTGCGGAATGGTGGGCGAAGATCTCGCGGACCGAGCCCCAACGGTCATGTTGGCTCGCCAGAGTCCAGCTCGGATGACGAGAATTGTGAGTATCTGGCGGGATTGGGGTGGCCGCTGAGGTGCTGCGGCAGGAGTTGGGGTCCGAGCTAACCGCCTCCGGGCAGCCTTGAGCCCCACTCCGCCGTGTTGAGTGAGGTTAAATCTGAGCCACTTAGCGGACCGGTAGCGATGATACCCAGAGCGTTTGGATTTTTGTGTGTCACGCCGACTAATTGCCCTCCTCTCCACCCACAGCGGCCTCCAAGAAAATCGGAAAGTCCCTGAAGAAGTCGAGCGAGTACGAAGGTAAGGCGCCCGTGTGCTTTGTGTCTCTCCCATGCCGTAAAACTGCCCTCTTCCAACCCCACAGCCGAGAAGATTCGTGTCGGGCGCGACTACCAGGCGGTGTGTCCGGAACTGGTGCAGCCACTCGAGCGGAAGATGGACCAGCTGAACGACAGGGCGCTGCTCGTGTGGTCGCCGACAAAGGATATCCCCGATGCGAAATGTGAGTTGCCCGGATGTGTTTTCCTCAGACGTTGCACACGCTTTCTCAAAATGGCGACCGTTGCCCGTGACACGGAACTGACGATGTGCTTTCCGCCCTTGTCTTGCAGTGGAGGAGTACATCACGGTGGCGAAGGAGAAGTACGGGTACAATGGTGAGCAGGCTCTGGGGATGCTGTTCTGGCACAAGCACGATCTGGCGCGGGCGGAATCCGACCTGGCCAATTTCACACCCTTCCCCGACGAGTGGACAGCCGAGGACAAGGTGCTGTTCGAGCAGGCATTCCAATTCCATGGCAAGAGCTTTCATCGCATCCGACAGATGGTACTTGAGTCCCGCCCGTGGCGAGTCTCCACAGATTCTTACTTTTTCCGCCTTGCAGCTGCCGGACAAGTCAATTCCGAGCCTCGTGAAGTACTACTATTCCTGGAAAAAGACGCGGAGTCGCACCAGTGTGATGGACCGCCAGGAGAAGATCAAGAAGAATGAGAGTTCGGAGAATGGCAGCGAAAATGGGAGCAACGAGGAGTCAGATAGCGATGAGAAGGTACAAAGTAGCGCTCTTACGCATGATTCACGCTCTCCTCTCACTTTTGTTCCTGCAACTCGCTCTCGTTCTCCGCAGAAGTGGCCCATTCACCGCGGCATTCACAGGGCGAGCGGATCACCGCCGAGAATCAAAGATGATCAGGTATCAAGTTCAGCGGGAAGTCTTCAGGTATGGATTCAATCACACTCTTAGCTCAATTTATATTCATTATTATTAGTTTTTGGGACTTGTGCTTTGTTGGATCACATTTAGTTATCTATCAATCTTTTTCTTCTTCTTCTTTCTCTTCTGAATGCATCTCTCTGTGAATGTTTTTATCATTATCATTATTCTCTGTGCGCATTGCTTTCAGGATTTCCTGGAAAGAGACTTTTATTTGCACTCCATTTTTGGCGTAATGAATTCTGGGAATTTGCAAAAGCAGTGATAAATTTTCTCAAAATAATATCCATGGAAGGGCTGAAGAGAACACAAATAATAACACTTGTTCTACGTGACCATACTGCCCTCATTCACTCCTGAATAATGCTTCCTTCTGTGGCCTAATGAGCCATAATCAGGTCTAGGCTAAAATGTATCAGGCTGTAAAGACTTGCGATGACTCAGGAAACGATATGTTGATATGTTGAATAGTGATGAAAAGATGGAAAGATAATACTGCAACTTCTTCACTTGCATACCTTTACCTTGACTTTTTTCCAATATGCGAGTCCATTGCGACCGTTTTCGTGTGCTGTGCTTATTGACTGGTAGTAAATTTAGCATTGAGAAAGAAATATAAAATTACAATGCTTCCTCATTAGATAGTCAATTTATCTGTAAACTTGTTTTTGTTCACATTTACATTATATTGAGATTTCATGCGCTTCCGTAGTGTTGTAAGCAGTAATCATTTATATCAGTTTCATTTATCAACCCCTCATGTCTTCCCTTTTACATGATTTAGTTTTTTTTTTTACTTTTGGCTTATGCTGTGTGCATAAATATGAATTTACATTTGTTTCATTTCCATGAGAATTATGTGTAAATAGAGTGCATAAGAGATCGAGGGTGAATTTAAAACAAAAAACTGAAAATGCAAAATTATTATTTTTGTTTTTGAATATTTACAAAAAAAAATGCTATGTATAGAAGATTTAGAGATAGGAGATGTGATCTCCATGTGATGTGAAGATGAAAATGTGATATGGCTAAAAAGAAACACACTGTTGTAGGCGTCAACATCTGCAATATGCAACATAAATTCAAATAATACTGGAAATGACACCAATAATGATGTGCAAGACACAAAGGGTGGTTCACTTCCTAATACTTCATCATCGCCGTCCACAAACGCGTCCTCCTCACTGTCCTCAACCACTGGTGGTTGTGGTGGATGTGGTGTTCCGTGTAATCACGTGAATAGCACGCCACAGGGCAAATTATGCAACAGTTGCTATCATCACTGGAGGTACGGATTATGTGCGCCTCTTTCATTGTTTTAATTTTAATTTTGACCACATTTTTTTCATTGCCCCTTTTGTTCCTTGATAGTGTGTAAGAGACCCACTTTGAAATTCTCTCTCTCTTTTTTTTTGTTGTTGAGTATATTCAAAAGAAAAACTCCCCGTAGAGAAACAAATATCTCTTTGACACGATGAACAGATTGAAATTAAAACAAAGGAAATAGGCTTCCAAATTTTTTCTCGATCAAAATGCATGCATTTCCAAAAAGAAAAAAAGCAAGATGGAAAGAATTGAGACCTTTTTTTAATGCTCTTCTTCGTATTTTTTCCCTGTATCAGACGTACTGGCAATTTGCGTCCGACGACGGGCCCTTCGTGTTTTGGAAAGCGGTCAAAAAACAGTCATGATAAGCATAAACGTAAACCACCGCGTGGTATGCACATAAATCACGATGATATTGTTGCATTGGCCAATCCAGATAATGATCAAGCGAATCGCAATGACGAACTTCTAGCGACTATGGATAGAGAAATCGTGTCGCTTTGGTGTCAAGTAAGAGATTAATTTATACATACAATTACACACAAGAACAGCAAAAGAATTATTTTGTCATTTTTGTTAATCAATGGAAAAAAGCAATGAAATAACTACTTTTCTGTATTATTCATTCTCACAATCTGATGCGTAGTCCGTTGTCTTATTTAGTCTTTTTTTTATATATATTATTATTTGTGTTTTATGGAAAGTCCTTTATTTTCTCCTTATCTCTTTCTCTGTCAATTTATGGAGTTTTCATGATGTTTGTCACACTAGAGAGCAAAGCTGGAATATAAGTGACATGTTTTCTGTATTAAATGTGCTGACAAAGAGACACAAAGTGATTGAATATATTGCTGAACGAATGTCGCTGGAAATTAGACACATTTTATTAGTTACCTCTTCTTATTATAGATATATTTTTGAACACACACTCTGTTTTTGTGTTGATTTTTTTGTTCTTCTAAAAGGCATAAGAAAGTATAATCTTTATCGAAGTCTTTATCAGTGAAATGAACACAGAAGAAATCAGTTTTTTGTTTTGTTTCCTCTTTTCCTTCTACATCTCGTCTTTTCATTTCTTTCAGTTTCATATATTAATTAAAAATATATTCTCTTCATTTTAATAATTACGAAAAATTTTATCGGTGCATGATGGGAGATAAAGTTGCCTCAGTATGTGCATTTATTTATCACATTCTCTCCTATTTACCAAATGTAAAGGGCTTTATATATGTATTTATATGGGTTATATTTAGTCGAGCTTTCTCACTTTTATACACATACAATTTTTAAAAATTAAAATCCATTTCACGTAAGTGCTTTTATTAATGTTCATATTCATGTATGAATTTCTTTTTTGTCACCAATTTTGTGTTTTAATTTTTGTGGAGGTTTTTTAACGCGTTGGATGGTGATTTAAAGTAATGCTTGCGTGCTTGTGGTTGTTGTTATACATTTTTTTGCATATGATTCTTAGTGAAGGTACTTTAATAAGTTATTCTTCTGCTCCATCTCGTTAGATTCAGCAAAATAAGCAGACGGTGAGTTCGCTAAAGAGGAAAAACTCGGACTCGGCTGAGGATTTGCGACCTGCAGAGTGCATGAGCAAGATAAACTCACGGTGGACGAATGAGGAGCTCCATTTGGCGGCACAGGGTATCAGGAAATATGGGAAGGACTTCCAGGCGATAGCCGAGACGATTGGTACCAAGACTGCTGCTCAGGTGCGTCTGTTCTTCGTCAACTATCGCCGCAAATACAATCTGGATGGGGCGATGAAGGAGTTTGAGGCTGAAAATACGCAACAGCACGATGCGACATCGATTATGGGCTCGGCGACATTCAGTAAATCCAACGGACAGCAATTCAGTGAGGATGTCATGGAGGTGAGGAGTGATCGGATGCAATGTTATTATTGTTCTCTTACTAATTATGACGCAATGTTTCAATTTCCAGATTGATATCGATGACGATTCGATGGAAAATAAGAAGGAGAAGGAGTTGGAAGTTACTACAATTACATGCGATGATGTGGGGAAGGTAGTTATTTGATTTTAATTACATTTTCACACATTGATTTGCATCCAATTTGCTCATTAGTGTTTGATAATAATGGGAAATTTGATTTTTCGAAGTGTTCTCATTTGGAAATAGCAGAAAATGATGAGCGAGTTGATGTGTTATAATTGTTTTTTCTCAATGAAAGCATCTCAAATTGCAGATTGACATCGATACAAATATTTTGCAGGGCAAAGAGGCAACGCCCATTCTGAGGGAGAATATTTTACCAACTGATTCGGGGAGCAACGCAACCACCAAATAAATGAAACAAACACACCCTGTATTTCAAAACGATATTCTAATGTAGTTATTTGGCTACTTTAAGACTTCTTCAGACAATTTTTCCTCGTTGAAATTAGGAGAAAAATGAGCGCAACAGTGTTTGCCTTTCTTTTTCATCAATATTTTTTCATCTCAAAGTAGTATACAAGTAAAATATATATAACGATTCGATTTAGAGTGCTTATTTATTTGGCTTTTCCAATGACTGTATGAATTTTCGCGTGGAGTGAATCTGTATAGATGTTTATACATTTATTATTATATTTTTAATTGAAATAGACAAAGAATATAAGTTTTTCCTTTTATTCGAGTTTATGGTCTCATAAGCATCAATTTGCCAATGTACTTTTGGTTGTCGCTGGATCTACACCATGAGTATTGAAATACTATAATAAACCATTTATATTTTCCTTCTTTTTATTAGGTATACGCTTCATTATGAATTAGGTTTTAGTTCATAGAGATGAGATACGTATTTCTTGTATTTATAAGGCTAAATATTAGATATCATGAGCTATTTAAGATTAGGCTATATGTAGGAATCGTAAGTTAAGTAGAATTACACGGTAATTGCAAAGACATGTTTAGGTCAAACCAATATTGAAGATAATTGTAAAATTGCGCGAGTTTACAACGGCATTTTTGGTTGCATCCAAAGATGCAAACCACACAAGAAAGATAGTGTTGAAGAGAGAGAGAGAGTTTATTTTGAAAGCCGTCCTGGAAGTTGATGCGCGTGTTGGTGGGCAAATGTGACTTTTCTTCTCACTTTGTTCGCAAGCATGTTGCCAATAAAGTAGACACGAAGAATCACTAAAAATAGCACATTTAGAATTCCATCATATAGATAAAAGAAGGGAGAATGAGAAGAAATTGTTCATGAATATGCCAACAGGATTAATGTTATAACACTAAATCACTTGTGTAATGAATTTAATTTTTTCTCTCCTCTAAAATTGCATATACTATATATACTGCTATTTACTTCTAATTAAATTACAATTATGAATAAAAAACTCTATCAGCATATGAAATGGTGTTTTTATTTCACTCTCTCTCGGCTGGTAATTGAATGAGAAGTGGCAGAGAGAATGCAGAAAAGTGTGGAGAAGCTCTGACAAGACTCACGTGCCATTTAGATGGGTGCGGAATATTAAACACAAATATTACGATATCAGAATTTATTTATTTTTTTATATACAATACACATAGTAATTAATTTAATGCTTCAGTGTCATTTTTTCTTATTAGAAAAAATTCCATTTCTTCAATGCTATAAGTGTTATTCACTGTTTCTTACTCACTTTATTCTCATTGGAGTTTCCAAAATTAAAATTTCAGCCAATTCTTATAAATATCAATACGGTGTCTTTCGAAAAACTTTCAAGCGTCTCAAGAGTTTTCCTCTATCTCACCTTTTATCAACAAATTTCTGCAATAATCGCGTTATTGCTTCTAAAATTGTCTTCAATATGTTTTTTTTTTTCTTTTGTTCTCTCTTATCATGGGAAGCTTGAAAAATGCTGTTGGAATACGAAAAAATGGGAGATTGATTGCTCAAACGAAGATTTACTTTCAAGAGACAAAAATTCACTATTTTTAACTGCATAATTTATGTACATCTCTTTGCTTCTATCCTTCACATATTTTCTTTTTGCTTTCTCTCCCGTTTTATGCCTGAAGATTCTATTTATATTTACAAATAAAAAAAATTACTCAATTCACGAAACTATTGAAATTTAATCATTTAAAAGTCTGTATTTTCTTACAGTTCTTCGTCTTCACATGAGAAAAAGTGGCAAAAAAAGTTTTTTGCAGTTGCTGAAGTGCGAAATTATTTCATTCTTCTCATAAACTCGATTTACTTTTTTCAGTAATTGTCTGTGTTAAATTGTATTTCACTATATAAGTATCATTTTGCTAAACAATTCTTTCGGATGACTATGAAATATAGATTTTTTGGCAAATCATTTGTAAAATACTTTTCAAAAAAATGAAGTCTTCACAGCACAAAAGTAAAGTGTGTCACAGAGCTGGAACAAGAATAGATGAGAAAGATATAAAATAATATTATTAATTGGCTAACAGTACAACAAAAATCGAGATGCACTCTGAAAGTCATTAAAACACAAACCGTTTATCTGTAATCTGAAGAAAATTTACCCAGTCATCTGTCAATCATGGTCAGAAATCTATCATTACTCAGTTCCAACTCTGCTCAGTGGGGAAAAAATTAATTTCGTTGTACATTCTTGGATCGTAAGTGAAATAAATGGGAGATTTCCAAAGAGAAGAACTCAATTACAAAGTTTTTTCTCTCTCCAGATTAAAAGAGGATTTTTTTTATTCACGATTTAGTGTCGTTCACTTTGCCATAATAATTTGTATCTCACGCAATAGATATTTAGGGCTACTTTCCATTTCTTTCAATTTTTTGTAAAATATGGACAAATGCAAAATACTGTTATTCCTTTGAATAGATTCTTTTCATCTTAAATTCGTATGTTCATGATTTATCATTTAATTATTGATTTATATATACAAGTATTTAGCATTCTCATCTCACTCTTATTCCATGACCGTCGCTCATATAGTACAAACAAATCCCCACAATTGTGGTGCGTTCTGCATTACAGCTTAATTTGCATATGATTTTCACATAATTTAAATTGGATTCTGCGTGAAATGAAAAGTCGTGAAAGGAAGAATACTTTTCTCGTCAAAGAAGTTACTCAGTTGCTGGTGGATTTTGATTATGTCTGATATTGCAGCATCGGTGCCGAGAGATTAGGGTGATGAGAGCTGTTCATTCTTAGAGCTGATAAACTTTTATTGTACCATTCATCTTCGGCAGACATTCCTGGGGAAGAGATAATGTTATTTTTCACTTTTAGGTGAGGGCAATAAATTAATTTCGACATCCAACATTCTATAGTTGGTCATTGATTTTGATTGAGGAAATTAAATAGTGAGGAGGGGGGGCAAAAGTTGAGCACTCTTGCCCTACTCAAGTCCACTAAATTGGCACAAAAATGTCTGCTTTGGTTTGTCCATCAGTGAAATACCTTTAGCATGTGAAGTGGACAGATATGGAGAGAGTTTATATTGAATTTTTCAGCCCTATTGGCAGTTTTAATTTGAAAACTATCCCCATGGAAATGCGATTAAAAACCACCCCTGTGAAGGCATGGCCGGCTCTGCGTTCACACCCTCTTGAGGCGTGGTTAAATGCAGGGAAAAGTACAACTAATTAGCTATATTGAGATTTTATTTTTGGAAAAATAAATCCCCCCTGAAAATACTCGAGTGACTTCTTGTGAAATCATGCGAATAATCTCAGTGTGAATCGCAAACACTTTTCAGAGCGACGACGCCAAGGATGAGATATTATGTATTAAGGACAAAATTGGGGAAATATGATATTTTCGTCTTAGATACGATGCAATATCTGCCAAAGCACGTCTTAGAAAATTGTCATTTCCGCAGGGGTAATATTCAAGAAAATATACATATCTCACAACGTCGTCAAATATATAAAACTGAAATTGCTACGTGCATTGCAAGTGTTGGCAATACATCGAGATTTCCCGCTCCATCGCAAGATGTGCACTATATAGATTTTCATCTATTTATTTGGGTGTTTTTCAAGAATGCGAAAAGCCATTATTTTTCCCTAAGATTTCCTGGTGATTTTAATTGATCAGAAAATGTGATAGAACATCGCATTTCATTCGAAATCCAGCAAATCGTGCTCAATGGTTATATATCTCGCAATACTATTACACAAAATCAATCATTATTGCCCAGTTGGAAATTGGTGAAACGGGCGAAATCCTCTGGGAGAAAATCTCGATTTGAATTGTGAATTTATGTAAATATCTGTGCATATAGTGTGCATTTATTACATGACGGTTAGGTACTCACCCATTGTATCCTGTCGAACATTCACCGATCCCATATTTGTGCTATGTGTCATGGAGAATGGTTGAGTCATTCCAGGATACGAAGTGGCGCCCATTTGGAAGAGATCCTGCAAGTGAGCAGATAGAGCGAGTTCCTAATGAGAAATCCTCACCGTAATCACTACCCTCAAAGTGTACATACTTGCGGGTATCTATTTATTGAGTTTGGATGAGGATACGGCTGATAACCTCGGGACACACTGTAGCCCTGAATATTCCTCATCATTCCATTGCACGACGGTATGACTGACGGTGCGAGTGCCTTTTGAAGCTGCTTCTCCTGCTTCCGATACTTTGCCCGCCTGTTCTGGAACCACACCTGATAGAGGGGTGAGAGACAGAGACAATTTTGCAATTTACTTAATGTCGCCGCTTTAGTCACCCTCCCGCCAGTTATTATCATTTTTGCACTGAATCTCCCATCCTCGCTGTTTCACTCTCCGCCGCCCATATTGCGGAATTCACTAATTCGCAGCAAACTTTAATGGAAATCACGAGGGAGCTGCTGAGCCAGGGCATAAAAACTGCGAACTACACCTCAAATTGGAGATGAGCTGAGCTTCGCGAGGAGGGCAAAAAGTACGCGGTAAATGTCTACTAAACATAAGCAACGCCATCGCGCCATCCTGTTCCGTGCAGAGCGCCCAGGAGAGGGGAACTTGCAAGTCTATGCCATCAAATGGATCCTTAATTCAATTACTCCGCCTTCGGATTCCTACATTCCCTATTTCATTTCTATTTTCACATCAATCTCTTCTACATCCATCCATTTTGCGCCCCCACCTCCCCACGTTTTTCGTCTCATGTTCCTGAAAGGAAGACAGAGGAGGATATAAACATTGTATGCGGCCATGTTACATAGGAGTGTACATGGCTTTTCTTTCCACATCATATCCAACTGTCGAAAATACATTCATACGCCCGACGTTATATATTAACAAGATCCTCAAACCAGAGGGGAATCTTTTTTGCCCGCACAAGAAGTTGCGCCACCCATCATGTCTAATAAAGGGACGACGCAGAGAGCGAGAGAGAGAAAGCATTTCCAGGGGATGCTCAAATGACCACAGAGGGTCATCAAAATCTCTGTGAAAGTTCCCTACGCTCGCCCAAGCTCTCAACCTTGGTCTGAAATTTTAATTCTAATTGAAACACTGGGCAGCATCGCAAACATCCAGGAATTTGATTAAAGCCACCCCGTTTCTTCGAGATTGACCCCTCTTATCGATACTTCAATATATTATTTATCATTTTGAAGGGGGAATTGTAAGAGAAATTGACGAGTTGGTATTTTAAGTGCAAAGAAATAGAGATAATTTTGGCCTTTTTAGGAACTCGGTTTGTTTCTTGCCACATCATCAGAATTGTGTATTTCAATTGCACAATAGAACTGATTCGATTGAGCCAAGTTAGTCGAAAATCAACTGTGATTTCTTTATGCTACTGTAAAGTTCTTAAATTCATTGAAAAATAAGAAAATGTGCACTTTTTCATGGATTAAAGGCAAATTGTCATATCATTGGGGCATGTAATGTATTGATTTCTTCTCTATTAGGTGACAATTTTACATGTAAAAGAAGTCCACACTTGCCTTTATACGTTAAATAAGATCAAAAGTTCCTTGCGGTTATTTTTTCCCGGAACACCAATTGTTTTTCCTAATATATTTCATACGAAAATTGTTAAATTTCTCAGCAGAGGCTGAATTAGAGCAACGATTTCAGTAAAGAAATATTCCATATAGTTTAAGCTTAAGAGGATGATATCACTCATGATTTTGATATGTCATCCAAAAAATATCACTTAGAAAATTATTGATTATGAAAATCTCGATTACACTCTGTAATTAAAGAGTGTTTATCGCTTTAAAATCTCTGAACATTAATAGTAAACTTCGATATTGAATATAACTTCCTATAAGGATATCCGTAATCCATAATATGCATGATCTCCGGTTTTATAAAGCTCAGGTGTTTTGTGTATAAAAGGATGCTTATGTATAGTGCGATGTGTATAAAGAAGGAAATGTATGGGATTTTTACGTGATTTGTGCCATTTTTCCCTATTTCTCGATTCAACAGTTCGGCAATTCGGCAATGGAGGAAAAAACCATCAGGAAATACAGTCATACAATTGAATGCGTCTTCAATTTCGCTCCACATTCATAACACATAATTCTCCTCTCCCTCCTCAATTGACGTGAATTTTGCCAAAAATATCAATATTACCCGTGTCGGGGCTTTTTCCCGCGCACACATGACATTCTTTATGTGTATCATGAGAGAAAATGGGATTGAAAATTAATTTAATTGACTGTTTCATGTGTGTAAAGGCGGCTGGATGGTGAAAAAGCAGGGTGCCCTGACATGGGGATCCCTTGTAGTCTGTTTCTCCTGTGCGAAAGCCCATGTGAGATGTGTATTATGTCAGAAGATAAGAGAATTTTAAATACACGAGGATATCCTCTAAAATCGCATAAATTGTTCATTTTTGTTCCTTGAGGAGCGCATGATTGAATTAAGGACTTATCACAGCACTTTCCATTCTACTTTCCCAATACGCATTTGGGTGTTCTTTTTCAACGTCGCGCCACGTCCTCCTGCCGACAATGCCGTCGCATTAGTGAACCCGAGGAAGGCAGGGACACTGCACAACTGTTAGATTTTCTGGCTTTGCCACCCCTCGCCCTCTCGATACCCTTCAATCAGTGAAATTTGTCACGAAGTTTGCGCTTCAAAGTGGCCGGAAATCGATAAGTGCGACAATGAGACAAGGTTGCGGCTCACCTGTATTCTAGCTTCGTTAAGTTTTGTTGTTCTCGCCAATTCCTCTCTGCAGTAAATGTCTGGATAGTGAGACTTGGCAAAGGCAGCCTCCAGTTCCGCCAGTTGTTCCTGCAATTTGGGCAATTCTGTGGTTACGGCAGTTCATCTAATTGGATTCCCATGGTCGTCACCTGGGTAAAGGTCGTCCGATGTCGCCTTCTTGCCGGCGTTGGACACGACGCCGTGGTCGGCGTGTGTCCGGCGTGCTGAGGCAACGATGACACTCCACTTCCTGGTGACGACACACTGCCGGAAACCGATGAGAGTCCAGAATTTGGTTCAGGTTTTAATTTCTTGAATGCACCTTCAGCTGAAAATATTCATCATCATCTGCTATAGATTTGGTACATGTGAAGATTTGACAGGATATTAGGCATTTAGACTTTCTCTATGCAGTTCTATTGATGTTGAGGTAGAAATTTATATTTTACAATAAAGCACAGAGTGAGGAGATTGAATTACGGACTTACAAAATGAAATCAATTTTATCGGATATGATGTGTCTATTTTATGCTTCTAACTTCGTAATGTATTTTCAGTAATATTCAGGTTTATTCCAATTATTTTCAAAACTGTAATCAATCCTATGAATTCTTTTAGAGACTTTCGAGAAGTGTGACTGATTTTACCTTGAAATTTTCAATAAAAACTCACGTTTCAAAAATTTTCAATAAGTTTAATGACTGATTTTTGAGCATTATTTTGAAAATGAAGCTTATATTTTAACTAGTACCGTTTAGATCGCAACCTTGCAACCCCTCGCATTTAACACTTGTCTTGAAATATTCAATTCAGCTCTCCAATGTCAATTGCTCTTCAATAAATTGATTCGCCACAGGAAGTGGCTTAAATGAGGATTAGACGTTCTCTGCTTTTCCGAACAGCCCTCCCTTAAATATGTAGATTGTGAAAGTTGAGATAGTAAAAATGATAGTTACAGCGAATTAAAAATATATCACAGGGAAAATTGCGAGTTTCCCGTTGATAGAATGCCTTTCATCTCTCGGGGTTGATGTATTAAAGGCTGAGGAAAGACATATGTAGCATAGAGATAAGGAAATAAATTGGGTGAACAAGAGATTTTTTAGCGATATGTATTTAATTTATGCACACATTTTTATCGCAATGTGCTTTGCTTTGGGCATACGTAAAACTGCATTTTGGAATTTCGATTTATCCGAGAAGGTGCTAATGAAATCAATTTATTCTACAACCGTTTTGGTAATTTGTGTCCAAAATTCCATTTTCGTGAAATGCATCCACATTCCCGTAATTTTGTGGTTGTTTGTGGTAAATTTGCATTATGATGTGTTTGTCGTAATTATCACTCCTATAAAGTGCTGTAATTTCACACTATACTTTTTAGATCTATTTTTGTCATTTCGACACACAGTGTCACCACCTATGCTCGCTATTAGAGTGTTTAGGTTGTTTAGGTCATGTCATTTGTCGGAGTCAAATTCACTGATTTATTCATTGAAGACTCTTCAATAAAAACCCGTCCATTGAGGACACTCATCTTTCCATCCGTCACTGTGTTCAGCACTCACCAACCCTCTTTAGCATGCCTTCTAATTCTGGTGCTGTTTATCCCTTAATTCTTCACTAATTCTACACCAACCATATGCCTATAAAATTCCATCCTGTGTGCTCTTCGCATACTCTCTGAATGGGCTTTGATAACTCGCAACAAAGTGCCGCTTACAAACTCTTGTCGACACCTTTTCATTGTACGTCTGACACACAACAAGGGTGCCCTATTTCCACCCCTTCATCCCATTCCGCCCTGTGAATGGTAAACCATACATATTTTATTACAATGTTTGAAAAAATCATTCCCTCATCATTTCAAAATACACAAGTTGCACACAGGGAATTCTACAGTGCAGGATCACTGATGATGCACACGCGAAAAACAATTCCAGTGGGCTCTTTCACGATTTCCTCAAGATACATAGGAATGTATGTATTTTATTAATTACCGATTGCCAAGAAAATTCCTGAGAACCTGAGTAGAAATGGAGGGTTTTGCTGTGAATATAAAATTCACAGTATGTGACTATTATCTTGAGCAGGCGCTGTAGGTGTGATGAAAATTTCAATGAAGCAAATGAGATCTCAATGAACCCTCTGGAAATTTTTTCTTCCACCCAATATGCATGGGTTCTTCCACTCCATGGCAATGTCTTGTGAGAATATCAATGAATCTGGAGAAATTTCACGCACTTGAGTGGGTGGAATTCGAGAATGCGCGGCGCATTGTGCTGCACTTAATCCACACGATAATCGCGAACAAATGAGGTGACTTCTGACACCGTCCACACCCCAATATACAGACGCACTCCCTGGAAGAGTGTGGGCTGGTGAGGAAAAATCAATGGGGTGGCAGGCACTGGCCGACCCTCCCCTGATGCTATTATCCCAGAACTCAACAATTGTCATAGAATTTCAATTGAAATCTTACAAATGATTTCCCATCAGAGTCCTATTTAGTGAAACTTGATCAACATTGCATCTGTCGCAAGAGAGAGAGATTGAGCAGCAGGAGAATAACCCACTCTCCCCCGAATCCTTGTGGTCCTTATCGTGCCGTCGGTGGCTAATTTGTCAATCATTATTTATGGTATTTACGGTTAGTTAGTGTGCATTTGTGCCTCAAGTCTCTGCAAATCTGCCTCACAAATGGACGAAAGACAATTTCACATGGCAGTCGCATGAGCACACAAATTGCTTGATATCACATGCCCGCTCCACCTGTCCCTCAGGTGTAGGGCAGACCAGAACGACGTGAACCAACCCCCTTCCTCTGGTAGAATTTATGATTATGAGCTCCGTCGCATTGGCTTGATGGGAAAAGGTGATGATGGGTACCTGTTTCGTGATTCAGCATCCAAAAAGGATAATGTATGCAAATGATTTCTAAATGTCCGACAAATTACTTCCAGGCTCCATCGTCATCGTCAATGTTTGACGGTGTTCAAGAGAGAAGCCAAGGTAGAGGCTAATATTTCATTAACCCAATTACAAATGCAAATGTTTATTTCTAATTACAAAAGTATATCGCAGAGGTCGTGCCGTGTACCACAAATTTTGGCCCCAAAATGGGAAGCGCGTCCGCCCACAGGTCGCTTAGGCGGTACATTAATTTCTGAAATAATAATGCAAATATTTTCACTTTTGTGCCTTTGATGGTGAATGATGTGATTTTTACACCATTTCACCCACTGCTGGCGACAAATGAAGAAGCAAATATTGAACAACATGACCATTGACGCTTGAGAAATCCTTATGCAATAAGCCTTATGCAATTTTTACCTTTCTTGTCACTTTTGAATATTTGCCTAATAGGAATTTGTTGCCCAAATTTTCACTTCATTTGAGAAAATGTTTTTGTGGACAAATACTCAAAGATCCACAATATGAAAAAAAACAAAATTTGATGTTTAATTTGATTATATGACTATCACTTTCATATCTAAGTGTTTCATTTGTAAGGATACTGCAAACTAGATCAATGAAACTTTTGCCGACGGTTAAAAGATAGTTTGCTTTTCGCACAGTTTTTCTTTTACTCTTGATTGAACACATTCACTTTCTCTTATAGATATTTTTACATTCGAGATATCATAACATCCTCGTAATTAATGAAATATAAATGAATTTTACTTTCAGTCTAAAATCATGAGAAATACAAAGAAAAAATCATAAAAGCTGTAAAGAGTTTTTATTTTCGAGGTTCTAGAAAAATTATTCAAAAATCTTCAAATAAAGGTTTTAATAAGAATATCAGACAAATTCTTTCAATAAAGATCGCAAATATTTGAAAACAAACACCGCCCTTAATATATAATTGCCGTCGGAAAAATTGGTGTTACAGCATTTTCCCTACACGACATATTTCAAGTGTGATTTTCCACTAAATTCCGTTGATAAAAGAGATCCCAATGAAACGTTAAATTTGCCAATGATCCGTGATAATGGGTGAGTTAATCTTCACCACAGAGCTAATCCCTGGCGCGTGCTGGAGATTTTGCCGGAAGAAGGGTGTGAGAAGAGCATTGTGAGTACTTCACTCTGGTCACTCACAAAAGCCGCCAACAAAGTGCACAAAAGGCGATAATCTCCATTAAACGATGAGCACGGGCTCATTGAAGAATGAAAAGGTGAAAATGAAGTGCGAAAAGAGCAAGGCAGGGGTTGAGGGCATCTGCCGACGATGGTCAGCAGTTGTTACCTGTGACGGTGTGGTCGGACAATCGCGTGGGTGGCGTGTGGGTCGGGGTGTGATGATGCGATGGAGCTTCTGCGAGGCCAGATGTCGGCAGGCCGCCGTACAGAGCGTTGAAGTCCTCCGGGGTGCTGCTGCACTTCCGCTGGACAGGTGCCTTGTTGTCTCCGGCCGAGGCTGCCGATCCCGACCGGGTGTCCTGGGTGAGGCCCAGCAGGCGATTCTCATGCGATATCCCCATGAGTCTGTTGTCCTGGAGCGCCATGAACTTACTCTCCTGGCCGCCGTGCTGGAGGTTCCCGTGGGCCAGAGCGTGGTCCTCCAGCAGGCCCTGTTGCAGGCCCAGTAGCCCGCCGACGAGGTTCGGCCGTAGATCATCCATGAGCTTTCCCTGGCCACAAGCGCCCGTAGAGAAGTTAAGCTGGCGACTGAAGATGGCCGGGAAGATATTGAATTGCTGAGAGTCGGGACTCGAGGGGCTTAGACCGAGGTTGGACGCAGGGGCTGCAGCTCCACCACCAGGCACGCCAGCGTTTCCGGCCGCCACGCAGTTATTTTTGAAATCCAACTTGCTGCCGGCGAAGAAGCTCTGCCGTGGCGAAGACGTTCCCAACGAATTCTCCAAGTGCGCCGAAATATCCGGCGGTAGATACAGTTTGAGGCTTCAGGGATCTGGCTTAAGCTGGCTCTATCTACTTCTGCTTAGTTACCGTCTCAAGCGACTTAACTTTGGTGAAGATATCACAACGCCTGATTGACCTTTGTGCAGGCCTCAGAAAACCGAAAAATCGACCCGAATCACTGAACTTCCTTTTGAGATGGAAAACAAAGTCTAGAACGCGTTTCACGGGTTTGGGACACAGTCAGGTTCACTTGAGAAAAATCAGGAAGTCCTCACTAAGATTAGGTCCTCGTCTTGGCACAGGGAGACACTTGATCCGATTAACGTTCGCCGTCACAACTGATGCACGTGAATGGATAATGGCAATTATACAAATTTAGATGTCCATTAAAACTATCCCCATTAACTGAATAATTAAAACTTCCTTCGTTCCTCCTGCGTCGAGCAGTATCGCGGGGTGTGATATGAACCAGTGGTCTGTCGGACCAAAAATGAATTCTCCAAATAACAAAATTAATGCTGTGTGGATGTGTATCAAGTGTAGTTGAGCTAGGTACAGTGCGACAAGGATCACCATACGTGTCCTCGCCGGAGTCTGAGTGCGGGGCCTGCTCTCTGGCGCTGGCACTCCGGCTGGGCTCGCCAGTGTCGTGCACGATGGCTGGAAAAACAATAGGACACAATAGTGTGACTGTGGAAGGATAAATGCTGTCATATTCCGCGGAGCAGAGTACACGCATTTTCCGCCGAGCGAAATGGCAAGGACATCCTCTCGTGGGCGACAGAGTCAGCTGTACATGGCACTCTTTGACGCTGTCACCGTGCAGGACTTTTTTATTTTTCCCCTTGTGAGTGCGAGCGAAATGGCACGAGTCCTGGCACCACCAAGATCCTGGCTCAATTTCTGGCGCACCAATGACTTTGAGCTCTGGCGTTCCTATGGAAACCAATCGATCTTCCCCTCTTCTGTGCAATAATCGACAAAATGGTGGAGTTTTATATTGTGCCCTGAGCAATATTTCATTTTCCTCATCCAACATGCTATAACTACACCAATTACTTCCCATACATTATGTACACTCAAATATCCATTCCGCACTATATTTATGCTTATTAAACATATTTATCATTCGCGAATGAGATTTGTACACCATTTAAACTTATATCGAAAAACTCATCAGCCGCCTTTAATATATGGCATTTCAATTCACGAATGAATTGCCTCAATGTCCATATTTTTTCCTGTTCAGAGGAAGTAATTTTACGAGATGCGTATTGACCACATTTTGGGGATGGCTCTCGCGCGTTGAGATGCGGAATGGGCGTTGAATAAGACTTCCGATTGATTTTGTCATGGAGGCGCGCATCTGGAGAAATTCTTGCTGATTTCCGAATCGACATTCCCAATCAAGGACATTTTCCCATGTGTGTCTTACTCTGACGAGATGGAAAATTGATTGATCCTGTGTGAATTAAGCAGAGTTGTAGTCAAAATCACCAACGCAATGTATCTGGAATGAGTATCGAATATTCAATTTTATCAGTTTACACATTAATTATGGTTTTTGCTCGTCTGTTAATTATTCATAAGTTAATAACCCTTTTGTTATATGGTAATCAATACTTTTTATTACAACCATTGTAACTCCAGATAATATAATACGTAAAATATGGAAAAATGAAATCAACGAAAACATTGAATTGATGGTGGAAATTCTATTCCAGTTAGGTTGAAAACTTAAAACTATTAAGTAATTATTTTAGATTTCCACCTTTCCAAACGAATATCATTAGATGTGCAAATCGGACGCCAAATTATTTTAGGTCAACATCCCAAAATTCAATACATAACTCATTTTCCGAGGAAATGTGTGTATAAAAAGATCTCATCTGTCCTCAATCCATTGAACTTTTATCCCACGAATTTTCAGGCAAAAAGGATTCAGTGACAATTTCCGTGATTGACGAAAATAACAGGGTGTTGGCTGATGTTTTGTCAGCTTGATTTAAATATTATGACATGTTGCGAGTGCTGAATGCTCAATAAACTTACCAATTGACTACAATAGGAACTCAACTGTGAGGTTTAGCCCAAAGTGGAAGCACGTGAGTCTAATTATGGTCTCTGCGGTGCGCCGGAGAGAAAAGTGCGCGACGTTGTCGCCCATTTTTCGACCTCACCCAAAAGTGTGCGAAATAATTGGTCTAAGTGATAATTTGCTACGACTAATTTTCACAGCATCCACCGGGTTTTCAGGAAGAAATGGGAGGTGCTATTTTCCGCACGTGCCACAAATTACCATCCTCGTCTCCTGTTTTCAATAGTTTGATGTTTCTGTGGATTTTCCACAAGTTTTTCTCACTAAACGTGAATAAATAAGGGGATTTGTCTAATTGTTGAGCGACGTTCGTGTTTTGAGGATATAAAATTGAGTTTGTACATTGAAGAAAACCAATTGTGATGCACGATTTCTCTCAAATCGTCACTGCGCGATAGTGCGAAAATTTCGCAATTTTCTCTACACTAACCAAGACGAAATGGTTTCTTTCGTGGAAACACAATCATCAGGCTGTGTATTGTTCACATCCAACCTCTATTGCACTTTTCCACATCTAGCATTTTAATTCAATCCAGCGATGTGCCCAGCCAAGAACATGTTCATGTGGAGAGGGTTGAAGGTAGTCTGTGTACTTCTTGCAGCGAATGTGATTCTTTAGTGCGCTTTCCTGATAGTGTTGAGAATAGAAATATTTCTGTTGCTGAAAAGAAAGTCACCCTGCATATATTTTGGGCTTTCTAAGTCCTCATACTCGTCTAAAGATCAGAATATATCTTTATGCTATTTATTTACTGATGTTTTCATTTGCCAACGTCAATATCCGTCACATTTCGAAGGCGCAGCATCGGCAGACGGAGGGTAACTTTGGATGCTGTGAGTGCATCATATGTACATGGAATGAACACTGTAACTACAGACGGGATAAAAGTACAAAAGAATGGACAACTCCGCCCTCCCAATGAGAGTGCCTTGAGGCATACATATGTCGAATTTTGCACCCATATCCCTCACAATGAACATAATTATTATTCCAATCGATTTTGATAATTGAGATGCTCTTGTCTAAAGTGTCTGAATGTGTTGCCACTCGCATGCCCTCCCCCCAGAGAGGCTCGACCATCATTAGTGAGGGTGTTGGGATGCAAGTGATTTTTAATTCACGTGTCTCTCAGCATATAATTCCATGTTGTATTTCAACAACAACAGCAATTATCTCAAATTCATTTTCATCAAATTTCCATCAATTAAAAATTACGCAACGCAACTTAATGGATTTTTCCGCTTTTTGTCTCCGCGCCACTCTCCACTGCGGACTCCACCCTCTGCTGCCCCCTTTTAATCACTGCTCTGTGCGTGAAATATTCATACACGCACCCAAGACGCAATATTTTGGGGTTGCTAACCCCAAAACAAGGATGTCGTCATCACGATGGAAATAATACATGACGCTCAATTGAATTATCGGAAGAAAAGGCAAGGGGACAAAAAAGACGCAGAGTTCCATTGAGTGCCGAAGCAACATCAAACCAAATTAGTTAAAGGCACCATATTCACTTAAATGATACTTAAATCTTGCCTCCATTTCCGCTAAACAATCAAATTGAGAGTGAAAAATGCAATGACCAGAAAGCAAACCGCATTTTTGCGGTGTAGAGTCAGTCAAAAACATTTCATTTTTAGGTAATTTTATTTAATTTCATATGCAAATTGCGAGGCTTTCTCTATCAATATTTGTGACACAATTTTACAATCAATTAATTTGTCTATAATTAATTTATTGTCAAATAGGTTTGTTTCACTGTGGCGCACTCGGCTGGAATATTTCACGAAAAATTCTGACTATGTGTGAAATGTTTTTGGGGCACTTTAAAATGTCCCGTATTTTTCATAAATACTTTTGAATCTTGCTCAATGGAATTTTAATAGAGGAAGCGATTGAAAATTTAATTTTCTAGACTTTTTTTTACTTCCTTTCTGGCTAAAAACTCTTTTAAACAAACATGATAACTCTTAAATTTTAGATATCTGTTACTCAATAAAAAGACCCTATTAATATTTTAGCCTTAAATAGGTTAGTCTTTCATAATTTAATCTCTTAATTATAATTCATTTTTACCATCCGAAGCTTGTATCCTTGCAAATTCTCTCTTTTCGCCCCACATACGTTCGCAATATTCTCTCAGCTCTACTTCTGTAATTGATCTTAAAATGCAGGTTCTGCATGTAGTACGGGCCATCATGTCGTGATGATATAGCATCGATTAGTGGGAAATTGAGATGGTTTCGTCAAGTGTGTTTGTGTCGCATAAAGTGCCAAAAACGTAGCACTAATTTTTCCCCATTTCTACGGAGCTCCGTGCGGGTGAGCTCTATGCGTTACGGAGCAAACTTAAAAGGTTTGCTAGCCAATTACCGACTAAAAGCAACGGATCCCGAGTTCTTGCATATGTGAGCGCGCCGCTGATGGCACACAGGGCTTATCATCGCAGATGGGGCAGGGGCGGGGGCGGGAGGCGGCGAGGAAGTGAGTGGGAGCCATGCCAAGTGGGCGGCGGGTGTCCTGGGGGATGGAGCCAGAGCATGATGGACGATGTTGGATGCCGTGGCGGGTGGGTGGGCTTTTGATGGAGTCGACTGTGGGGAGATCATCGCTGTGTGCTCATACATCCAAGCTCTATGTAGGTCCCCCAACCCATGGCTCTCGGCAGCATTATAACAACAGCAGCACAGCGAGCAGATGAGAACTCATTTTTTCCCGCTTCGTCGCTACATAGAAGATTCTCTCTCCATGGCAGCTCCGGCAAATGGGTACATATATGTACTGCTTCCATTAGTGTATGTATAATGGATGAAGAGTGGATAAAACAGAAAACTTTTTGGTAAAACTTTGGCTTAAAGGTCTTTTTTGTGTGATGTTGCGTTATAGCTTTTGTGTGTTGCGCTGATGTTGTTTTAAAAGACTTTTCGTGGTGAACGTAATGACAGCTTAAGCCTCATCAAAACAAAGGTAATTCAATTAATTTCGCACATGTGTGGAAGGATATGCGGAGTGCCATTCTCGGATAATTCTTCATTCTTTAGATGTCATGTTCGCCAAACAATTTTCCCACACCCTCGCTGTAAAACTCTCACAAAAGATTTCCTCGCGAGAAATCCATTGAACTCATCCCTCAGCCAGTCCCAAGATCAGACAAATGAGAAAGTTTACAATTGATTTATTTCAATTGTAAATTTTTCTCGTGGCCGCAGAATGTTCCGAGAGTTTGGGCATTTGTGTATCCATTACACATTATATTGCAACAAACACCTCGCATCGGGGCTGTTATGCTATATCCTGCTGGAAAGCTTTAATCAATAAAATATCCATCGTATACGCATACGCTGTAGCGACATTTCCGCAGAAATGCTCCCTACATACATAGCACACTGTATACATTTACTATACAGCATTAGAGAGAGGATCCGTGGGCCAGTCTTCCTTTAAGCCGGCTGAAGACGTTGTGCGAAGAGATTTTTTTTATCAAAACGTGAGTAGCCTCTTCGGCCCATTCCGACGCTATCTTAAAGGAGGAATTTAATATCTTTGTAATATAGCAAAATTAAAGCATTTTTGCCATGAAAATTATTTTAATATCTTAATCCAAATAATTACTGCAGCACTTTCTAAGTCAAATGCCTTATTGATTCAGAAACTATTTAAGTAATTTCGTTCATTTTTAAGATATAATTATAGTCAGAAATTTTAATTAACATTTTCATCTTAGAATCTCATCGATTGTCATGTCAATTTTCGGCTTCAATTGACTCTTAGCTGCAGATCACTTTATTAAGTCTAAGTTATTTATTGTTGGAAATTCCCGCCACGATGTCCTTTCTCTACACTGACTTTCATGCCATCTGACAAAATTTCCAATGATTCTCTGGGAATCCCTGCGAATTTCTCCTTCTCGCTTTCCCCTCGTTTTATTGATTATCTGCTGCCTGACAACCGGGAATTTCTGCACGTCAAATTTATGAGCATTCACGGTGAGTCAGTGGCAATTTGTTGGTGGTTTCAAGCTGAAATTTATCTAATTGTGTGCTTTGATAACACAGACAATCACTATGAGACACCATGATTTGGCTGTATGGCGCAATCTTTTTGGCGGTTGGAAGTAATCTGCGGTTGGTGAGCGCGAAAAGGGGTCCGCATCATCCAAGAGGCGAACGTGGGGCGTACAAAGAGAAATTGGATGTGCACCTAACGCACGACGACGAGTAATTCCAAACTTCCGCGGGAGAGAGTCACACTGGAGGTGTTAATGCTGCCTCACTTTCGTTTTCAGGCACATAAAAGAAGACCTAAAGGCGATTAACCTACAACACAAGCAGGTGGAACATATGTCACTGGAGGAGAAACAATTTTATCAGTTCAAATTGCATGACGATGACAATAACGACATGCTGGATGGATTGGAAATCCTCCACAGTGCCAATCAGCATGAAAACACTTTCCATAGGATCGACAGAGACAAGTATTACGATGCCACTGAATATGAGTTACAGCATATTGTCGGTGAGTTAATTGAGACGCTTGGATGATGGTAATCTTGCCACTTGTTCCGTTTTCTCTTTCCTCCCCTTTGACCACCACCTCAAGATATAATTGACACCTTCATGAAAGACGCCGATCTGGATGATGATGGCTTTATCAACTACCAAGAGTACTCAACGGCCCTCAACAGAGTGGAAGTCGACGCTAATCCTGAACCACCTTTATTGGATGATCACTAATGCTTCTCATCTTCATCAGCGTGTCACAGAGTCTACAAGACTATAAATTTTACACTAATTATCTCCATCTCTGAAGTATTTCACTTGGCCGATGTGTTGATGCTCTGCCACGATGAGCATGGATAGACCATTTCGCAAGGTACATTCTCGATTCCCTCCATGGCGGCCCTCTCGAGTCCCTTAAGTATGTGATTGTAGTGAAAATCGTGCTTCAAATCTCTGAAATATAGAGCATTTGATATAAAAAGAGACAATTCACGGATTATTCCCAGTTGGGCAGGCCACAAGATGTGACTTACGGATTGAATATTTCCGACCCCTTGAGAACAGCGTGACCGGCTTTTGCATAATCGAGTGCGCTGTAGGGTGCGAGGCATGCTGCTCGATAGAGACAGCCCTTCTGTCCGGAACCCTCGCTCGCCAGATAGCCCAGCACTAGGGGAACCTCGTCATAGTCCAGAAAGGATTCTGCAAGGGCAATCAATGGGAATTGATTAAGTTCTTGTGACTGCGGAAGTGGAAGTAATTCCGAGGTCTCTCATTTCAAATGTATGTATACTTTCGACACTTCTGGCTCGTCCATAGTATCCTCCTCCTCCTCCGCCACCCCAATGTCCGGTTCCGAGGAGTCCTGCCGAAAAGATGAGTGCCTTCAGGAAGAGCAGTATGAAGAGATTGGTCAGATTGAGACTCAGCACTTGACTATTCCCAGTCGATCGACTCAGCATCTCTTTGGCGAGATTCACAACGATTTGTCCTGTGGGACCGCTTATCAAGCTCTTAGCCTTATCAGTCCAACTGAGGGACGTCTCTGCAGGGGAATTCGATGGTGTCCTGTAATCCAATTCAGCCACATCATTCCCTCCTGGCTGAGCCTTGATGTACTCCACAATGCAGAGGACCACGAAAGCACCACAAACCACCTCAAATTTCATCCTTCCACTCGAGCTCAACTTCAACTGAAGTGCCTCGCATGTGGATGGGTCTTTAAATACGCAAAAAAAGTAACTTCTTGGCAGACAATTGCATTTTCTGGAGTGAGGATGGCTGAAACAATGGTAGCAATTTCATAAGTGATGGCACAGGTTAACCACACCAGAGATCTCCATCCAACACTTATCGCACATTGTGCAGAGTGAAATGCGAGTGCATTGTCTCCGAATTAGTTTCATTTGATTGCCTTGCATCTCTATAGTTCATTCAGGATGACAATTATGTCAATTATAAATGCCATTCTTGTTTTCATTTGAATATCATTCTGGAGATTTGATTAAATGACAGAGGTATTAATTCGTGCGTATCCCATAAAATCAGATTTACGGAGTAATAAAAGTAATAATTGAAGGATTATTGTTCAGAAAAAAAATCCGGCATTGAAATTGGGATCAAAAAAGTCAGAGAGGAATTAATAAAAAGCGAAATGTAGTGATTGCACTATGACTCTCCCTGTTGAATTCGCCTGAAGGTATCAAACATCAAGCAATAAAAGCAAAACAATCAATTAATCCAATCTTTAGAGTTGAAATCAATTTCACTGCTAAAGCTTTCAATTCACTGAGATACTCTTGTTTCAACAATGAAATTGCTCAGCTTTTCAAACCTCATGATATTTAGTGCAAAATTTGATCATTTTACTTTCACTCAATTACGCACGCGTATGAGACTTTTTGTGCGTGTCACCTTTTACTCGACACAATCAATTTCCTGCTGAAATTGGGGAGTTTCACCGCGGAACTCCCGTGTGAACTTCTCAAAAGGGGCAATGCATTAACCACATTCAATTTCATTGTCAAATATTTTATTTGCTTCACACTCAATGGTCATTTCCTAATGCTTCACACTTGCAGACTCTCTTTACGAGTTCTTCTTTCTGGATTTCTTTTCTTCTTTCTAGGGTTCAAGTGAAAGCGAGAAGATAGTTTCTCTTTCACTTGCTACACACGATAAAGTAGAATTATTTAGACAGAATTTCTCTATAGCTTTATTTATTACCTAATTTTAGCTATATTGATATAGATTACTTAAGTATACACGTAAAAAAATGTAGCGTAAGTGTATTTTCCGAAGGAGTCCTCATCATCTTAAATTCTATGTTCAGCGATACATTCTCAAAAAGAGCATACAATAAACTACAATAGAAATGTAATAACTTTAACATTATAGATTAACAATCAACGTGTGATCAATTTCTACATCATAAATATACGAAAGTATTTTACCTTCATGTGAGGGATTTGAAGCGAACATTCAGCGCCATAGACATTTTGCGAAAGGCAAAAGTAATTTTATAAAATATGCTAATAGGTTACAGTAGTAGAATAAATTTAAGAGTGTTTTTTCAGTTACACCTCATTACAATAAATTATCAAATGGCTTTGGATTACAAATAGCATTTCATCTCATACATTTAGTAATGAATTTTCTTTTTCGTCAGCTTGCAAAATTTCTACACTCTTTCTCACTTTCCCACACAGCCTACCGGCGGAACTCTCTCAAAATGATTTGCAAATGTGGATGGGATTTAATGCATAATGAAACCCGGCATGATCATGATCATGATTAATTAAGCTGAGGGGAAAACTGTTTGATGATTCGGGCGTTGAATATGGACGAGATTCTGTAATTTTAAATTCCATCAAAACTACGCATCTCGCTCCACTCTTCGTTGCAACTGGATGTGATGTTATACTGTGTCCTTGTGATCCGCGATCACGCACTATCTCCTTAGCAGTTAAACGCTGTACAGTCCCTTCGACGGATGGCATCAGTCACTTCAGACAAGTGTTTCGAGAGGTTCGTCCCCAAACTTGGATGCATCCTGATGGGCGGCGTGCGGAGAGAGATAAAAGAGAGAAGGTTGTTAGCTGATGGTGCGATCATCGGAGAGGTGCTATGTATATTTATGAAATTAGCGGTGCAACACTAAAATTCTCCGCACGATTGACGATGGTACATGCACTTTTTGCCAATGAATGAACTGAGAGAAAGCCAAGTAGACGCGAGCTTAACATGGCAAACAGTGCGTCGTGCAATCGTGATTATTTGCATAGGAATTCTACCTTCTTTCGCATTTTTACTTTCGCGAGCACCAAGAGTGTTTTTCAATGTCATGAGAAAGCGAAAAACTCGGTCAAAAGTGTCGCTCCGCGCTGAGCGCCCGCAAGAAATTTGAATGTTAGCCCATGAGACTATAAGATGAATATGGTATGTTTACTCACATTTTCAGCAGTGTTTCCATCTTCTTCTCCATGAGTATGATATCGTCTGGCTTTTGCTTGGTCATCACCTCACAAAACACCTTCTTGGCACACTGGGGATTACTCCAGTTTGTCTCACGTATTTGTGCCTCGAAGCGATTCCTCGACCGTGACGGCAGCTCGCTCTCGACACTCTGTAGCAAACTCCCCAGAGATTCCTCTTCGCTGGAGCCGATCGATCTCTTGTGGATGCTGTGCACTCCCTCACTGTGATCTGAGGGCTCCTCCACCAGCACGTAGTATCCGCCATCTGGCAGGCCTTTGTGCTCCAGAATAGGGCTTCCATCCTCTGACCTCCTCAGGAGATTTACGTCTAGAAACCTCCCCATGGCTAAAGCACCCAGGCTCAGAGCTGCTCCGCTGGCCATCAGGCCTAAAGCTGGCAGGAGGGCTGATCCCCCAATTCCCGCTGGTGCGACAATTCCCACCTTGTCCTGTGCCTCTTGCTTGGACGGATTTCCATGGCCGAACCCGAGGTTCTGCGAGATCTTCTGACCCGCCTCGACCAGAGGATCAATGACTGGTTTCGTCATTTGTTGCACAGTCGAGAAACTGTTCTGGAACGTGTTTCTCATCTGCTCGGTGATCTTCATCCAAAAGGGCTGTTCCTTGACTTTCCTCAGGTAGCCATATGTGTAGGGATATGTGGCGGGCTTTCCGTGCATGTACGATCCGTAATCGCCAAAGGGCACGTGGCCAAACTTGCCATTCTTCTCGTAATCACTGTAGTAGTAATCCGTGTTCATAGCTGGTTCTATGGCATAAGGCGAGCGATCACTGTGGATGTCCTTAGTGTAGTAATTCACCTTGACTGGCTTATCTTGAACCGGAACGGACTTGGCCGCTTGAACTCCGAATTCGGGATGAGCGTATTCCAAGACTGGGGATCTGTCGCTCTCACTGGAGCGATTTTTTGGCAAGTACAACTGACTCACGGGGAAGATGGTGTTCCTCTGACTGGTGAGCATTCGCCTCTGGATCGAGTGTGTGTCCGCTTGGCTGCTATCGCCTGGAAACCTAATGGCTTTGCCTGCGAAATAGTCTCTCCTCTGCTCGTGCTCATTGATCCTCTTGATGTACTCAATGAGCTTCGAGTTGGCCACGCGCGAGTTGTCGGTGACAGTGAAAGGTCCTATGCCTCTGGAAGGCAGCTGGCGATTGATCTTCTCGCTGGGGATCTTAGTGCGAAATTGGTAGATCTTCGAATCACCCTTGAGATTGTCCTTCACCGTGAATGGCCCAATACTCTTGGGCTTGGTTTCCGGATCGGAGTTGTGGTAGTAATTGTCTGCCGTCGAGAAGGGCCCGATGCTGCGACGACGCTCCTCGTCTACGCTCTCAGTCTGCGCGTAGACTAACTGACCGATGTCGAAAGCATCCGCTCGTGGAGGCTTATAACCCTTCTCGTAGGGCTGTAATTCACCATTTATCACTCGAGCATTGCGCCACGTTTTAACTTTATCCACTTCATCGTCAGGCATCCTGATTCCGTGCACCACTGAAATTCCGTCTTCACCGACCTCGATCATTGATCGACCACGTTTCACTTTGGCGGCGGAGTCTTTCACATACACTGGCTCTGAGCTTATGAACACGGGAGTGGGCACTTTGCGGGCCTTATTCAGCGTTTTGCTGCTGAGGATTGAGATGTGCACGGCGTCACGGTCATTGTTCTTGGACACGTCAGTTGGTCCAGCGGACGGTGGTTCCATGGTGCCCACGTGCTTGATGAAAGAGTTGATCATGTTGAGCTTTCCCTCCTCCTGCACTGTGGTTGGCTGAGAGAATCTGTACGTCCCGGACTTGAGCAGGAGCTCTGACCGGGGCGACGTGGCCCACCTGGCCTGGTCGCTGGACTCCGCAGTCTGAGACTCAGGCACCTTCCGCAGGATCGTCGAGTGACCTGCCGTAGCGTAGTATCGCCGCCTGGCCTCTTCGCGACTCAGCCCAATTTCTCCATTTGTACTCTGCGGCGGAATGTTGGTGCTCTTGCCATCGCGCTTCTTCACGATGATCGTCGCCACGCCACCATTGTTGGATCGCACATTGATCGTCTCCATGTCATCTGGATTGAGACTCCGCGACACCTTGAGCTGCGTTCTGTGCACTTGAGCTGGTTTTATGACGATTTGCTGCGCCTTGTCCTCAGCGGCCGCCACTGTGCAAATAAGCACAAGAATCCAAACACTCACCTCCACTCTCAGACGCTGTGGCACAGAGAAAGAAGGAAAAAAGCGGAGAATTAGAAGAAATAGAGAGTGAAATGTGGTTAGTTAAAAGCGAATTTCTTTTCAAAACGAGGCGGCCCAAAAGCTTCAGCAATTAATATTTCTGATATCTCAAGCAATTCGCGGTACGGAAACTCTTGTTTTATATCTCTTCTTTTTTCGGCAATTAAATAAAGAAATTTTTCATACATGCCAAATACACTGCGGCGTGTATGAGAAGGTGAAAAGCCAAGCAATTATCGTCCAATGTAACACTTTCGAATTACAATATTAAGGCTTTATTTCGTCGTGTTCATATGGAACATTTTTATTAACTCAGCTGTGTATTAATTTCGTGAGATATCTCACTATTTTCTCTGGTTTGCATTCATTGATTTCCCTCCACCATGTCATGTCTTTCATTGATGATTCTGCACTCTCTATATGCGACCTGGCAATTTGCTATATACTCACCGCCATAATTTTCACGATATGTCTTCGACTTTTCTCTCGCGATATCTCTGGCTTGCTCTCCTGGGGCCCGCGTGAAGAAGGCTCTTCACATTAGTGACACAATATCAGTCTGTCCCAACTTCAGATCATATCAATTCCACCTCGAGCGATTGCACACTATTTGCAGTTGGGAAAATTACCTCAGCGACAGAGCCGTTCAATTTATCAGTGAGGCGTGTTTTGAGACAAAAGCCTGCGAAGAAGAATTGTTGGGTGAGGAGAAGAAAAAAACACTTGTAACATCATGTAGATATTATTAATGTAGGTCAGAATGCGCTGTTTATTACAAGTGCAGTAGTTAAATGAGAAGAAGAAATGCTTTAAAGGCAATTGGGGTGCAACAGCACGCGATTGTGAGATTAGGCTCGAATTTGTTAAGGAGATTTCCTTTGGGGCCGCGGGAAAATTCCTTGGCGCCAGCGTAGGGAATCGTGCACTTCACCACATTCGCCCCTCGAGGGCTTTCCCACAGTGCACAAGAGCACGGCGCGCACTTAATGTCACAGAGTCACAGACAGAGAAAAGGTGCGGTGATGGAAAAACTTGTACGCTATTTGCACAGTTGATTGCAAATAAAAAGTCCTTTACTTTTCTTAGGGGCTGCTTCGGCACTGCGGCAGATGATGTTGTCGCCACGACGATAAATTGAACATTGAATGGGTAAAAACTGGTGGTGTGAAAAAAGGTGAGCAAATCTCGCAGGAGAGTCTCTTGTGCTCCACTCTGCAGCGTTTATTGTTCGGGTGTCAATCACCAACTGAGAAACTGACTGTTTCTCAGACGTATAATTGCCCCCCAAGAAAGTTTTATGTACCGCGCGCGTATTAAATGGGAAGAGTCTGTGAGCTGCACAATTTTCTCTTTTCGTATCACAAATTCCCGAGCTCTTCGCGGGCCTTCTGGTGTTGGTGCCGTTGCGTCTGTGTGTTTGGGGAGCCGTTTTGGCGGGGGGCCCCAAAGTACATCGGTGTTTACACTTTCTTTGGCCACTCCATGGTCATGGTGAAGCCATGAAAAGATAAATGGACTGTGCAAGAGAGCAAGAAAAAAGACCACTGAGAAATGCTGGCTCACCAGCAGAGATTTCCAGGCTCTGCGCTGGACCTGGCTGTATTCTCTGCACCAACACCATCAATCTCTCTGGCGGTCCGCCAGTGTTGGAAAAGAAATGCTGAATTCATGTGGTAAAAGTGAAATGGAAGTGGATGGTGATGACCAAGTATCTCTTTGGACAAGATCAACCTAACAGTGGCGGCTCGAAAATCTTCCCAATTAAATTTCATGAGAATTTCTCTCCAAGATGCGCATGCAGAAAAGGTAATTAGGAAAATTTTGCTACATACCAAACGCGAAAGAGATTTTTTGCTCTGCACACAAAAGAAATTTTCGACCAGATCTCGTGAAATCACAAAGTCAATGGCGCAAACCTGTCTTGGGAGCAATACTTAAATCGTCAATGTTGGAAATTATAGCATCGCCCCCGCAATGTTTTTCATAATAATCCGTATGGCGAATTGCTCCAATCGCCAAAGTGGCCACACACAGAGTTGTCACATCAGCGACTAATAAATAAGTAGATTGAAACTGAAGATTATGTGGCGACTTTTACAAATACCAGAATTTGATATTGAGCTCTATTATTGATTTACCGTCTTTCCTGGTCCACAATTGGGGCACTCTTGTGGTGATGCGCGAAAGAGTCGCTAGACATTTAAATTCTTAACCGCATTTTTCACGCTAAAAGCGGATTTGGAAGACAACAAAACACACTCATTTTCGCTGGAAATTTCTCTCTCTTTCATGGAAAAGAGATGCATCTCTTACATGTCTTGGCGGTGAAAAATCCAACATTTCAGTGCGACTCTGCACTCCCCGGCAAATTCCACAGCAATCGAAAATGTCTTTTTTTCGTCCATGTGAGAAAGAAATTGACAAGCATAGAGGAGATATGGAAAAAAGCACACGAGAAGAGAGTGAGAAGAAAAACCCGAAAAGAAGGGAAAGTTATATGTGGTCCAACTAATTAGTCAACACAAAGTTTCTTCTCATCATCCAAATAGACGAAGAAAACACTCACACGCACAAGAATTCCCCCCCTCGTGGGCATAGAGCGATATAAAATATCAATTTAAATACAATAAGTGGGAATTATAGGTGTTTCTTCTTATATTACCTCTCCATCTGCCCATCGGATGGAATGTAAAGTGGCGAAATATGAATGAAGATGACGGAGGAATGCCAACATCAATAGCGTCGAGGCAAAAGGTAAAATTTGGGTTGTGAGGCGTTTAAGCAATTAGCAATGAAAAGGTGATAATTTAGGTGATGCTTTATTTCATCTCACTTTATCATCTCAATCATTATTCCCTTCCCTCACCGCAATTTTCCAACAGCATCCAGAACAGCAAGTGCCCGTCGAGGCTTTATTAATTGTTAATACATTGAGGAAAGTTGTCCATCACACTATTTGCAATCATCATGATTTATGGTGGACACATAAATTATTCCGCTGTCTCACTCATTGTCAGCATTCTGCAGGGACAATGTTGAGGTGTGCATATTACAGTGAAAGATCGCACATTTATTCTCTCTAATTGCCCTGAAGATCGCAATTAGGCCCGTCTTCTTGGCTACTGTGTCGGGAGTTCTGAAAGTATCACAAGAAATCACAAGATAAATTAATACCATGACCGCAGAAGCATGATCTTTTGCCGGTTAGAGGCATCTAGCAAGACAAGAAGCCCGAAAGTAGGGCTTGTCATCAAGGATCAACATCTCTTGAACTTGATGTATTGATGACAAATTACGTGCTCGAATGAAATTTATTATTTCCCGAGTTTGTAATTAGTATTGTTTTGTAGTCCATCAAATGCTTCTCTATCGATTATTGCTAGATGGAAAAAAATGTGTATAGAATTCCGGAATCTCTCGTAGGAAATTCTTGAAATCGCATTGGCATTCTTGACTGAGAAACATATATTTCTTTGAGTCATTAGCAGTTTCTATGCCATCTTTTGTTGCTTTCTTTCGACTTTTATGTGTATGCCTGTAAGTCACTGTGCGCAAGCTTTAAAATTAACTGCAGCCTCATTCAGATAAGGTCACGAAATAATAATAACAACCTTAAGAAATGATTTTCGTTATTACTAATTTATGTTTTGAAGAGATCTTGATAAAAATGTATCTCAGACACATAATTCGCCTTGTTCCTCATTTATGGCAAAAGAACTAATTAAATAACCATAACAGTTATCTTACTCGTTGGCAATTCTCCAAAGCATCTTCTGGAGAACGTCAGAGTCCCTGTAGGCCCCCATTCTGGACAATTCGCAGAAGACCCGATTCTCGCAATTAACCCCAACGTCATTGTTGGCTTCCGAGAACATGCTAATGAAGTCCATCAGGGGATTCTTCATCTTCCTCGGCTGCTCGGCATCGCCAGGTAGGTTTGCGCCGCCGACATCATCCAAGGATCTCAGGCGTCCGGGATACACACCGAGAGCGGGCGTGGGCGCACTGGAAGAGCAGAAGACGTGTGCATTTTATCACCTGATGCATCAGCCACACAAGTGTGATGATGAATGAGTGGCAGCGAGTGGTAATTAAATGGTGAATCTTAATCAATTTGCCAAAGAGAGGTGAACAGCCATCGCGAATGCTCCAATAAACTTGTCCTCATTCTCTGGTTCATTGCAATAAGCGAAAGCCTTCCACTTCTCAGAGCATTTATGACCGAATGCAATAAAGTGCTTCTTCATGGGACAATCCCTATACAAATGTTATTGCTAATATTTAATCCTCCACCATTGAGATGACAATGTATAATAAGAGAAAGTCATAGAAATGACTGGTGCTCAGGTAACATCTCTTGAGACTCTGCCAGTCTCGCGAGTATTTCGCGGGCTGAGGTGAAAAAAAATATAAGCGATGTTAAAGAGAAAGATCAAGAGAACCAGCCACGTCTGAGAAAAAATACTGACTCAAACTTCTTTTAAATAATATACATTGAGCATAAACATTTCTATGTACTGAATAACTCTTATTATTATCGGAATCCAATGATGTGTGCCAATTCCGATGCCACCACACACACTCATCACACGCTCAATACCCATCTTTATGTGGCTGCAGGCTGTTTCGTTGAAAAAAGAGAAGCTGCTCTTAAAAATCTCGCCAGTATAATTGCAACAGGTAAAGTGCATTTCTTTTCAACATCGCCAAACAAAACACATTCACAATCGCTCAATGAGTCAGGCCTGAAGATCATCACCTGCTCGAGCTTCGCGGCATTGCGCAGGTGAAAAGTTGCGTGGTTTCAGGCGGAAAGGCGCCCAGTGAATGGCGAGGAAAAGAAAGTAAAAGCATAATTTCCACACTCACTACGTATTGTTGGGGTTCACGTACACAACGTGCGGTGTGAGAGCGGAAATGAGGAGGCCAATTGGAATGGCTGCGGTCAAAATGTGAGCCAACTTCTTCCATGGAGACCTGCAAAGAGGGCAGTGAGTCATTGCATCCAGAGGTCAATGAATTTAAGTAATTTTTCACACTCCATTTTTTTCCCTTACTTATCAGACTTGTTTTTGCCCAGAAAGCCACCCGGAAGATGAGCTTTGGACTTCGAGTGAACATGATCGATCTCTAGAGTTGTGGTTTCATCCGGAGCCTTCTCTGTTGTCCAGCCCGATGCGAAGGGGTTATCTGATATCTCGAAGGGATAGGGCCAATCCTTGGAGGGCTTTCTGTTGGTGTCCTGCCAAACCTTGTAAGGATCACCCAAAGTGAAACTATTGGGTCCAGAATCTCCCACCGCGTTGTCCGGCTCAGCACTCCATCGCCAAGGATTCTGCAGCGCCGGGCGCAGTTCTGTATTGCGAACAGTTGTGGTCTCAGCGCCATAAGGCACCCAGACAAAGTGTCCCTTCTCTGCAGTTGGCGGCATGAAGATCTGAGTGTGCTTGAATGAGACTGGCTGCGCCTTAGCGTGGAGAACTTTGTACTGCGAGCCCTGCCTCACGGGCTGG